TCACTGCCATCGTTTCAGTCCCAAGTCCTAGCACACAACACCCGTTCACCTTTCGCTCTCTCTTTTATTCCCCTTTCTCTCCCCTTACGTCAATGAGCGATCTCACCCAAAACACGGAAAAACACATGACGATCGCTCAGACAGTCCTTCCGCTAGCCAGGTACTCTTCATTCATGCAAAACACAATATAATAAAGATACATAATAATACAGTCTGTGACAGCATTCAAATTAGTGTTTCCTTTTGGTGCCACCACTCGGATGTTATAGACCTGTGCATTCTTCCCTTTTCCCACCCCCTTCCCCCCACCCTCCCATTCACACACCCCTCCCCCACCTACACCCTTTTACCTTACTGCCAGGATCATGATTCAATTTATATTAACATTTCTTCTATATGTTTTCTATTTGTGATGTTTAAATACATTGTAGATCGGACTAAGTACTTATTTTTCCCATAATATGCTTTCTAAATATGGAGCAGATATAAGGCAGTTATACGGAATAGAACTGGAGGAGTGAACTGTATTCGACAAAAGTTTACAACATTTCAAATGGGATGTGTACAAGGAGGGGAGCGGGCGCTTCTGAATGTGTTTTATACAAATATGCAGTTATTCATTGGTTAGCATAGGTCAAGTCAGGGGCGGAACTACAGTGCCGCCAGACCCCGCAATGCGGGGGGGCCCACGCCATTTAGGGGCCCACGGCCGACCCTAATAGTTTTTATTATAGTTAAAAAAAAATCTAATTTTCTTGCAATTTTTGACTTGATGTTTGTTCTGTAAAACGATTACCATAGCTGCGGTTTGATTATCTTTATTCTATAGACGCCATCTCCACGCTCTTGTATATTCTTTTTCCCTTTCTTTTTAAACCACTGTGAAAGCCAAGTCCTCTCTCTTCTACAATTAAACTTAACAAAGATAAGCTAACGTTCAAACCATTTCCATAACTTATTTCCCTTTTTTAAATAGTCAAATTGGGGTGCTCATAAGCTCCTTTTAATAGATGTGTACTAAACAAATTAAAAAGCAATTACTTCTCTTACTAAATATTTTTTCATAAAGTACTTACTAAAGAATGACCTTGTATAAAAAGGAAATGCATTTAAAATTAATAATATAAATACAAAAAAACCCATAAAAATAATCATAACACGAGACACCATTACTTCTACAAAGATTTCATATTTTATATTCTTTTGGCCAGATAGATGTTAAGAGAACCCATAGCAGATAAAATGAAACTGATTTTCTCAAAACACACTAATGCACTTACACACATGACGTTTTGTAGTAATTTGTTTTAATTGAAAAAATAACTTTTTTTTCAAAATTCGAACAGGCCAGCAATGAGTATCCTATGCTCTGTTCGTATTTTCTGTTTGTGTGTATATATATATATATATATATATATATATATATATATATATATATATATATATATATATATATATATATATATATACTAGCGTACCCGCCCCCCGCGCGTTGCCGCGGGGATAGAAGAAAGTTTGACGAAATATATTAGAAGGATTTCACCAACGCGTTATCAATTATATGTTCTTAGACGCGTGACCTTCTTTTCTAAAAATGAGTTATTTAAATGTAAACAATGCCTGCGCTTGGATCTTAAATATCAGGACACGGGTTTACCTACACTACCGCATGAAAACCTTGAGTGTACATTAATCACTCACCGAAATAATATGGTAGAACACACTTCGGTGACCGCCCCTGTTTCAGAGACGTAGAGGGGCGCTCTCAGGGCCCCCACCCCCGATTACACTACCGCATAGGCGCGGCGTACGACCCCTGGCTCCTTAAAACTAAAAGGCGCCATCGGCCAAATAGCATCCTGTTAATAATGATGCAGATTTCGCCATTCGCTAAAGTGACACAAATGAACAGGATTTTTTTCTTTAACACGTAAAAAAAAATAGTTGACGTGTTTTAAATATCAGTGTGACTGATGCAATATGCTTGCGTTACTAATGGTCTATTATTAGATGCTCAATCTCAATTTCTGACTGGACTGTCCAATAATAGATGCTTATTGCATCATTCGCAAAGTGATGAAAATCTACAGTAGCGTAGGCTCCTCATATTCAAAAAGTTATTTTTTTTATCTTTCGCAAAGGTGACGAAACTGTACAGAAGGATTTCCTCGCGTTACAAAGTTATTTTTAGAAGCTTGTTTTAGTTTTACCGCTGAATATAGTAGTACCCCTTTCTCGCTATGCAGGACGCTCGATTAACGGATGCTAAGTGCCAACATAGTCGCTCTAAAACTCTGGGCGCCAAACCGTGTATTGACGAAAGTTGTACCTTATATGTACCCATAAGAAACTTTAGTTTTCTTTTTCGCAGAAATATTCTCGGGAGTATTCTCATCTACTCCCTAAAGTTTCATGGCACTCGGATGAACCGCATCCGAGTTTTATTTTTTATATACCGTGTATAGAGAAAAAAAATCGCCCTCCCCCCCGGAGGGCGCCGCCCTTGCAATATTAAACAATATTTTTTTGCAGAACCCTACCATTGAGTGATCTAATCATCTCCCCCTAAGTTTCATGGTACATGGTTGAACGGTGTGAAACCGAAATAGACTTTAATTTTATAAACCGTAAATAGAGAAAAAAATCGCAGCCTCCCGTGGCGCCGCCCTTGCGAAATTATAAATGATTTTTTACAGAACCCTTTCCTAGAGTTTTATAATGAATTCCCCAAAGTTTCATGCCTATCGGATGAATGGTGTCACAGCGATTCACTTTTATTATTTTTATATACCGTATATAGAGAAAAATCGGACCCTCCCGTGGCGCCGCCCTTGCGAAATTTAAAAAGGATTTTTTTTTACAGAACCCTTCCCTGAATTGTTCTAATCAACTCCCCCAAAGTCTCATGGCTATCGGATTACGGTGTTACACCAAAATCGACTTTTATTTTTATATACCGTATATAGAGAAAAATCGGACCCTCCCGTGGCGCCGCCCTTGCGAAATTAAAAATTATTTTTTTACAGAACCCTTCCCTAGAGTGGTATAATGAACTCCCCAAAGTCTCATGGCTATAGGATGAACGATGCCAAACCAAAATCGACTTTTATTTTTATATACCGTATATAGAAAAAAACAAATCGCGCCCTGTGGGGGCGCCACCCCTGCGAATTTGAAATATTTTTTTTCGCAGAAACCTCCCCAGGAATATTCTCAACAACTTCTCAAAGTTTCACGGCGATGTGATGAGAGGTGTAGTAATGCATAAAGGACAAACACACATACATTGCTTTATATATATATATATATATATATATATATATATATATATATATATATATATATATATATATATATATATATATATATATATATATATATATATATATGGGAGGGGGGGGGGGCCAAAAAAAAATTTGCGGGGTGGCCATTTTTTTCTAGTTCCGCCACTGGGTCAAGTATTCATTCATTAACTTTAAGTTTATTCAATTTGGTTTTTTAATTTAATCGTGTTGCAACTTATTTTTACAAAAGTACGCTTCCGCAGCAGGACTAAATCTTGAATCTATTTCGGTATAGTAATACATCACCTGGTTAGGAGATCAGGGTCGATCAAATCGGGAGACAGTCTAGACCCGAGGTTCTAATCAGCAGTGTTTCTTCTAGACTTTTTTCTTCCGGGAGTGGGGGGGGGGGGGGGGCACTTGAATTTTTTTTTGGGGGGGGGGGGGGTAGACTTTCTACGAGGGTGGGGGGGCGGACAGTGCTAAAATTTTCTATATAAATTCCATCTCGTTCGGGGGGGGGGGGGCGGTAGACTTTCTTCTCCGCCCCCCCCCCCCCCCCCCCCCCCCCCCACCGAAGAGATGCCTGGAAGAAACTCTGATCTGCACAGCAGCCACCTACCTACTTCTCTGCTTGTTGCAACTTCTCCCCAGTCACGAGTGTTTAAAGGTGGATTTGAACCTGGAGCCCCAGGCTGAGACAAAATATACTTGGCCACGCCCTATACAGGATGTGTTTAGCACCACTTACCTCCCCTGATGTTTTTCTTGAAACTAGGTGACCACTTTAGTTTATGTGGTTAATTCCCCTACGTTGAGCTTTAACTAAAATTCACATCCATTGTGCACGTATAGTAATAGAGATTTTATCATTTTGAGTTTTGGCATTTTGTTCACATATGGGCCAACATTTTGTTCACATATGGGCCAACATTTTGTTCACATATGGGCCAACATTTTGTTCACATATGGGCCAACATTTTGTTCACATATGGGCCAACATTTTGTTCACATATGGGACAACATTTTGTTCACATATGGGACAACATTTTGTTCACATATGGGACAACATTTTGTTCACATATGGGCCAACATTTTGTTCACATATGGGCCAACATTTTGTTCACATATGGGCCAACATTTTGTTCACATATGGGACAACATTTTGTTCACATATGGGACAACATTTTGTTCACATATGGGACAACATTTTGTTCACATATGGGCCAACATTTTGTTCACATATGGGCCAACATTTTGTTCACATATGGGACAACATTTTGTTCACATATGGGCCAACATTTTGTTCACATATGGGCCAACATTTTGTTCACATATGGGCCAACATTTTGTTCACATATGGGCCAACATTTTGTTCACATATGGGCCAACATTTTGCTGTTCATTGAAGTGTATCAAGCTGGTGCCATTTTTAGCTAAAAAATCATTTCATAAAATATATTGCTTATTTTGTTTCTATTATGTTTATATATTACTAATAAAGAGATTGTCGTCCATCCTATTTAAGTATTTACTTTTTATGAATATTAGAATGCTATTTTGAGTACCTAGATCTAATTCTTAGATAAAATGTACTTGCTGGCAAATGTGCTTGCTGGCAAATGTGCTCTATCCATTGTCTACTTCAAGTGATATTTTAAAAAAGTAACAGTTAACCACAATCATAAAGGTAAAGATACACTGGATATTGGTGTATATAGGCGGGTGTTTAATGTCAGATGCAAGTGCAAAGGAAGTTTACAAGAAACCAAAACAGTATGATGAGGATGAGTGGTACAACATCTGAATATTACATCACAGTGAGCTATTAATCTCGAAATTTTAAAATACATTTTAAATTAAATTAGATAAAATTTCAAAAAAATTACAGCAAAACTAATACATATATGAGACAGTTTAAAAAATTCTCTAAAATTGATTTCAACCCAAATTTCTCACAAAAATCTGGCATATTAATAATCAAAGCTATCTCCTAGATGTAGATTATGTAAGAAATGAAAGTTGCATAAATTGTGGGCTGGGTGCTAAATTATTTGGTAGTATCAGGTCATTATAATTTTGAGGTTTTATTTATTTTTTAAAAAGTACATTGACATAGTATAAAACAAAATATAAAATCACATGAAGTATCACAGATTAATGATAAATTTGTAAATTACATAAGTAGAAGCTAACATCATTACTAACATGATACAGCTGTGTTAGTTACACGTTTTTGCTTTTGGCTTTTTCTCTTGAGTTGAGATTTGGTCTATTTGTCTTGGTTTATTTGTGGTCTAATTTTATTGGTGTCTTGGTTTACTTTGGTCTAGGTTTTTTTGTGTTTTAGTTTATTTGTGGTCTTTGTTGATTTGTGTTTTGGCCTGTTTGTCTAGGTCTGTGTCTGTGTTAGTGTCATGTTTTTTATTTCCACCAGTCAGTGTCGTAAATCAATAAATTAATTTAAAGTTTCAAACCCATGTAAGCAATTATGTATATCTTAAAATAAATAAACTTAGCAGTCTTAGCTGACAGTCTTTACACAGTGTTTGGAAAAGGCTGGGAATGGCAGCATTTATAATAGAAGGACAACTACAACATGTAGCAATAAATGACGTAAACAAACAGCTCTACTTGAGAACACTCTCCTCACATACAACACTGAACTCTCCTGCATCATAGAGAGGTAGCAGATGATGACCAACCTAGAACATTTACATTTATAAGTATTTAAAACAAAAAGACAGTTGAATTATTTATTTTGTGAACATAAGTTAATATAGTAAATTAAGTACTGCCAGTCATTTAATAAGCTGGATGACTTAAGTAGTAAGTTTAATTATAAAGTTAATTAATATGAAAAGGTATACATTTTTAAAATGATTAGGTTTTTTTTCTATGCAAATAAAAGGGTCAAAGGGTATCTTACCACTGCAGACTGTGATGGTACATTGACAGTTGTCATCAGGGATCCAGTATGGCTGACCACTCCACGACTTTTACTGCAGTCTAAAGCTATTTTTAATTTGTTTCGTGACTGGAAGGAAATAGATTAATATCTTAAGATTTCCTCCTTTAAACTTTATTATTATAAATATTTAAATATTTGTGTCTACTATTTTATTAACTCAAATCAAAACGTACTTAAGTATCAGTTACTGACTAAAAAATACAAACTTCACACATGACTAAAGCGCATTTATTCCAGACCAAATGGAGAGCCAAGTTTTTAATATACCTTGTTGTCAACCACAATCATGGCTCTGTGGTCATTGGTGTACTGGTGCACTGTCACATCCTTCAAGCCCTTAACTTTCACAGGTTCACCCTTAACAACACACAATGTTTTTTTTTTTACATGACAGGGATTGATTTTTTATACATGAGTAAAGGCTAGCTCTAACAATGTGGACACATTTCTAACATTTGAGAACAATGTGTGTCATACTTTTAATTCAAATTTTAAAAAAATGTTTTTTTCTTCTAATTTAAATACTCTAAAATCCATACAGATTTCAAAAACAATTTTAAATTACAACAAAGCAGTCTGCAAAGCAGACTTCAATAAAAGTTACAATTATGAAGAAAAAATATTTCTCTGAAAAAATAAAAAACAACTTTACATTAAAAAAAAGTTAAATTAAAAATCAACAAAATACACACTTTACCTTGGAAATAAGAAAACAAACATTACCTTGGTAATAGCCAATTCACATACAGCCTTGTCAATCTTCTCCTTATTAGACTCGAGGCCAATAACTTTCAGCTTAGGAGTGTCACAATCTTGTGTGTAGACTTTAAGGAGGAATGGACAACTCTAGATAAAAGAGAATACTAAATGAAACAACTAGACAGAAGAGAATACTAAATCAAACAAAAGACGATTTAACTTATGAAGGTTATAATTTAAATAACATGTTTGTGTATATTCTTTTCATTCTCATTCAAATTTTATGCAAATATTAAACCTAACCTCATCTAAAAGAAGAGACTTATTGAATCCCATGGCAGTCAAAGTAATCCAGAGATCTTCAGTATCACCTTCATTGTCATCTGCTTCCATTTCATTCAACTTAATGAAGCCACTTGGAGTAATCTGCCCTTTGTCTAATTCAATGTTGTCTTTGGCAGTGAAGGAGAACATGATTTTAAAATTTATATTTATAATTCAATACAAAAACTTTAAAAAATTAAAATAATTAGATACAATAATATTTAAAATACATTTATATCTGAATTGAACTTTCTCTGTTATCTGAACTAAACAACGTACGTTTAAAGACATTTTCTATAAAGTATAAAAAAATACAAGAACAAAAATATCCGCAATGTAACAGTGACATAAACATGAACAAAAATAACATCAATCTAAAAGTGACATAAACATGAACAAAAATAACCGCGATCTAAAAGTGACATAAACATGAACAAAAATAACCGCAATCTAAAAGTGACATAAACATGAACACAAAAAAACACAATCTAAAAGTGGCATAAACATGAACAAAAATAACCACAATGTAAAAGTGACATAAACATGAACAAAAAACCCCACCTTCAACCACTTGCCACTCATCATCAGCGATTTCTTCTCCACTGGTTCTCAAGTTGTACCAGTTGAACTCATTCCTGCTTAGTAAACCATTGCCATCTAGATCAGCCATTTCAAAGATGTCTTTCAAAGCTTTTCTGTTTATTGATCAATAAGAAAATTTTCTCAAGTTATGAAAAAAAAAAAAAGGAGAAAATAGTCCTAAAAGAAAATAAGTTAAAACAGAAAGAACAGGATGAAATTACCATTGCGGACAAAACTATTGTAGACAGGATTACAAATAATTACGGCTTTTCATTTTGTGTTAGCTTATTTATTAAATATATAATATTTCAACCTGTCAGTGTCTTTAATTTAAGCTTCCAAACCCATGTAAGCAATTCTGTATATTTTAAATTAAATAAACTTAACCACGCTTAGCTGACAGTCTTTAGATAAAAGGCTGGGAATATATTTAAATATATGAATCAAGTTTTCTAAATTCTAATGAATTTCTAAATGCCATGTAAAACCATTTGACATTAAAATGAATAACCTTTTGGTAATAATAAATGTTGTGAAATTGGCATGTTATCATGTAGGTGTAACAACTAGTAAGTGAACAAGATCAAATAACAACCAGATCATCCAACAAGGTTGACCTCACCTGAATGCAGGTGTTAGAATAATTCTGTCCTCCTTATCTTTAGTGATAAGCTTAGCCTCTTTGGTTGGTAAATTTTTGCCAGGTTTTAGTCTACAGCCTGTGCTGAAGGGAATTAGAAGGTAGTTTCCCTTGGATAGATTACAGCGCAGACTGTACTTCTGTAGTTTCATAAAACAAAGCATGTTCAGACAAAATAAACTCTAAACGGTGCATATATAATAATTAAAGGACAAAATATACAATTACATTGTTTTAAGGGGAAATAAAATTAATGTAAATATTTTAAAAATTTAAAGTGATATTTAACCTAATGCTGCGGGCCCTTACATTAACTCTTTCTTCACTAAATTATCCATTTTAAATTTTTTGGTAAGAATAAAAATTACTTCAATAGCATTTGAGTACATTCGATGTTCTAGTCAACAAAAAACATCTTCATTAAAACACAGAAAGACTTTACAAAGTGGTCTAAATAATGCAACCTACTCCTTTTGAGTCTTTACTTTCAGTGTAAGCTATCAGGGAAGTTCCATTTTCATTTAACACAAACAATGCTGTGTCTACAACTGTGCCATCCAGTGATTCCCCTTTAAGGTTTTACAGAAAGAATTGTTATTACAATATTCAATTTTCTATATTTCTAATTATTTATTCTTCCATTACTTACTTGTAGTTATAACTTCACATCCATTAAGTTTAAAAGTTAAACAAAGAAAAGTTGTCAAACAGCTTTAAAACCTACCGCTCCATACTCCCCGTACACAAAAAAGATAAATTATAAAAGGTAACCATGTGACACATTTTGAGATATTTAAACTATTTTAATAACTAATGTTTAAACACTTGGCCGGCAACAAGTGAGTGGCAGGTAAAACTGACAATATAGAACACTATATGGTTTTTAATTTGGCCTACAATAAGCATGTTTTACCTGACTCTCCTATCCTGAGAGGTTGAATTGTCATCCATGCATCAGTGGCCTCTGTTATAATGAGTTTGTAGGTGTGGCTGATTATTGTGTTCTCTAAGAAGAATGTTCCCTTTGATTGCACACATGACCACTCCTGAAAAAAAATATTGAAAAAAAGCAAAATAAAAAAATGAACAGAAATCAAGATATAGCAATATTAGTGATATAAATTTTTTTTTTACTGTTCTATCACAAAAATAGTCCTATTCCATAAGTAATAGACTATTAAAATTTTAGATTTATACACTCAGCTGTCATTGTTAGTTATACGGAAATTCACATTGTTTAAACAATATGTTAAGTAAATACATACACGAAGATTGCTTGGTTCAGACTGCCGACCCCCTTTGCTAGAAGATTTTGGTCTGGTTTCACGAGGAACACGAGGTGAAGGTCTTGAAAACTCATCTGGAAAATCAAAAACATCATGCGTAAATTTTTAAAATCTGGTTTTTCCCAATAAAGATTGACATGTGCATGCATATTTTTATGTTGCACTTCTTCCTCAATCAGATATTTTGACCTTCATATAAATCCTAGTTAACACACTGTATAGGATGTACATCAGTTTTAATTTCTCAAAACATGTAGGTTTTGTACATGAAAAAATTATAAAATTAATTTCAAGACATGTGAGTATTACTAAGACAACAGTATCAAAGTGGAAAAACTTTACTAAGATTTACTAAGCACATTGATACAAATGAAATATTTATTGTAAGTTGGGTACAATCAGTTACAGTGGTGAGTCTTACCATCCATTAAACTGCCTGAGATGGATTGTTTTGATGCTCTTCTGTCTAGTGATGTAGCTGGTAAAAAATATAAAAAATTTTATTTTATTTTTTAAGACAAAAGAACTTATTGTTTGAAAATATAGCAATATTTTGCAGCAATATAAAATTAGCAGCTCTTATATTAGATTAATATGCAACCATAGTATGAGACAAAAAAAACATGAAAATAATATATCTTTACTCCAACCCAAAATGTATTTTTAAAATATATCCATTTTTATTTCTCATACATATATTTTAACAAATAAAATAGAATATAATAAATAAGATAAACAGCTAAAATAATGTGGTGATTGGGGAATACAATTGACATATAACCTTTTTAACACAAATTCAATAGAATTTCTTTGATCATGTTTCTAAACCTATTAAGCATTAAAATAATTTTGTTTGGTATATGGCTTGTACCATTTGATTTTTGTCCCCGTACTGAGAGATTAGACATTCTACGTTCTGACTTAGGCTCAGGACTTTGGTCAGGACTAGACTCTGTAAAACATGGCACATTTCATTACACATTTTTTATCACTGATAAACATTTAATAATCTATCTCTTAGACAAACTCAATATAATGCCAGATAAATTTAGATGCCAAACCTGACATCTTTGAAAATATTTCTTTCTTCTAATACATGCTACTTTTAAACATTTTTCAGCAACATGGTTTGTACCATTGGAATTTCGGCTCAACATTGAGAAATTGGACATGCTACGTTCTGATTTAAGATCTGGACTTTGATCATGCTTAGATTCTGTAAAAAATTGCATTATTGATTAGCTACACACTTTGAATTAGTTATATGATGTACCTCCAGCAAAAACAAACACAATTTACATAAAAGGCATGCTATGTTACATATGTAAGATTTATAAGTTGGTGTATCTATTTAAAACAAAATGTCTAGTCGAATTCTTTTATGTTAGTCAATAATATCTAAACATTATTGTAAAAATCTTAATTTTTCCTGTTATTTAAGTAAAAAAACAGTTTTTAGTAAAAGATTAAATTTTAAGTAAATGCATTCAATACATATTATTAGTTACTAGGAATTACCCATTTCTTTGTAGCTAAGTTACATTACATTGTTGTCATATACAGAAGCCACACTGAGCTAATCTAGTACATTAAAAAGCTGAAAATTCTGATCTAATAGATTTATGTGATTACTGGTGAATTCATATGAGACGCTAAACAAATCATTATATCCATTTATAAATACTTATAAAAATCATTCATAATTTCCAAGTAATTGGATCAAAAAGTGTAAGCATTAAGCTCTCCCTCAAAATTGTAAAACCAAATAGGCAACCAGGAATAAGCAAAAAGCTTAGCTATTGAAGTTTTAATTGAAGCGCTTTTTATTCTAATATTAATTTTAATATTTAATATACTAAATAACAATTTTAAAATCAATTTAAAACTATCATCTTTAACAAAAGATGATGAAGAATTGTGGGAATAAAAAGCCAACATGCTATGACAGTATCACTGCAGTGACAACATTGATGGATACTGAAAAGTGGTTACTGGTTCTCAAAACATTTTTAGAATACAGAAGTTTTGTAAAAACAAATATCAACATGCTTCAACTTTATATTTGCATTGGAAAAACAAAGATAATTCATTAAATTTTATTTAAATCTTAAAAACAATATTTACTGTTTTAATTATAATTCCACTTTGTTTTGTCAAATCAAAATCTAAGTCAAAGCATTTATAACACTTTTGTATTCTTTTTTGATTTTGAGGGTAAAAGAGTAGCAACAGATAGATCTATGTATCAAAAGAACATGCTATTATTCAACACTGGTCACAATCAACTGAAAATCTCAGGAAATTACAGAAGTTCAGTTGCACTCATCCCCTTTTACAAAGTCTCAAAAGAATTATTATTTCTTTAATTTTAGTTCATAAATGACTTATATTTTAGATAGCAGCTTAATAATTATTTAGTAAAAAAATTTAGTTTTTAAATTTTTTTTAGTATTAGGACTCTAGCATACATTTAAATAATTTATGGTTTAAAATGTTCCAATAATATTCTTGAGGTGATGTGAGTTTTATAATTAAAACAATATACTAGTTTAGAAATAAAAAATATTATTTTAAATGTTTAAATTTTGTTTTAGTAAAAATAATAAAATAACATTTTGAAAATGACTGGGTTATTTTTTTTTTAAATTAACTGTATTAAAAAACAAATTAACTTGGATTTTAGAAGTAGTTCATGGCCAAGATACTATAAGCAAATTAAATTTAGCATACAATAGTCGCTATATTTTTATGGAATAAAATACTTTAGTAACAGCATTTATGTATAAGTATTTGTAATGTGAGTCAATGATGGGAAAGTGTTATAAGCGTTTCACTCTTTATCTTACGCCTCCTGTCAGATTCAGTGGAGTTTATTGAAAGTTGAGATCCCATAGACTGCTGGTCACTATCTGACAGAGATAATTCAGTTTGTTTAAAGAACATGCGGCTCTTTCAAAACATATCTGACTTGTGTTATCCAAAAGATGCATTGTATTTTAAGAAAGACATTGTAACTTAAGTTGTTAAACAAGATTTATACTTGCCAGAGCTGAAAAAAAAGTCTTCAAAGACTAATTATTTTGACATCTCTTTATGATGAATTTTAATTGAATAAATGTCATCCGGTCCATTGTAGTCTTTGTTATATATTTTAACACAGGAAACACATGCTGGTACATGACCCATATTTACAAAATGTCAACAATAAATGGGTGTTTATGATCAGTACTATAATCACTAATTCACTAGATCTAATTGTAGAGAAACCTAGGTATAATATCTATAAGAGGTGTAATGCAAAATTTCTAGCCAATTCTATTGATAGGGAAGAGCAATACTATATATTAAAAGTAATTCTATTTTCGTTATTAGAGAATAAACTAAAAAATTACTATTTGATAAATAATAATTAAAACTCACTAAAAGAGATATTTTTTAGATTACATATTTAAGGGTTAAAGAATATTATTGATAAAAAAATTGCGGTATTATTCATAAATATTTTTTTATTTCAGAAGTAAGAACCAACGAACAAACCTTTGCGTGGAGTAATCTCCCCATCCCTGCTTTTTAATTTCTGTCTTTCTTTCTTTTCCAAAGCCTTGATTGCCATCTTCTTATAATCCTCTGTTGTCGTCATCATCAAATGTGTGAACTTATTATGTAAAAGTTTATTTATAGGTTGATTATTTAATTCATAAAATTTTTTTTATCATGGTTTAAACAACATATGTAGTTTTCAGTATTCACATAACATACATAATTTGCTCAATAAATTTTATGAACTTACACTGCTAAAACAGTAAATTTAATAATCACTTATTGTCGTTATAATGTTACTATAGTATTTAAAGAAATATAAATTTATAAACATATTACAAGTTATTACAACCATTTTCTAGCACAAGAATACAGCACAAAGTATTTTACAACAAGCTAACATTTAACTACCAACAATTATCACTCAACACTTTTACCTTGTTGTAATCAAAGACTTCCTTCTGTTATATTTAAGTAAGTAGCAAAATAAAACATAAAGGATTTAATTTAACAAAATCATTCAGCTTTCAAAATAGTGCATTTTTAAAATATATATCAAATTTATCCAACATTTTTAAACATTCCATCTGTGGAATTGCTTTAGATAATTGTCTTACCTCTTTGTAATTTAGTTTCCCATCTTTGTTTTCATCCACCTCATCAATTAAGGCTTTCACTTCAGGTCTAGTCATTTTCTCTCCTCTCTTAAAATAATTTTACTTTCTAATAACACACATAAACACTATTAAAACTTTCATTTTTATAAATTCATTTCTTTTCTATATCATTATCTATAGGTATTAAAAACACAAAGCTGTTTTACATATTCTGGTTTGTCTCATTTAAGAACAATTAAGAACAAAATATTTTAAACTATTGTATTTTAGGAAAGTGAATACAAATATCTTCAAGTTCAGCTTTTAATTTTGTCAATGCTCTTCTGAGCTTATTTATAACTTACTGTGGTGAGAACTTTCAAAAGCTCATCTAATGAAATGAAGCCATCACCATTTAGGTCAATCTTTCTAAAAGCTTTTATGAGATCTTCCTCTGAGGTAACAGGTTCTCTTTTACATATGTCAACAAAATCCTCAAATGTTATGTAGTCTGCAAATTGATAACAGGAGTACTAGTTAAAACAACTTTTTAATAGGAATATACTTTTAAATCTCAATAAGATGGCCAGCATTTAGAAGAATAAATTTGTTTTTTATAATACCTGTTTTTGGAGTCCAGTACTTAGAAATTATTTTCCTTGAAGGGTTTCTCCCTGTCTGCTGCAAAACTAGAGTTGAAAAAGTAAATTGAATTGTTTCCAATCCCCTATACATTTTTTTGTGTGTGCATTATACATTTTATTGTTTTATTCCCATGAAGGCTATTCTATGGATAATGAAATATCTATATATATAATTCGCTTCTTTGGAGGGACCATGCGGGACACTATGTAAGCATACCCGACCGCCCTCTCTCTAGGCATATCGCTACAACCCCCATCCCCATCAGTCTAGTGAGCTGTGTATTTACATCAGACAGTTACTATGTACCAGACCTGGTGATCAGACATGTCATCAGAGACTGTTCTCTACATGCCAAATAAAGTGTAAAGTAAACTTGATGGTGTCTACTGTTGTATTCTAAGTACCATGAGCTGAGTAATGTAACAAACACATGACCAGTATAAAACCCATTTATCTTATTCTTCATCTGACATAGAAAACTTAATGATTTTAGTGAGCCAATGAAGTGTTCATGGCATTCATCAAAACTGTAACAATAGTTAGCTTTAAGCATTAACAGCCAGTTAAAGAATATAAAGTTTAATAGAGATTTAAAATATGAAGGTGACTTTTACAACTGAGTTTTCAAGTGAAAAGATTTAAAAGAAACACTTACGGAGCATTAAGTCATCTTTGGACTCAACCTTTTCATTAATAGTATCATAGTGGGCCAAAAAGGCTGCCCTGCATTCAAGTTTGAGCTCATTATCTGCAGAAGTTCGACTTGAAACAGATGTAGCAGTAGATGGTCTACTCAGCCGTCTTTGACTAGACATTTTTTACATCCTTTCAGTAAACAAATGAATTATGTAGTAGTTATAGAGTTTAAGCCAATATTTTATGATTTATATTAGTCAAAGTAAAAAAAAATGAATCATTATGGAAAGTAGATGCAGAAATCTTTACTCTTAAAGTAAATTTTCTTAGCCTAAGTACCTAAATTTTATGCAGTTTCTTTTCAAGCCAGAGAGACAACAAGGATTAGTGTCATTGGGGAAAGGACATACCACCCCCCCCCCTAATTTGCCCAATCATTACCCTTATATTAATTTCCCACCCCCCCCTTTCCCTTCCCCACACCAAAAAAAAAATTGCAGTAGGACAGTACTTCCCGGTGAACAACCGCTCTCCCCACTTTTTAACAATACATAGGTTATTGGGATAGGTTAAGGAAATTTTGGGATAGACATATGAATATGGTTATGGTAAGGACTAGGGTTCTGGTAGGGATACAGATAGGGATACTGGATTGGGGATAAGGTTAGGGATAAAGATAGGGATAGGTTAACAAGAAGTTTAAAGATAAGGAGCTGGATATGGATAAGTATATTGTATAATTGTAAGGAGGGATAATTTATTCAGGGGGTAATGATTTGGAAAATGACCAGTGGGTAATTGTTAGGGGATAATATCCTAGACCCAGTATCTTAAGAGCTTTAGGTTAAGTCAACAGTCTGGAGTTGTTACACTACACTGTTGGCTTTGAATTAGAGTACATTTTAGATGTAATGTTGTGAACTATAATGTTAACATTGCTGATTCAAACTATCCAATGCAAATGTATATCACTACATTACGGATCAAGTGATATTAGTATTACAATTATTATTACTATATAGTATATTACTGTTACTATTTTACACTACGCCTACAGTGTTCTACAGTTATTAGGCCTAGGCAGTATCTGTAATTAATAGTAATTATTTATTTTTACAATGTAACTGTAGTGTAGTGTAGGGTCTGGTAGTCTAATTACTAATTAACTTACGCTGCAGCTATTCAGTCACAGTTCACTAGTTACAATATACTTGAATATACTAGTACATACTACACATACATAGTACATAGGCCTATCTAATCATCTATAGTATAGGACTACTCTATACTAATTTTAATTTATTTAGTATTTAGTATTTAGATCTAGATCTAGTAGGCCTAATAATTTTTAATAATAAAATATTTTAGTGAGGGATCCTAAAAATAAAAAAAATAAAGTCTACTGACCGTGGTAAAAACTATCAAAGTATTAATGTAAAAACGTGATAGAGGCAATTACAGCAGTTTTAAAAATTAAAATGAAGAAGAGAAGTGTTTACAGTTATAATCAAGCACAATTTTGTTTTTTAAAAGTATGTCTACAAAAAATAAACATCTTGACATGTTTAGACGGCGTAAGTAGCAACCGAGCTACTTCCGTGATATTATTAATTATTCATTCAGTAATTATTAATTACCAAAATACAAACAATAATTCACATTTGTTAATTTATTATATTTTTAAAATATTTATTAATGTAGTATGTATAAAAATTAATGAGTATAATAATAAAAATGTGATAAAAAAAGATTATTCATATCAATCGCAAGTTGTCAATAATGATTACTCAAAATCGAAAAGATAAAAAAGTGGAATTTTTATTTAACGAAATACCATAAAATTAAAATCAGGAGTCTGATAAGTAAAATGAAATAAATAAATAGGAACTTACAGTCCATTATCCTAGATCTAGACTAGAATCTAGATCTACTAGTAGATTTAAAATCTGAGTGGTGCTCATAATCTAATGTACTATTCAAAATGATTGAAGTAAACAGAGATAATTTCGACATTGTGTATCCAAAAGTTGAATATGCAATTAAAGTGGCCGATTTTATTTGTAAGAAATATTAATAAGTTAAGAAAATATAGATTCTAATTTATGATAATTATTAATTTAATAATTTAATAGGCCTATACAATAATATTGAAAAAGAAATAGTTAGTAGATCTAGTAGTAGTAGACTCTAGAAAGTAATACTAAATAAATATAGGCCTAATAATAATATAATACTAAATTTGAACTAGATATTTAATTTAAAAAAAAGGGGGGGGGGGGGGGCTGGGCAGAAATTAATCAGGCCTAGATTAAATTAAAAGTGGGGATCTGCCTGTGACAATAAACAATTGTGAATTATTACCAGAGTCTAGACTATTACTATAGTATTAGACAGGTTGGAGGAATAGTTAAAAAAAAATTAAAAATGTAGGCCTAAGCCCTGAGCATTTTTTGTATAGAATTTAGCATTTTAAAAACATTCTTTTTCAATAGCAATTGATGCTGAATTCACAGGACTTCATTTTGATGAAAGAAGCAAACCCAGGTAGGATATTTATTAAATTATTTTATATTAAATTTTTTTGTCATAATCATTAATCAAGGCTGTTTAAATAAATTTAATACAAAAATAAAAAGAAAGAATTCATCCAAATGACAGTCTTACTAATCAATTAAAAAAATTTGCTTCATAAAACTTAAAATCCTATGAAGAGATAATAAATGTTATAGGATCATTTAAAATTTAAAGGGATGAAGGAAATCAGCAGTCTGTAATGAGTATGATCAGTCAGTTTTGCATGTGTTTGTTTATTGCTGCAGGGATTATTGTTGAATTTTTTATTTTTGGCAGTTTGTTTGACAGTAGTACAGAGCGATATGCAAAGCTGAAGAGAAGTATTCAAAAATATACCTTATCACAGATAGGTTGGTTCTACAGATATTTAATTTCTAATGAAATAATTTTTAAAACTGATTTTTTAATTTTTTTTTATGCATTAATCATTAATAAAGTGACGGGTTTGACATTTTAAAATGTAAGAAAATACATCAAAGTACTTTTTAAAATAAAATTTGAGTTTCTTTAACTTTTACTTATCATGTCAGCTAAAAATGGAAGGAAAAAAAACCATGGTATTAAATAAAGAGTCGCTGATAACATTATATAATATATATTGTAAAGTACTGAATTCTGCTAAATTGTTTTTTCATTTTATTTGTTTAAATTGCATCTTAGATTGACCATGGCCAATGTCTTAGAAAATGAGAGGATTTATTTTATTTTTTAAGAAATTTAGCCTTGTAATCCACCAAATTCAGTGTTTTTGTAGAATTTTTTGTCACTAAAAGGACAACCATTTTATTTAGCTTTATTTTCCTAGGTCTGACAACCTTTACTCGAAACATTACAAACAACCAGTAAGTAACATTTACACATATTTTTTTTTTCCTAACCCTTTTGATAATTTTATTTTTCTTTACTTTTAAATCCATGTAATTTTTTATGTTAATAATTTTTACAAGACAACTTTCCTTCTGTAATGTATTTGTATAATCTACAGATATCTTTCTCAGACATTCAATTTCTATCTATGTCCCATACCCTTTGGTTCCAATGATCAAAGATTTTGTCTGCAGGTTTGTACAACTACATTTTAAAGTTCATGTAGTTAGTAGTATAATAAATGCTTTTATGTTAATGTTATTAATAGTGAATATTATAGTATATATAAAACTGTTTAACTGGGTTGTTAAATGTATTCACATTTTTGTGCAGGCATCTAGCTTGCAGTTTCTTTGCAAACATCTGTTTAATTTTAATAAGGTAAGTCAATTCCATAATTGCATTTGTAAGTTATGTCATGAACATTTCTAAATATCATTGTGTTATTAGTTTCTGGTTTACCCACTACATTTTAGAATTGAGACTGCAGTTTGTAAAGATAGGCAAGCAGTTGTGACTTTAAAATATTATAGTTCTGATTTGTGCTGTTAATACTTAGTTATCTTTTTGCATGTCATAGTGGTTTTATGAAGGAATCCCTTACTTAAATAATGTTCAAGAACAAGTGGTATGGGAAGAGCTCGATGGTGGACTTCTGTTTGGAGGCATTAACAGGTTTTTGTTGTTTCAAACCTTGTTTTTCTTTATTTAGATTTGTTTTTTGCACAATATTATTCTTTACTATTAAGTATTATTAAAGTAATAAGTAAAAAAAAAGTAGAGTATGCTTTCGAACCTTACGGTTCATGGGGCACCTGTTTAAGTGACCTCAGCATATGGAGGGATAGTGTGGTCCAGCCACTTTCCCTAACATGAGTCATGTAACCATCAGAGTTGGGTGGACTCATAGATATTCCATGGACTTAGCCCATCATCCAAAATAGAGAGTTTTGGTTAAGCAGTCTGGTGCTCTACTCCTCGGCCATGCTGTCCTATAATACACAATGCACACACTGTGTGGTGCTGACAAAGTACCAATAAATTGAAGTTCCATAAAGTGATAATATATGTTCTATTAAATTTTCATACATGATTATTACCATTATTTAATGTAATGCTAATAGTAATATCTCTGCAGTACTATTGATGAAAAAGAGATACAGAGTTTTTGCTCTAAGGTGGCATCATGGCTCCCAAACAGTAAAATTGGAGAGAGTTTAACATTAACCAAATGTGAAGGTATTTTGCTTTAAAATTTGGTTTCTGTAAATATATGGTTTTAGTTTGAAATAAATACTATTTACAATTTAATGTATAGTGATTAGCACAAATAAAGTTAATGTTAAATATAATAGACAATTAAAATGAAGTATAAAATTAAATGGAATACTTTTTTCTATTTGTATAAAATTTAAAACTCGTTGCAGATAGCCAGGAATATATTTATCATTCTGATTTAAGGATGAGATTTTCTCAAATATGGACTTACAAAAACCAGTTTGATCAGGTACTTTATTTTATAGAACAATAAACATTAAATATTTGACATATAATTTTCAAAATTTTAATTTTCTTTCAACCCAATATTTTATAGCATTCCTTATCACAATAATCTATTTTCACAGAATTTCACTTACGTTTTATCTTAAAACTTTTTGCTGTTTCAGATAGTTGTTGAGCATGTGGACTCCATTAAAAGGCATCTGCTTGAAAAGCAAAGTCATGAGTCAGACAGACAGTTTAAAAGAAAGTTAGTAACTGTAATTTTTTACTTTCTCGTATATACGACGTATAGAGAAAGTATTGTAATCGTGCACAAAAATCACTTGAAATTTTAACAATTTTCACAGTATCACACCTCAGTCCTTCATCACATCCGAAGTATAGAGGACTTATTTTAATCGGGCAAAAATTATCAATCCCGATTTATCAAAATTAAGAGGTTTTATGCGTAATCCAGTCTGAAAAACTGGGCTTTGCAATTCTGTCCGTATGTCTGTGTGTCTGTCTGTCAGTGTGTAAACACGATAACTTGAGTACCGTTACAGCTAGGTTGATGAAATTTCATATATAAGTATTTTATCAAAATCGTAGATCCGTATCAACTTTTGAGCGATTTCCGATAACCGGAAGTGGTACTTTTTCTACTTTGAATTTTTCAAAAGCCTATAACTTGAGTACTATTTCATATAGATAAATGAAATTTCACATGTAAGTAAAAGATCTAATTCTCTACCTTCTGTTAAATTTTGAGTAATTTCCGTTGACCGGAAGTAGTAATTTTGCGCTACTTCCGATTTCTCAAAAAACTAATGTAAATTTTTAAAGTACTAATAATATTGCGCACTATTATGCACTTTTTTATTTGGCGTTCACTTGGTGTGCAATAAATTTGTCTACGAGATTTTATTCTATTTTTAAAACTTTAAGTATTTAAAATGGATTAAAAATCATGTCTATAGCCCGAGTTCCCATCCCCTGTTATTTTATATAAGAAAATTCGAGAAAGTTTAGGGGAGATCACACCCGGTTTATTTTAAAAAGGAGTTTTCTGTTGCTGTTAGATGAAACTCAAAGATATTTAAAAAAACTTAACTACATGAAAATCAAATTATTTTACCCTGTCTTAACAAGAACAGGATCCTTTTAGAACATTAGGTCAGTTTATTGTTTGCAGTTGTAGTGGCTTCTCATGTAAAATTTAACCCAAGTTTTAAGTGTGTATTGTCTTTTTGTTTTTATCCTTGTAAATTAACTTAATTATTAAGCATCCACCATTTTAAAATATTTTCTATTATTGGGTTATTTTTGAGGTTTTACTGAGGAATTAAGTTTGCTCTGAAATTTTAAATTATTGAATGAATTTAATTTACTTACATTTGTTTGTATAAAATCAAAATGAAAGATTTAAGTAATTCTCATTTGTTTTTCAGGCAAGTTTTGCAGTTATTAGGGTTCACCAGAATATTTAGATTACTTCAAAAATCTCACAAGGTACACTCAAGTAATTAGTTAAATGTAACACTCTACCAGAAATAACATTATCATAGTAGGAATAAAATTTTATTTTTAAATGTACTCCAGCTGAATCATATTAGTAAAATGAATAAATATCAGACAATGAAAAATGAAAGCAGTAAGGTGCAGAGAACTAAAATAATATTGTCACTCTCCAGTTTCATTGTTAATTTGAATAGAATATATTTTATATTATTATGAATTTATTATTGTATAATGTATTTAAAACATTTTTTTCTAGCCTATTGTTGGGCACAACCTGTTGATGGATCTCATGTTTATGTATGACAAATTTTATAATCCTCTACCAGGTATGATCTTTTAACAGCCCATGAACAAATTAAATGCATAGAAAAATACCAGTTTGCTAAAAGATTTAAAATTAAGTGCTTAAGAAATACTTTTTAAAATGTATGATAAAAAATATTCAAAACAATTTTTCTGACTTATGTATTTTGTACTTGTGCTCCTTATTTTTAATTTTCTATGTACATTTTTATTTTTTGTCTTCATAGAGAGCTATCGTGACTTTAAAGAAGGAATCAACAAATTATTTCCTGTTATATTTGATACCAAACACATGAACTATTGTTTGAAAAAGGTTGGTTACATTTTTTAATTGACTTAAAATCAGGATCCACAGTTGAAAAATCTTTTAAATTTTGAATACTATTTCTATGAAACTGAATTCTACTTGAATAATTGTTGTCATCTGTCCATTTGATAACACTTTTCTGACTGCACTGATTTCCTAAATTATTGGTAAACAATTCAAAATAGTTTTAACATTTTATTATTTAACTCATTTTATCGTGATCACAAAAAATAATGGCCAGTTAATATGTTTGGTGTTGTAAGCATTTATTCTCATTGTGATTAATTTATTTTTATTATCAAATAAGCAATTAGAATCATTGGAAATCTACAACTCTAACAGCTTAGTGGAGCTTTACCACAACCTCAGCAGGTAAGGTACAATCTAAATGCTTTAATTTTTTGCTACACATTTTTACTGATTTTAAAACTAATCTAGTTTAATAATACTTGTTATTTTTTTTTTAATTTGCAGCACCCATTTTTTGTTAGCAACTATTCACCAACCCTCCATACTTCAAGATGAAGATGAATCAGGCGCAGGAGGTAAAAACTTCATCTTATCTTGAATGCTACTTTTAAATATGAATGCCCCGTTTGGTTTTGTTTTTCATGACTCTAGGTTAAATATACCATAAACTCCAGTAATAATCTTATATATAATGGTGGTAGGTTTAATGCAACATGATCCCCTGTAATAGTTTTACATGCCATTGATGGTAGTATGAATTTAAATACCATTTAAATGTCTCTCACAAACTTTAGTTGGAGGTTGATTATTGCTGTCAACCCTGTTATCTCCAATCAAGATCTTTTAAATTTGAACATATGTCTCCTTTTTATCAAAGTGCTATAGTTTACTATGCAGAATAGAGTAAAGAGTAAGAAAAGATACATTTTATCTTAGCACATTGAAATGGGAGAAGAAACCAAATATTACTTGAGCATATTTAAATGGGGGAAGAAACTTCAAATATTACTATAACATACTTAAATGGAAGAAAAACCGGTTATAATATTACTATAGCTATTTAAATGCGAGAAGAATCTTCTAGTAATGGGAGAAAAAACCTAATGGTTTTCTTGCGCTGATGAGGTAAAACAGTTTTAATCATCTAACAGATAAAAACAAACAAAATACTTTTTAAAAAAACTACACATTTTCTCTATGTTTAAAAACAACTAATAAATTTTGTAAAACAAAGTATTTTTTAACTTATTTGATCTAAATGGTATATATTTTAAATTGTTTCCCTCAACTAGATGCAGGAAAAGTTATTGCCCTTTTGGTCTATTGCATTTAACTATTTACCTTTTTGATATGTTTATTATAATAGTAGTTTTTATCCTTTAGACGAAGAAAAACCTCACCATGCAGGTTATGACTCATACTTGTGTGGTTGTGGTAAGTTAAATTTTAAAAAATTCTGGCTAATTTTAAAAAGCACAGTTTCTATTACATTTTAAAAACACAATAATCAATATTATAATGTTAAAAGACAATTATTTCATCCAATTTTGTCTAACATATTTACATGTATAAGGTAATTATAAAATGCATTAAATTTTCCTAATATTCTTCCTGCAGTGTTTCTTAGATTAAGCCATTTCCTTCACTACCGAAATATTGAGTAAGTTTTTATTTTAATTTAAAAAAAAAGCTTTTCCCTACGCTGTGTGCTATTAAATAGATAGTCCTAAAATAATAATTAAAATTGAATTATTTTTGCTTCACAGTGCCATGGATGCAGCACCTTGCATTTTCAAAGACTACCTTCAGAGCTTGAAAAAATATAAGAACTGTATTAATATTATAAGGGCAATGGTAAACCATATAGTAAGTTTTAATGAGATAAGATAAAACCATATTAGCAGATTGTTAGATTCAGAAAACATTTTGTGTTTCATTAAAAGGGAAAGAGGACTTAATCGTAGGATTTCAAGATACTACTTCTGATGTTTATTAAATTTTGTAAATTTTCTGTTTTAATTTTAGAAAATAAAAATGTGTGTTTATTATTTCCTAGAGGTTAGATGGAGAAGAACCCCCATGCCAGAGGCCACCTTTAATTCATGTTGAGTCCATATTGCCAGGAGGGAAACTAATTTCACAACAGGTATTAGAATTGCTAAATTTGGTTGGTATTTATAACAGTAACATTTTTTTAAAATTAAAAATTAACCCAAAACCTAATATAACACAAATACGTTATTAAAAATTTTTCACAAGCTTGCAGCCTGGTTTTCATTGTACGGCACTGTTGACATTCAAACTGTGAACACAAGACAGGCACTTGTGGCTACTTCTAATTTTCTAACGTAAGTTTTGTTAGTTATAATTTTGGTTTTTATTGTACTGTGTATAAATATTACAAAATTTACACACACACAAAAATTACTTATAGGGCTCAAGACATCATTCAGGCATTTAAAAACCATCATTCAATAAGGGTTACCAAGTACAGATTCTGGGATCATTCATCACTTGGTCAAGGAATTTTTTGGTGAGTTTTTAAAAAACCATTCTCATTATTCAGCTACCATCTGTCTGTTATCATGAAAAATGGCAAACAAAATAATATTTGAAACCAAACCTTTATTACCTAGAACTACATTACCCTAGCACTGTACGGTACTACCTGTTACCACAACACTGTTGATTACCAAATATGAGAGCGTTTTCCCAACAACTTAAGATTTTAATGTTTTCATGATTATTATTTCAGGGGGTCCTTGGCAATAGCAACTGGGACGTGTCTTTTCATTCTTATGACGACAGCAAATGATAAGTAGCCAATTCTTCAACAATTTTCACCATTTTTATTGGACCTAATGTCGTCGTTCAGCCAGCACTTACAATATGTTTTGCATGAAATAATGATTTCACTCAGTCTGTGCATACCATGCTTCACATGTTTGAAAGCAGTTATTTTAAAAAAAACTAAACAACCTTTATCAGCCTAAATTTTTTAAACTGTTTCTTGCTTTTAAACCCAAACAAAAGAGCAAAACTCTTAAAAGTTAAAACAATGAGTGTAACTCTTGTGGATCATCTCACTATCTTATTGTTTCTAAAATTTACTGGATGTAGGTAAAGGATATAATAGAGTATGACTAAATCTTAAATTTCTATTCTTGGAATATTGTTGCCATAAAATTAATTTTACAGACTTTTTGCAAAAGGCAATTCATTCTCATGTTTTATGAAGGGCATCATTTTATTTTTACATTTCATAGTTTACAGCACAGAAATTATTGCAATTTCTTCTTTTTCCAAATTGGTCCTGGCTCATCTTCATCTTTCTTATGGTCATCTTCATCTGGCTGTCTGAACACAGGGGTTGGTTGGGTTCTGCAAATATAAAGTACACAGTGGAATTCAGTATCAGTTGTTATTTTTATCTGTACAGACCTAACAATGGTTGTTCATATTTTTATTTGTATTAATACTTTGAATGTTATTTTAAACAAGAATGTTTACAGCAGGTTGATTTTAAGTGTAAATTGTTATAAATACAGAAAAAATATTGAGAAATAAAGTTTTAAAACTATTGTTAATATAGAAAACAAAATTCTTGGTTATTGTGTATTTACTTTAACTTAAGAAAGATGAAAGTTGTAGAATATTTGAGCAAAGTACCCTGAAAATGTTAGAGAACCCTAGCAATGAAGCTAAAACATGGCTCAATACTATAATGAAGTCCTTTATGCAGCTTTTAGGTGCTAGCATGCAGGACTGGGCGTGCAAGGAGAAATGTTATTGTGCTGCCTATATAGTCTTTTCATTTGCTGTGGCCTTGGAAATACATTTTTAAAAAAAATAAAAGTATACTATATGAGAGTAATTAATTTTAATATTGTTTTTGTAAGAAAAGAAAAAAGGTGGCTGACATACTTCTTGTAAGCAGGGTCAATCCAGTATGGATTCTCTGCTGCTTCTTTAGCATGTCGTAAAATAGCAGCTCTTGGATCTTTCTCAAAAGGATCTGGTTTCCTTGACACAATCTGCTGGGCAACATACTGTGATAGAGTAGCACCCTTTGCCCCAACTCGTCCTCCAGTACCTACACAAAAGGTATTTTAAAATTGATGATAAACAAATTCATGACATCTTAAAGCATAATTTTAATATTACGTGCAGTATTTTTAAAACAGCAGAAAACAAAAAAATTTCATGGATACAAAAATTGTCCATTTTGACCTTTAAAATTTGGACAGCCATGTTGGAGTATTAAAAAATACTGGATGAGAATTTTTTTTGGCTTTTGTTAAACCAGCAAATGGCCAACAAAAAAGTATTACCTGGCCCTGACACTGGCAAGTCTGGTCTGTGACTTTTAACTGGATCTTTTCTAACTCGCTCCTCATGTTTTCTGGTAGAAGTTGGCCGCCCCTGTCTGAACATTGGTAGAGCATAGGCTGGATGGACAGAATCATTAACACAGTGATAAGCATTGGAGTTTACCATTTTTGGATGCAATTAATTCAATACAATGAGGATAACTCTAACAAACCAAAGAGCAAACTTACGTGTGATAATATTCTGTGCTGCCACGATCTCTGCTTGTTTGACCTTTCTCTCCTTTTTAACCATGCACAACATAGCACCTCTAAAAAAGATAAATAGTTAACTTAAAGGTAAAACTTATTTTGAAGCTAAAGCTTTTGGAAGGTAAGGGAATAAATTGCTATGGCATTAACAAAGGACAATTAGTATTTGAATTGTAAATTCTCAAACTTTAAAAAAAAGGGAAACTACTCAACAAACCTGTTACTTTTGTTTGGATCATAGTAAAGTTTAATCTGCCCATCTCCGCAGCCAACAACCATTTGATTCAATTTTGGGTGCCACAAAAAGCGCACAGTGCTCTATAAAATGTAAAAATTGTACTTTTTAAAATTATTAACAATTATAATCACACTTTCTATTTCTTAGAAGAAACAAACTCTTAATTTAAATAGTAGTATTAATTAATTTTAATCCTTTCTAAGTATTCAGTTTCATAGAGTTTATATTAACATTTAAAAAACGTAAAACAATAAAACAACACTATTTGACTAATCTTTTACTTACAGACTCTGAAACATGCATTTCTTTGACGATCTCCAAATTTTCCCTGTCAAGAAAAACTAATTTTCCTTCTGTTTCAGTTTTACGTAGAGATATTCCAGTTACAATTAACTTGTCATCAGGACTGAATACACAGTCTGTCCTGAAAACAATGAAAAGAAAAAAGAATTTTCTTCATCATTTTACTTGTACACTTCACTACTTTCTACATTTGACTCACATCTTTTTTAGAAATAAATTATTTTGTAATGGATTAGTGTGAGACAAGAAGTACAATTAACAATTAAAGTAAAATTCTATTTCAATGCAGTGACTTATTCTGCATAAAATTAATCTTCATCACATTTTTTAAAAAAATCAATTGCTATTGTAAAGCAAGGGGAGGTAAGCTGTGTTCCATGAATCATCAAAGAAAACTTACATTGGAAAATTATTTGGTAAGTTGTTGGCAATTTGTAGTGGTTTCTGGAACTTTCGAATATCCCAGATCTTTAGTGTGTCATCACCTGGTAATAATAGCAACAGAAAATATTACAGCAGTTTTATATTTTGGCATATTCAATTTGTTGCACTCATTAAGTGTGGGAACAACATTTATCAAATTTAGTCTTTATCAGAACTCTCACAGTTGATTTTATGAAACAGTATTTGAACTCGTGCATAATTTTCTATTAACATAAAAAAATGACTCATAAATTTCTTTTATCAACACATAGTAGATTTAAATGGTATTTGCAAACATGCTGTTAAACTATATTCATCAGAAATTGACCATTTAAGGGCTGATTTATGGCTCACTTTTACTTAACTGTTATGATGATGATTTTAAATTACCTTTTACTATTAAAATTAATAAGCTAAATGCTATAAAATTTGGCTTATTTTGTAAACTGTGTTAAAGCATTATTGAACTTTATTAACAAAATCACCTGTGGTTATTTTAAAAATAAAAAAAAAAATTTAATTATTAACTTTACCTCCTCGTGATGCTAATATTCTACTATCATAAGAAAAGCGAATACATGTGATATCTGAGCCATTTGAATGTGCTGTTTTGTTTTGCATTGCAACATTTACCTGCAAAAAATTTGTACAAGTAACATTTCATAAACAAATAAACTTAGAATGTATTGTAAGCTTTCTACAAAAATATTGTAACATTTATCATATTACGGGTAGTGAAAATTTTACAGGTACTAAATTTTAGCATCTAAAAACTTCGAATCTTCTGTTCACCATTATATGGTCAGTAAAAATGAAATGCGAACAGTTTCATTTTCATGTATCTCGATAAAATTACAAAAGTTCCTATGACTTGTTCATTAGCTGCATACTGTAAGACTATAGAAATAACCATAAATATATCAATTAACATATTTCCCTGTTTCTGGATGACTAAATACCCAATGAAACGGTGAATAGTGTAAAACACCTTTGTTATTGGTATAAGATAAATAAAAGTTAACAATATTTACAAATGAATGTTTGTTGTAGTCCCATAACTGTATAGAACCATCATTACAGCCTGCTACAACATAACGTCCATCATTGCTGTATGTACAAGAGGTTGGCACTGTCTTGCGTCCACCAGATGTTTTAGTTTTGATAATATTCTTGTGTTTTAAAGGCTTATTTACATCCCATAAGCGAAGCGTGCTAGATAAATATAGGAAATAAAAAAGGTGAAATACACACTTTCACAAGTGGGCATTAAACTATGAAAATTCCCAAGAAATCAATGGCTATAAAAAGTCTTTGACTTACCAATCATTAGCACAGGTCAAAAACTCTTCTCTAACTTTTGGGTTCCAGCATCCATTATTGAGAGCAGCTGTGTGACCCTAAAGTTCAAATATTAGAAACTAAAACTATGAAGTGCAGGAAAACTTTACTTTTTTTCTGAACTCTAAGAAGAAAAACTATACAGGAAGTAATATTTGTAATAGCTCAAGAAATAAACACGAATTGATTTTTTAGTTTAGGTATTCATGAAAACTAATGGTAAAGAAAACAAAACAATGATAATTATTCTAAAGGCGATCAAAGCCCCCCTGGCAATGAGTTATAATTTAACTATGGTAAAAAATAGGCCTATATGATTTATTTATGTAATTTTTAGAATTCATGATTTATTTACATCATTTAGAACATAAATTACAAACACAAGTACCTTTGTACTAGCCATATCCACTAGATACTGATCTCCCTTTACACATTCCATCACCTCAAATCCATCTCTGTCAATAATTTTGGCTTGAGCATTACCCCCTATAACTAGTAAAGTATCTCCTGTTGTACTGTATTCTAAACCTTTGACCTGATGGCTGGAAAAATTGTAACAATGAAAAGATATTAAAACAATCAAAGCTGTAAAGGATGTACAGCAAACTACCAATTTAACCGTACAAACATACCATTCACAAGGCCTCAAAGATCGGAAAGACTTTAAAGAGGAATCCATCCCAGCAAAGTCCCAAAATTTGACATCAAAATCAAAACCTCCTGAAACTAATCGCGCCCCTGATGGGTCCAAAGCCAGTGCCGAAACCTTAAATGGATAAATAAAATAAGGTCTATAAATAATATATCTGCAAAATTTTTACTTATTTCTAATCATTTTAAACATAAATCAGTTATTTTTGTAAATGTACACATTATACTTTTTACTATATGGTACATAAAAATCGAATAGATTATTTCACATACTGTTTTTTGTCCATGATCCAGAACAATTTCGTGACTTGTGGGGACCCTGTTTAAAGGGTTCTGTTTTGTTAAGAATGGGAGATAATTTTAAAATTGTAACATCAGAAAATTCAGATAAAAGAAATCTATTTTCTCTTTTAAATAAAAAAAAATATTGCATGCTTTATTTTAAAATAAATACAACAATTATGATTTAAAGATGCAATTTATAAAAACAATAACATAAATATTATTAAAACTTTAACTTCATAGAGTTATACACTAATACCTCATCATCTTCAGCAATATCATCTTCTTCACCATCATCATCTTCTCCACCATCATCATCTTCTCCATCTGAGTCCTTACTAGTTACTCTCATCTTATCATCACTGTTTGTGGGTTTCACAAATACTGGATTAAATCCAGGAGGTAATGGAGGACCAATATCTGATTCTTCATCGTCACTTGGTTTTTCACTGGACTGGCTTTCTTTTCTATTATCACTTAGAATTACTTGACTAAATGGTTTAAACCCAGATGGAATTGGAGGTCCAATTTCATCTTCACTGTCTGAACTGTCTTTGGATTTAGTTCCAACATTTTTTTTACTTTCAATATTTGAATTTTTCAATCTATTTAAAACTTTAAAACCAGACGGAATTGGTGGCCCAATTTCATCTTCACTGTCTGAATTATCTTTAGACTTAATTTTAGCATGTACTTTGCTTTCTGTCTTAAAATTTTCTGATTTGGTTGTTTTAATATGTAAAGCAACATCACTGTCTATTGTAGAATCAGTTTCTGTAAAAAATATAGATGCTAAGCATGTAAGTCAGAATTTAATACTAACCCAACCACACTACTTATATTATTTGTGTTAATTAGAAAGGGTAAAACCAGATTAAACTTTGCTATATATTTGAATTAATCCAATGATCTATTTTCATTTATAATTAGTGTTATTGTTAAGAGTATTTAGAAACTATTTATTTAAAAGATATTATTTAAAGCTTTTTAGTTCAATGAAATTTAAACTTTTACAGTTTAATAATTTACCTTTAGTTATTACATTAAGTCCTGTTCGTTGCTTTGCAGATTCTCTAGCTTCTTTAAACATGGCCATGAAGTCAAAAGTTCTTGCTTTCTTTGCACTTTTGTCATCTATTTTATTACAAAAAAAAAAAAAAAATCAGCAATAGACAATTTCAGCAAAAGCAAGATTTTTAATTTTTTTTTAACCCTTTGAGCCCTGGCATCCCTGGCCTAATTTCTCCCATTTCCTGAGCTCCCAGGGCCAAACCAATTTTCACTTATCTGCTTCTAACTTTGCCTACAACTTTTTAACCGTTTGAGATAATCAAACCAAATTTGGTATCCAGACTCTGGATCAAACAACAATTCAGCAAGATTCTGAAATTCTATATTTTTTTACAATGGATGAACAGAACAATGTTTATAAAACAAACACATAATTATTATCAACACACCAAGGAGACTGAAGTTTTAAAGCACCACGTGCATCCGAACGTACTTGAACAGTTTCATTGTCACTGTCAATTTCAATGTCACTGTGTTCAGTCTCAAATTCAATGTCACTATCATCACAATACAGACCAGGAATATTATCTTCTTCATCAGAACCAATAAGTAGTTGTATTGCCTATATTCTACTTCTTTGTTGATATTTCGGTCTTTTGCTTCATCTTTTGCACCAGCTTTATGTGCTGAAGTCGATGGCTGTGGCTCAGTTTTTCGTTTCGGCGGCATTGCTACGAAATGTAAACACTTTCACGTTTCCTAAAATCTATTTTTAGAATCATAATCCCGCACTAAAAAGACATGTGAACAGTTTTAGTCAGTCTTTCGCGAATTATATTTAATTAGATGGTATACCGGTCGCTAGGAATATTACGCTAGATCATCGGGCAGGAAAACCGGCTTTTCGGACATATATGCCTAATGTTGAAGCCGGTTTTTTAGGGCCTGGCAGGCTGAAAGGGTTAAATATAAATTATAGGAATCAAAATAAAAAGTAGTGCTGCAAAAGTATTGAAAGTGGGGTTTTCAGAAAGGACCATGTAACATCATTCAGCCTAAAAGCTAAATAGTTTAAAATAACATTTATTAACACAGTCACAACTTGTATTACAGCTTAGAAAACAGAAGCTGGAAAAATCTTTAAGCAATAGTATTTGCAGTTTGCTGTGATGTATTTTGTGAAACTAACTATATAATTGGGTTAAGCACCAGGAAAATAATTGATAGAAATACTGTTAAATACACAAACCTTCAACGGCTTTAACTGAAGTTTCATCATTTGAATCCATACCACTCATCTTAATCTTAGGATGTGAATACTTGATTATAGGCTATAGCCTATCAAAGTAAAGAATAACAGAGTTTATGAGTTTTTTTTTAGTATAATAAAATAGAATTAGAAATGTTTTTTAATTTAAAGTTCAACACTAATGAAATGTCGGTAATCTTTCATTTTAGGTACGTAAAATCGCCCGCGACTAGTAATGTACAAAAAAGTTACCTCATTGTCAAGGCTTTAATAGAAGTATATTGTGATAGATTTGTGTCAAATATGATAGATAAATGAATAATAAACTAAAATCAATGGCTAAATAATAAATATATCAATATAGGCAAGAAATTAACTTTAAACAGCAGTGTTTGCGAGCAGGATTTGCTATATAAAAAGCGGCCAACTGTAAGTTAGAGTGGCTTCCCCTGAATCTTGTGCTATAAGTTTAAAATAAAAAATTAATAAACAAGATGGCTGCTATAGTAAATGAGCATAGTTGCATCTGTTGGAAACATGGCTAGTCTTCATTTATTACTGAAAAGTTACAGTTGTTTAAAAACAGGTACATAAATAAAACAAGGAAACATCTTTGTATTTTTCAAAACATAAATTCTCCTCAAAATGTGAAATAAGGGGTCATCCATTTATGACATCCACAACTTTTTTGGATTTTGGACCCCCCCCCCCCCTCCCCAGTCTACAAAAATCCACTTTTTTTCCTTATAAAAGTCCATATGCCTCCACAAAAGTCAGTTTTTTCAGACCCCCCCCCCCTGCGCGTGTGGACGTCATAAATGGATGACCCCTAATTATTAAAATTTAAGGAGTCACCTGTTTTTCACATTATTAGTCTCGGGCGATTTTACATACGTTTGGTAATCTATCATTTTAGGTACGTAAAATCGCCCTCGATTAGTAATGTGAAGAACAGGCGACTCCTATAGCAGCCATCTTGTTTACTTTTTTAAAATTGTAAACTTATAGCGCAAGATTCAGGGGAAGCCACTCTAACTTAAACTTACAGATAGCCGCTTTTTATAGCAAATCCTGCTCGCAAACACTTCTGTTTAAAGTTAATTTCTTGCTTATATTGATATATTTAGCCATTGATTTATGTTTATTATTCATGTATCTATAATATTTGACACAAATATATATCACATATAGATCTAGATCTAGATCTACTTCTATTAAGACTAATTAAGACAATGAGGTAGCCGCGGGCGAATTTTGGATTTTTTTACTTTTACCTTTACCCGTATCCAAAATGATAGATTACCAAAAACTATAGGCCTACAGCATTGTTTCTGGCAGTCAACCCCCTCCAAATAAAGCAGTTTGTTACTTAAAAACTTATTAATATTTTATCTCTTAAACTTAAAGTTAATTTTAATTAAACCTACAATATTAATTTAATCATTAATCCATCAGTTTTCAGTATGTAAATAAAAGTTAATTCGTTTTTCAGTAAACAAAACAATACATATTTTATAAATCTACATTTTCATAGTATCATATCGCCTTTTACATTTCTAAATTATTTTATTGATAATTATAATAATGAGTAGATCTAGAGGTTACATACATAAACTCATGAGAGATTTTATAAAATACAATATGCACAATGGCAGGCCGTCACAATTATGTCACAATAATCAATAATAAATTAATGAAAATTGCTCTAGATCGAGAAATAATAGACTCAAGTCTTGTCTGTGTTATTTTCCAGCATTTGTTGAGCATGGAAAAGTTTCGTTTGGTTAAAGCACTTTAAATTTCATTGATACAATTTAGTTGTAAAACTTAAAAATTGCAATAAATAAAATATTTTTTTTTATAAATTGAAGTATAAAACACGTCAGTGTCATGTATATAGTATATACACAATGTAAGCTGCATACTTAATAAAAGTGGTTACTCTTGCAACAAAATCGGGATGATATTGCGGGATGTTTGACTTATAACTTTCTACATTTTTACTGTTTAATTTATTAATATGTCTGTACAGGTCCTTGGAATTTAATAATGGGCATCATGGTACATATTAAATTTTAATATTATAAATCATAATACAGTCTTCAATGTCGTGTCTTTAGAGCATAAGTGAAAAATGTGTTGGTCAACTGAACTAGTTTTGAATTTTAAATATTCAACAATGCAGAGTAGGGGCCTATAAGAACTAAATAAATAAGTGCGGATGCTTTGGTGGAGGGGCTCTCTTTACTCAGGTTTAGAGTTTAGGCTATGCTTGCTCCTGTGAGCTTGATGGAAAACTCACTAGTCTTCCCCCCCCCCATATGACGTCATAAATCACGTGACAGCTAAATGCCAATTTGTAAATTTAGAATTAGGCAATGGAAAATACGATTAATTTTATTTAATTCTTAAACATTAATTTGGTTTTAGAAGATTATTAATTCCATATGAATACAAAGTATAACTTAAACATAATTACGTGTTGTCTATAAAAAAAAATTTATATATATAATTTGAAGTGTAATTTAAAAGGCTTAATTCCAAGACGATCAGCGTATTTTAGCAGCTTATGCAACATTTTGTTGTAAGCAGCATACGTGAGTTAATTTAAAGATGTTTTTTTTTTATATTTGCATGAAAATCCAGGTTTATTTCATGTTAATATAATTAATCTTAGCACTTATTAATATTACAAAAAAATATTTTACACTTTTTTACATTGTTTTAGAAAACCTGGCACGTATGAAAGTATGACTGTACTACACTATCAGGAAGATGGCTGAAGATTTTTTAGTTGTACCTGGAAGAGTTGCATACTACTGCTCACCTCCACCTCTGGGGCTTTGCTGAATCGACTGGTGTGCAATTGTTGTTTAAATATAGCACCCCCGTACTAGAAATATATAAGCAATTATTTATGCATACCCTTTAAGCCCCTGTGCATAATCTTTAATAACTTTAAAAAGTTTCAATTTTTGACTTAATTTCATTATTTTTTAATTTATTAGGCCTAATTAAATTAATTATTAATAGAGTCTACTCAGAAATCTATAATATTAATAAAAAATTATTAGGCCTATAGTTCTAGTATTAGTATCGTATAGGCTCGTATAGGCCTAATATTAATAAAATTATTATTAAAATACACAAATTAAAAGGATTAGGCCTATCTTAAAAATTAAAAGGCTAATCAGTATTCAATAAAGTAAACAATAGGCTAAGGCTGAATGGGTTTTTATTTCATTTAAAATTAAATACTCTCAATTCAATCCTTGCTATTTGTGACTTTCTACTTAGGCCTATACTTTATTAATATTATTCAGACAAGTAGTAGATCTATTATTTATAGTTCTACTTATTAACTTAAAACTTAATTTAGTAATTTACATTATTACTAGACCTGCACGTCTATTCATATAACTTAGACACTTAGGGTCGTCTATTAATGTCACACTCCTAGGAGGAGAGGGTGGGGAGAGGTGTTTGACTCAGTGGTGAAGGGGATTGGGAGTTCATAAAGTGTAACATAACACTTTTGCATCTTTAAAAGCAAGTTTAGAAGTTGAATTTTAACATGTTATTTACAGTTTTTATAGGATAACCCAAGTCCTACCATAGACCTAACCCTAATTTCTGACCATTAACAGTAACCATAGACAGCAAATAGCCAAACACACCTATACTTTGAAGAGTCTATTGTCTGGCTTCACTTATATAAATACCCCTGTGTGCTGGGGGGGGGGGGGGGGTGGGGGGGCTAGCTGGTTTTTTGAGATGATGGGGAGGGGGAGGTAAAATTAGTTTTAAAAAGCCTGATGTCATTTATGGATTGGCTTTACTACACTACTACTATATTTGGGCTAAGACATTTATATGAGCACACTTTTTAACCAACCCCTTATCCCAGATAACATGAAATAGCTTTTCCGGAAACCATCATTCATATAATATAAAATCTCTAGTAATCCATCCTCCTAAAGTCACATAATAAAAATTGGTACCATACAAATATTGTATTGTACTTGTCGCATCTTTTATTAGAAATAATTGTAGATCCTTAAAAAAGAAAACAAATGTTTGAACCTGTGGTATTAACTTATTCATTTAACCATGTATATGGCATACATTTTGCAGAAGTAATTTTTAAAATCAAAGGCATGTAACTTTACCACCCATCTGTGCACTATACCTGAGTGGTGATGTGTTAGTGACACCATAATAAGGTTTTTCATTATCTCCTATTTCTCTGTCCATTTTCATTTATACAAGAAAGTACCCATTATCAGGTAATTTCCTGTTAAGCCAAAGAAAAAGATCTTAGATATTTAAAAATAAAATGTAGGCCCTAAACCTTTGAACTTTGCCCAAATATTAAGAAGAGTAACCTTGGTTCTGGGGATTATTCTTTCTACGATTTATATTCAGTAGGAGTAGTAATTTTTTCCTATCCTTTTACTCAAGTTATTCTTTTCTAGCAGGAATACAAATTTGATTGAGTTGCACTAAGCCTCCACCATGCAGTCTATTCAAATACCAAAAAAGAGCAACTCACTGGGAACAATTACAAATGAGCCATCAAGTCCAAATATAATAGATCATGATGAGATTATATCTCTTACCCATGATGTCAAAAAATTCTCTGACTCACTTGCAAGGTTGAAGCTTTTGTTCACAGAGGGAATAGGTATGTTTTAATTTGTAATCTTTTTAACAAATAAAAATCTTGGCAATTTTAAAAATATTTCAACAGATTGTTTTAAAGTTGAATTTAGTTTTAGCTGATGTACCAATTGTTTATTAAAAAAAATGTAACTTGAACACATGGTTTTCAGATCCTGAAGAAGATGCACGTGTTATAATACATGAAGGATTAGGAGAAGTACTCTCGGTTTTGAATCCAGTTATGCAAAATTATCCAGTCTTACAGTCCCAAGATATCTTCACTGCTGCAAAATGTTTAATAACTTTGATTAAAGGTACTGTTTTATTTTTTATTGCTCAGAAAATCCTTTTAATTTATATCTTATTTAAATTTTAGGCTATATATTTAAACATTAGTTTATTAAGAAGGATTGTGCAAAAAAGTTTTCCCAACAAAATTTTAAAAATTCAGTTGGGTTTTTTCTTGTATATCATCTTCACAAGCCTATGGGGCACAAGTCTTCCTGGCTTCTTGATGTTTAAGCAATATTTTCTTGTTTTTAGCTATTGTTTGTCTATTCTGGGTGTTGTGTCATATAGAAATTTAAGTTAATTGTGATTTACACTCTATTTTTTATTCAATAGATCACAAATACAATGAAGAAATGCTTGAGAGCTATGTACAAGACTTTTGTGATGCTATAGACCAGCTTGCATATGCCTTCAGTAGCAGGTAAATTTGGAAAATTGAAAAAGTTATTAAAATCTAACCTTGAGAAGTCAGTAGGGCTTATTTCTCTCGATGGTAGACAAAATAAACTATTTATTTCCACCAATGGGCTTTCGATGAATGAAACACTGTGCTTATATTCTAAATAACCCCACCACAAACAATAACCATAATTTAGATACAATGTGCTAAAAATAGATTTTGCACTAAAAAAAAATCCGCAGCAATTCTCAGTTTCGAATCCTGAAACCTTTGAAGTCACTGTATGATGGCTCCATTCAGCCATGATGGTACACAATACAGATTCCAAAATATAGTATTATATAACTTAATTGATAGAGATAAAAAAAAATGTGGTATATAAAATCAGTCAAACTGCCTCTTAAAAATACAAAAATATGTTTCCAAAAAAACAAAAGGCTTGCCCTATGACCGAAATAAGCATGTAGTTTATTTGATCTACCGTTGATAAAAATAAGTACTTCTGAATTTTTTAGTACTAGTAATTTTTTTTAAATATAATTTAAACCTTTAAGACATTGCAATAGAATGCGCTAAGACCCCATTGCTTAATTAAAAAACAATAGTTTTTACTTAGCAAGTTTATTTTCAAAAACTTGGTGCTAACATAAATTTGAAGTATTACATTATATCCCAGTTTGTTATTATGTTTTCTAAAGTTTGCTTTATCTTTCAAGTTAAGTGTAAAAAAAACTCTTTTTACAATTTCAAGATACCATTTTGTTTATTGTTTTTCATATTTCTTAAAATGAATACAAATAATGCTACTTTCTTGTTTATAGTGTTTCTGAGTATTTGATGGGTGACATGGGTCCACAGTTGGTCATGGATTTAAAAGCAAGGGTAATTTACTTGAGCAATTTCTTATATCTATATATCATGGAATATATTATTATCATCTTTTCAAATATATCTTTTTAAAATAACTTGTTTTTTTTTTTATCAATCAGTCAATGAATAACATAACAGCAGATGAAAAAGAAGACACTGAAGAAAAGACCATAGAAGCTGGTAATTAATTTAATTTTTTTAGAAGCTCTTATTTAACTTGATAGTGTCTGACTTTACTTTTTCCATCATGAATCAAAACGTAAGCAAAATCTCAACCACTTTTACCAAACATAATACTTTTGCTAAAATGATATGAGCTATCCACACTTTTACTTTACTTGATAAAATAATGGTGCTAACATATATAAAGAAAATAATTTATTTTTTCTTCATTCAAGTGAATATTTAAAAGCTTGTTATTATAAAAAAATATGTCTAAAATAATTATTGAACAGAAGAACTAGCATTTATACATTTAAGCTATTCAAAAATTACAAATAAATAAAGTAATTATTTGGCTTTTATGTTAATTTTTTAAAATGAATATTTTTTACCAGCTACCTTGACACCAGAAGATTTGGATCGTATTTTAGTAAACCTTGATAATGGGTTAAACGTTGCCTTGCAAAGAGCTAAAGTATGGTCAAAATATATCTCTGATATTATAGTATACATTGAAAAGAAAGTTCAGCTAGGTAAGAAAGATATTCTTTAATTTCTTTTAAACTACTCACACTATAATTACTATAAAGATAATACAAATAAAAAATTAAGACATCTTATATCAATTTATGACTACTGGTAATAAATTAAATTTTCATGCAGAACAAGATTATGCCAAAAACCTGTCTAGGCTTGCTAATGCAGTACAGCACAGTTTAAAAAAAGAGGTAGGTTGAAATAAAAATACTCCTACTTTTGAAAAAAGCTGTAATAAAACTAATTCTTTTGCTTTTGTCTTATAATAATCATAGTAGTATAATACACTTATTTTATTAACTAGTAAGTAGAGTTTTGATAGAATGTTTTAACATCAGGCTAGATATACTAAAACTCTCATTTACTAACACATTAATTTAAATCAAAGCCAAATTTTTGGAACTAGGTAAGCTCCAACATTTTGTTTAGATGTGCCATTTACATGTTATATGCTGTGTAACTATTGCATATACTATCAAGTGTGTTCAATTAGTTGATTAGTTCCCTTTAAGGAATCCAAATATTGTTCTACTTTATCTTTCCCATTGTTTTTAAAATAATTTTTAAAAAAATTTCTAAGGACATTATGAACATAAATATTGAAAGAAGAATAATCTTTCATACTTTGAGTCATTTCAGCATTTAACTATTGAGCTTTTCTTTTTTTTATTGTTTTCAAAAGTCATTGTTGATGTTTGTATTTACCCTTTGAACACTTACCTCTTAGCCCATAACCCTTTTCCTTGTTCTAAAATGTTTTAACATCAATAGTTCAAAATTTTAGCAAATCATTTCATCAGAAATAATAACAAATACAATAATTAAAAACATTAGCAGTGGTAACAGTAACTTGCTAACATGATCACAAGTCATTCGTGAAATAGTTTTTACATACCTTTAAATATATGGGCTGTCTATCAGTGATATGGTGTGTGAAATTGAAATTTCTGGATTTTTAACACACTGATTGAAAAAAATTATTGTTGTTTTAAATGCTTAAGTAGCATTATATTGTGTTGTGAAATGAATGTGCTTTATAATTGTATGCTGTAATTATTTAAGCTGTTGTTTTGTTTTCTCAGTAGAAAAGTTAAGCAGTGAAGTTTTTTAAAATAATTTTAGCGTCAATATTTGGTATGAGATTGTGATACATATATAAAATATGGCTTCATTATGAATTACAATTTTTAACAATTTGATACAAATTTTGTAATGTTACAAATTTTTTCAAAAATGTATTCAAATTCAAAATAAAAATTGAAGAGGATGTAATGTTTGTTCAAAGCAACACTACCAATTTTAAAAATGGATTGCTAGGAACCATATAGCATAATGTTCCTTAAAAAAATCTATTGTGAATTTTCCAGCAGTATTAGCCAAGTTGTTAATAAATACCTTTTGTTGAATTTGACGCACATAATTTATTTTATTGTTCTTGATTAATTGTATTCCTCTTTGAAAATTGCTTTTGGAAAATAGTAATTATGAAAAGCAGCTTTGTAGAAACTGGCATGCTTGTATAGTTATATTAATTTGTGTATCCCTGCAAACACAGATACATAATATTTGGATAGCATAATAAATGGCATACCTTGAAATAATTTTATTTCATATTAACAGATTAATCTCTACTAATAATAATGCTTAAAAACTAACAAACAATGATCCTCTTATGTCATTTTATTTTAATATATATCTAATTACTTGTAGAAATTTATACTTAATATTTGCTTAATTCTTTTAAATATAAACAATTACCAATGAATGGCCCATTAACTATTTTATTGATATTGATATTACCTATAATTCTGTAATAATATAGTAATAAAAACACTGTACACAAAGATATTGTTTTCATTTCTTTACCACAGGGATACCTACCACTTCAGTCTATTTACTGCACTGCTTTATCTCAGGTAAAAAAATTATAGAAACAAAATAAAAATGCATGTTTTTTAAAAAAGTTAATGCTTTAAAATGTGCAAATTGTTATTCTAATCTGAACTTTTTAATTTAGGACATGGAGTTTGCAGGCAATTTACAAGCAACTCAAAGTGTTCTCCAATCACATAAGTTTGTTGAAGTGAGTTTTTATGGTATATAAATAATTAGGTTATTTATTTATTCATTTATTTATTTAATTATGGTAACAACAGTAGGCATGGAGGTCTTTTTCATATAATATAATAACAGCATTTTTAAAAAAAGCAACGAGTAGTAAAGGCATAGTAGTATCTTATCATTCAAAAATTTGGAATAAAGAAATAGTAATAATATAAAATGAGATAGAATGAGAATATAATAGATAAATGAGAAATTTTGAGGAGGTCATTAAATAATTGTTGTTATAGTTTAGTTTTGAATATATTTTCAGATATAGATAGTTTTTATTTTATTATTTTTATTAAGAAGATTGTTTCACAAACTAGAACCAGAGTAGGCGGAGCTATGTTTTTGGGAAAAGGTGGTATACGGGATGGGTAAACTAAGACAATTAAATTTTGTGTTATGTTAAGTCTGCAATGTAAATAAAGAATTTGTTTTGATAGCCCATAATTCCTTGCCTTACAGCCCCTAACAAGCAGGAAACTGGAGCATGATAAAGTGTACAAGTCTGTCAAGGAGAACTGGCAACGGGAATGTAGAAAAATGGTGCTTACATTTTTTTAAAAGTCTTCACGGATTTTAGTTAAAATAGTTTTAAAAATAATCTCTTCTAAGACCCTTGTTTATTTTGTTGACACTTGGAAGTTTTTTTAATTATAATTGTAGACTGATGCTGTGACAAACCTAAGAAAAGCTCAAGCTCTCTACATGACAAGACAGCAAGACCATGAGAGAGCACATGACTTAGCCCTCAAAGCTGATGGAGAAAAACTAGAGAAAAGAAGAAAAGCAGAAGAAGAAGCCATGCATAAGGTCAATTTTAAGAACAATTGAATACAGATTTGGGTTTTTATGCTTTGAAATAACCAAAATATTTACGTTTTAAAAATGTTTAAACTTAAACTTATCTTTTTTTTTTTCAGGCTGCAGAGGCAGAAACAACATATAAAGCTTGTGTTGCAGAAGCTAATTTGAGACAATCAGAGCTTATAAAAGTTAAAGTAAGTTATCTTTCATCATAAGCATTATCAGTGTGAGCAAACAAACCACTTTTTAAAATAAAAAAAAGCAGAAGGAACATCTACTGTTTTGCTTGTGAACTTAAATATTTATGAGAATATTGTATTTGATTTTTAAGAGCTCACAGCTGGGAAGAATTAGAGAACAAATTCAACTTTGTGACCAAGTTATTAAAGACGTAAGTTTGCCTTTGTATATTTGGTTAAAAAATAGAAAACTTAATAGCTATACATCTGATTTTACAGTTGAGTCATTGAATAACTTGTTTTAATAAAAGCAGATAGTTTTTAGTATCCTTAGACAATTATATGTACAGTGGACTTTATCAGCATACAGTAGTGTGGTTAAAGACAAAACAAAAGGAAAACATTGATAACATTTTAATATTGCTACATGTGTAGCTGTGCTCATGATTTGTTGTACATCTGATGTCTAGGTAACAGTGGAAATCTTTCAGCTATACCACACCATAATATCTCCACTCCCTCTCCAATATCAAACCTTGAGTGAAAGCAGCAAGAGCTATGAACCAGGAAGCCAGTATGCTGATTATATTCGTAGACTTCCAGGCACTAATAAGGCTTATGTTCCTGATGTTTTTATATTTGAGCCTTATGTACAAGGACAGAGGTAAACAAAAAACACTTTTAAAAATCCTAATTATAATTACCAATACAATTCAATCGGTTAATACTATATCAAGTTAGCCAGCGTTCATTATTTTGTGATGTAATTGTAAACTCAAAATATTTTTATTACATAATTATGCAAAGAACATGAAAAAAAAGGTCAATTTACAAAGTATTAAAATGCACATTAAAGAAGAAAAAAATTACCAAAGATATGTGATCGCATTGTCATGTTTAAAGTTAAAAATGTTTTTAATTGGCAGAGTATCAGAAGAAACACGTAAAGAAAGTTATCATTCAAATGGATCTATGTCAGACCATGTCCATTCACCTGAAGGCTCTCCTGTAACATCCCCTAGAAGAGGTATTGAAACAGTTTAATGTGGCAGTCAAAACAATTTAATTTATAAATTATTTTTTTTTTAGTCTTTTTTTTTTTTGTCAGAACATAATTGGAAAACTATTTTTTAATTTCAGACAAGTATCGAATCCCAGTAAAAGCTTGGGGCCAGCAAATCCCTGGGGTAACTACCTCAGATACTGACAGTGCTTCTTGTAGTTCTAAATCACATGAGTCTTCTCCCAGTGGGAGTCCACATAGGACCACCAGACGACTTGTATCTAGTCAATCTCTTGATGAATTAACAGAAGAGGAAATACTTGCTGCAACCCATAATGGTACTTTAAAACTGCTCTAATTACTCAGGCGTTTATCATTGTTGTAATTTGGTTGTAAATGTTGATGAGGTTCAGCTAATTAAACATTTGTCCTAGGTCAAGATAAAAGAAGCCAGCATTTGAAGAGGACAAGGACTGTTGCTGTAGATGATACCTTGGATCTTCCTCAGTCACTTGTGGTAAACTTGATTGATTATTTAAATTAGGCATACTAATTATTAAATTCTTTGACCCACTGTTCTGTTCATTAAAACTTTTTAAAATGTTATTTTTCCTCAAAGAATCGAGTTAGAAGAAATACAACATTTGGAGTAGATTTTCAAGAACAAGTTGACACTTTTCAAACCAAAGTTCCACCCATTGTATCCAAGTGTTTGACAGAGATTGAGAAACGTGGAGTAATGATCAAGGTGAAGAATTTATCTGATTGATTTCTTAATCATTAGCAATTAATTTATTTGAAACTTGTTGCTAAAGTAAAAATGTTTAATAATTTTCATACAGGGCATTTATCGTGTATCTGGTGTAAAAAGTAAAGTAGAAAATCTTTGCCAAAAATTTGACATGGATCCAGAGGCTGTTGATTTAGATGAAATTCATCCAAATGTTATTTCCAATGTGCTTAAATTATACCTACGACAGGTGAGTTATAAAACTATTGATTTTCCATCTAGTATTTCTCTTTATTTTTTCAACACTCTTTGATTTTAATTACCACATGCGCATGATTTAACTTCGGGTTTATCTTAACTTTCAGTTGCCTGAGCCTTTATTAACATTTAGACTTTATTCAGACTTCATTCACTGCGCTAAGGTGAGAATTTTTAACATTTATGTTACATACAACCTAATAGTTAAAGGCTGTTATTAAACTATTTAGTAATGGAATTGAGTAAAATATAATTGCCTATTTGTTTTTTCAAGGAAAACATGTCGGGCCAGCTGCAAGGTGAAACTCTTATAGATCACTTAAAGAATGTAGTGGCTAAACTTCCTTCTTCCAACCATCGCACCTGTGCTGTTCTCATACATCATCTGTTAAGGTAACTCTTTTTCCTATTATGTTAATTTATAGAGGTACATTTACTACAACGTTGATGTTTTTTAATATTTAACATCTAAAATCTTTATCATAGAGGTTTTTATATCTTTTAAATGTTTATTTTATTATTGTTAAAATAATAAAAATTCTCACATTGTTTTGTTCTATTGAAAACAATCCTGTTACAAAAAGCATTAAAAGTTAAATCCCTAGGCTTCATTTAAAACATGGTTGCTCCATTATACACCACAGAAAACTCTGACATTTCTATTTTAGGGTTGCATCACATTCTGAGTTCAACCAAATGAGCGCCAGTAACTTGGGAATTGTTTTTGGACCCACTTTACTAAGGCCACTGTAAGTTGTTTGCTGAAATTATAAAAATATTTAATCATGTATTAAAACTAAACTCCCATATTTTAATTTTTTATGCTGAAGGTTAAATTGATTTGTATTTGTTTGTAGTGAGGGATCAGCTTCATTAGCGTCACTAGTGGACACACCGCATCAAACTCGTGCAATAGAACTTCTCATCACTCATGCTCATGTAAGTTTTTCTTGCTCATCAAAGCCCAGCAGAGCTTTACTTCAGTGTTTGTAATGGTATAGTGGCTGGCTGTGGTGGGAGGATGTCTTGAAAGAAATATAGAAAGTAGCTGTAAGCAATCAATAAGGGTGAAGTTTTTAGTTGAAATATAAAGATCAAATTATTTTCAGTCAATATTTGGGCCCAGTGAAGATTACCAGGTAGCTCCTCTACAAACTCCTGTAGAGAATCTCAGCCAAAGCACCAGTGAGGCTCCTGTGTCTGGTAGGTTAACTTGTCTTTTTCATTGATTCTTATCATTACATGTTTTAAGTTTCAATCAGCCTAATGGTGACTAACTGCTTTCTTTTAAAATTATCTAACAATTACTATTATTTTTCTAGTTCAAGGAAATACATTACAACCTCCAACTGTAGCCATTGATGTTGCTAAGTAAGTATTTCTATTTGCTTATGTTAAATTGCTGTAATCAGTCTAGGGTGGATAAGTGTCAGAAAACTTTCACAACTGTTTAGAAATAAAAAATAATATTTAAAATGTTAGTAGCAAGCTAATCTGTTTCAGTGTAGTTCATGTTGTGTTGTTTCCTGTTACTCACCCTAAGACTAACAACTTTTTGTCAAACAGAACTGGTACTGCTGACTCTACCCAGCTGGAGGCTGTATCTGCTGCTAATGTCCAGGTGTGTAGACAGTGTAGCAAAAATATTTGGTCCTGATCATTTCATTAACTAATTTATTCCCATAACTTTTATTTAAAATCCTCTTTATTTAAATATTAAATCTCTTGAAAAGGTTTCATGTTTTTACCTTTTTAATAACAATCAAGTTAAAGACAACTATGTACATGGGTGTGTTCATGTAGCCTGACTGGATATAATTTTTCTGTGGTTTGATTTTTAATTTCTTCTGTGGTTTGATGTCTTTTGTTTATCCTGCACAGAATCTGTTAAATCAATGCGTTATACACATTTAAATGTTTTGAATCTATTGAAAAGAAGAAGAAACCTTTTTAGATTAACTGTTAAAATAGTAATAATACTGATACAAAGCTATCATGTTTTACAATTGAGTTGTCATTCACAAGCTGGTATGTTAAAATACTAGTATTTAATGAGCTGCCCAGCTAGAAATGTTCAAAAATCTGTGTGTGCTTTCAGCTTTAAGCATGCTAGTGCCTATTTTAGTTGAGAAGAAATTGATGTTTACTTCTGTTGATATGGATGTTGATTTTTACAGCCATGGTCTTGTGAGTCTGTTCTTCCTGGCACTGTGAGTCAGGACAGAAATGAACCCCATTCATTAGCAATTAATGGTAATTATCAGTCTTGTCAACTTAGGCTTATTCATGACCTGTGAATGAATGCCAGCATGAAGTACATGTCCTGACAAATTGTCTAGATACTGTAGTCAATCATTTTTTTCATATCTTGTTTACTCATTTTGAAATAATCTGATAAAGTTTTAAATTTTTGCTAGTAATAAATATATATATTTACATTTCTCAAAAGTATCAATCAACTTTAAAAACATAATAAACTTGATAATGATTTATGTTTTTATTTATATTGTATGCATTTTTTAGTTATCCTTGAAATATTTTATGTTTAACTGCATGTTGAACCTTTCTTTTTTATTTGAAAATGTTAAGGCATCTAGCATGATAAATGTTTGTTTTTAATTTTTAAAAATGTGGCATTGAACTGCTGAAAGAAACTGAATGCTGGACTTGAATATATATGTGATTGATTAAAAAAGGAATGCATTCAACATAACGTGTCAATATATTGTTATAGAATAATAATATTACCTCGACAGGGTTAGACTTTGAGGGGTCAGATTGCAGGTCAGATGAAGATGAGGGACCCCATGAACTTCCTTTACCTGACCATTCCAAACCTCAATCTGATCCATTAAGTTTGGCTTTGACTCCAAATTGTATACAAGGTAGTTTTCTCACCTTGCACCCATGTATTTTTTTCTTGAATAATATATTCACTAGAATTTAGAGAAATATAAAGTGTGTCTTTTAACACTTGGTATCCTTTTCTTTGAAAACATTTGGTGTTAAAGAGGTGTGTTATCCTTGCCCAAGTGAACTTTAGTCACAATCCTCTTGTATCACATCCACATTTTTTAGACTAGAAGTATGTAAGGCCACACAAGAAACATCCACATTACTTTGTAGATAGGTTAATTTAAACAATGTATCTAATATTGTGGAAATAAAAAATAGAATTTTTAAAATGTAGGTATGTAATTTTCATCTTCTATTTTTTTGCACTTTGAGCTAATAACATGTTATTTTCAGCACTGAGGTTTTCCAACCTGCCATTTTGATACAATGGAAAGTTCATGCAATAAAAAAAAATCTTTTTTGCTTTTTGGTATGTTTAAAATGGTTTTCAACTCAGTGCATGTTGGTGATGGCAAGGTTGGCTTACAGGATGGCAGGAAAAGTACTTAATTAAATGGCTTCAAATTTTTAAGTAGTACATTTTTGAAAACGATATTTCCATTAAATATCTGTTGTAAAATAACCTTAGCCATTGTTTTAGATAAGTAAATGTTTAGTTTTATTTCCTTGGTAACTGGGCAGTTGGCATGTTGCTTGTGCTTCCTTCATTCCTTACATCAATAATCTGTTGCTTGATTATTTTTTAAAAGGAACATGGTCATAGTTACTGACATTGGTTTATGGTGATATTAGTATAATCTCATTATTTCAGGTTGTTTTTGTTGTAATCAATAATAAAATGAGTTTTGAAAATTATTGTTTGAGAACAAGTTTTAAATGTATGTCTAGACAACATGGCTTGATATTTAGACATTTGAAAAGTCTCAAACTAAATGTTAATTTAGATGCTTCAAAATATCTTTAAAATGTGAATTAAATAATATTGTAAAAAAAAAAAATAGAAACTCTTTTTTTAAAAACCAACTGTTAGGTTAGTGTACAAACCTGATGACAAGGTTAACAGACATTATGCATCTCCAGGTAATGATAGTGCCATTTGTTATTGGATTAAATGAACTTTATTTTACTTTTCAGAGCAAAGATTAGATTCCAATCCTTACACCTCTGACCCTGCATCACGTCTGAAACCAGCTGTAACAAAATCTGCATCATCTCCCCTTGTCACCAAATCAGCCAGGAGTCACCTCTCCTCCTCCCTGTCTGTACCTGGCTCAGGCCTACATTCAGACATGGCTGCTGCTCTTTCAACTAGTGCTGCTGGGATGGCTTCTGTTCTCATGATGTCACCTGCTCATTTCTCACCAGCTCAGCATTCAGAAGGTGGAGAGGTTGATCCAACTAATGTGTTGGATGGTACGAAGGATCAAGAAAATGTTGTAGATGATGAGCTGTCTGAGGAGAAAAAAGGCAATGAAGAGTTAGCAAAGAAGAAACTCCATTCTTTACAGCTAGAAAATATCAAATACTTAACCAAGCCACCACCTTCAGAAGAATCTGGTAGTGATTTTTATAAAGGGATATTTATAGCATCAACTTCACCATGTCCGCCTTTACAGGGACCAAAAGGCTCATCAGAACAAGGCACTGTTTCAGAATCATCAGTTGAGGGGAGTGTTGCTCAAACAGCGCCAGCTGTCGGCAGTCCACCATGTGCCAGAACTACGCCATCGCTGTCTAAAGGAGCATCAACAAGACGATCAACGCTAGAGGAAGTTCCGCTACCAACATGGTGCAAGCCATCAGGTTCAGCTTGTGGAGACGGCCCCTTGGATGATGCAACAGTCCCTGCAGTCACTATACCTGCAAGCCCCACTATCAAACGAAGAGAGCTACCTAGTAAAATTCCTACCAGTCCCACTATACCACGTAGTGCAGATAGCAAACAAAACGAATTAGAAAACAGGGCACAGAAGTTCAGACAGGAACAAAGAAAACTGGTGAAGGCAATTATATCAGATGCAAAAATTGGATCAGTTAGCACTTTGAGAACCTCAAGCACATCTTCACAGGAGAGCCTGGACAGGGATAAAAACAGTTCAGTGTTCTATGAGAGGCCTGGCTATTTTGATGATGTTGTTAGTGGAGGCTGTGCTCTGTCAAGTAGACCTAGCAGTCAGAGTGAAGATGCTGGAGTTGATATCAAAGAAAATATTGAGGAGAAGAGTCTAAAGGCAACATCCTCTCAAGTGGTGGCAGCTAGTCAAGAGCAAAAAACTCCCCACCCCACCATAAACTCTGGATCCCCCACTAGATCAACAGGATCCAACACTGGGCAGAATAATTCTCCTAAGTCATCTCAGTCTAATGCAAAGAAGGTGTCTCCAGCTGCAGGGGAGAGCAGCCTTGTGCAAACCAAATCTTTACCATCAAGGGTGAGAACTCTGCCTTCTACCTGCTTTGTTAAAAAATCTGCATCTGTTACGACACCCACCACATCAAAGTCATCTGCTGGATCATACACTGCAGCAACAGCTAAATCTGCTACAAGCCGTTCTCCACTAGTGAAATCAGTCTCAGGGATAAAGTCTACCACTGCAGTTACTTCTGACCAAAGTCAACAACACTGTTCAAGAACTACCACCAGTACTAGTAAGCCCACTGATGAACTGTCTAACAAACCAAGTACATCAGTAGCGAGAAAAAGCAGTGGAAAGGGTGGAGAATTGACTGGATCACCCAGGAGTTTCAAGTCACCGGCAGACACCAAACCTAAGGCTGACACAAACAGCTCATCACCCTCGTCATCGCAGTCATCCTCCCCCAGACACAGGCACCCATCTGGAGAATCATCATCTAGTCGTTCTGTAAAACCAGGTCAGAGAAAACCTCTTGCCGCTGGTGGCTCCCTGACAGGAAGTCCTCAGAGAGTGCACCCAGAGAAATCCAGCTCACCTAGTCAAGTCACCGGGAAGGTCCTGGCAACAAGACCCGCTCAGCTGCCCCCAGTGACTGGCTCTGCACAGCCATCCCAAAGTTCAGCCACTACCCCTACATCCAGTAGTAAACTCTCCCTAGATAGGACACCCAGGTTTGTCTAAAACCTGTCAAGCATTAGCACATGACTTTTATTAAACATTTTTAGTATTTTTTTAGCCTTTGTTTTTATGAACAAAATGTATTACTTTATTATATATTTACAACTAATCTTATTTTTACAAATGAGGTTGTTTTTGGTACCAAAAAGTTGTAATATCTGTCTGTATAGAATTTAGATTATGAAAATTAAAGTAATGAAAAGAATACTTACCACGCAAGTTTAAATAACAAACAGGATCAAGTTGTATAGTGAAAGTGAGCTAATACAGTTGAATCTCATTCTTCAATAAAATACTCATTTCTTCTTTAAAAGTAGACAATCAACTTGTAAATGGTGTTGTGAGTAAACTGTGACACATTTTTAAGAATGATGGGTATTTAACCCCATAATTTAAAAAAAAATAATAAACTATCAATCTTTTCATAATTCTTGATTTTAATTGTGATATCATTGCCAACTTTTAAGAATTTTTAAATATGAAAAAACATGTATTTCAATTGTGATGTATATTTATATTTATAAATTTATTTTTGCAGTAACCTTTATCAGGTTAGATTTTTATTGTATTATAAATTTGTTTTAATGTACTGATCTTTTTTTTGTTGATACCTTGTATTGAGCTGACTAGCCATTTGTATATGGACTCAGTTTTTAAATTTCTGTTACTTATTTCATAGTTGATGTCATGTATAAGCTTAGAACTTAGACTTATTTGTGTTCATGTACCATTTACAAGTAAACATTAGAGATCTACACCTTTTCTCAATAGCAACTCATTCAATTTTCACATTCTAATAAATCTCATTCATTCATAAGGTCATTTATGCAACTGCCTGCATTAACAACCACTCTGAAACTCAAATTATAAGGAATGTTCAAGTGTTTTTTTTTTAAAATAACTTTCAAACTGGTTGTTTGCTAACCACTTTACCAATACTAATTTTTGTTTTGATGTTAGAACATTGTCCCCTAAACAAATGTAGAGGCAAGAAATCTTTCATTAATTTGAAGGCAATTTTTTGTTATACTTTATAAAGATAATGCATTTTTGTTATAAATTAGACATTTTAAGGGATGTAATCAATTGTTAACATTTTTAGTTATCTAGAAACACCCCCCCCCCCCTATATTACAACCAAAGTATTTATTGATGCACTGGTTATTCTGATCTTTTAGCCTTCCTAACACAAGCACTGCAAATTTAGTATGTACAAGTCTCAGCTTCACCTCACAACCATCTTATAGTTTAGGTACAACCTTGACAAAATTATCTCATTCATTTTTATACAGTATATGAAACATTTCCTTTTTGTTTCTGATCATAATGGAATATACTGATATTAATTATTATCCTATAAACAATGCAATATAGCTTATAGATTACATAATTTTTAATCTACCAATTTATTTTAATGTTGGTAAAATAGTGTTGTCAATTGTAGACTTATTCTTCAATACGCTATTGATCTAGTCAGTTTGGAGATATTACTGTATCTCCAGATACATTTCTAGTTAAAAAAGATTTTAGTGTGTTCAAATAATTAATTACTTTTGCCACTTCAGATTTTTTTTTTAAATTTGAGCTGTAAAAAAAAAGACAAGAAGATGTTGACTTGAAATATGGGTACATTAGGTGTATCAAAACTATCATTCAGTAGTGGCTGAATGCTTTATATTTTAAAGCTGAATGTACTTATTATTGAGGTTTTACTATGATGAGTCTAGAAGATATTTGGCAATCATCAGTTGTATTTTTTAGGCAATCCTAAATAAGGGTTGATGAAAAATGATTCAAAAACGAATTTCAAATGGTATAAGAGAGAAAACAAGATAAGTGCACAATTTAAAAATGTAAGTGAAATCATCCTGGTCGTCTATTTTTTAGATTATTTATAATTTGATATCAGCATATCATCTGATACATAATAGTGACTGTTCAGATAACTGTTTGATAACTAACCATTTTCTTAATGTACACATGTATTTAATAATAAACATTTACGCAATACTGACTTAGTTTCTTATTTTACTGCTGAAATGAAGCACAAAATAAATAAATTTTAATAAACTCCAGCATTTAATATTTGAACTGAAATTTCAAGTTTTTTATTAAAGTGTATACAATTCAGGCAGACAATTATTACTAAAAGAAAATTACTTGAGGGAACTTGAATTGTACAATTTCATGTCACATTAATTAACCTGAGAGCCTGCTGTGGAATGTGTGAGTATAGCTGAAGTTTCTAAAGAGACAACTCACAAAATGTTTGCATAAATTGCAACAAGTAGAAATATTACAAATAAAGCATTTTAACAATGAAAATGGAAAAGTATAATTATAATCAAATGGATCACTTAAAAAAATTGTATATGAAAAGCACTATACACAGGACATTTTTCTAATCGCAATGTTTACTTCGCACATGATTTATAAAAAGTAAATGTACTTTCTCAAAAACTTGTATACAAGCAACTGTTATATTACCAGACATCTACAAATATGTATGTAGGGGTTTTAATTGGTGCTGGTGATATGCACGCTGGACACAGAATGTGTGCCAAGTCTCAACTAGTTTTCAGCATTTTTCTATTTTCTTACAACAAATAAGTCCAAACCTTTTTTTTTTAAATTATGGACGGATTTTGTGAATGATAATGATATTCAATGAAGCTTTTACACGGAAAATAAATAATGCAGAAATACTACTTTCTAACAGAAGAACTTACATGAAAATGGGTTTTTAAGATTTGGTAGTGGAAACTTTTCAACAAGCTTCAAAATTCAATTTACGATTGTAATACCATTCAAATTTTAAAAATGTATATTTATGTACAAATGGTAAGTATTCATTCAGATCAAATCTAAAAGTTTAAACTATCGTGTTAAACCCAGTATAAACTATAAATATTTGACATTTGAAGCTGCCTAATTGTAAACAAATTTAGTTATACAAATATTCAAACAATTCAGGTTAGGTGTGTAATCCTCATAATGACACAAGTCCATGTCACTGACTAACTCTGGTAATGCGTAGACGCTTGGACAAGATCAGTCATGGCATCTCCTATGGTATGAACTGCCTTAAGCATACTACAATCATCTTGACACTTATTCACTGGTTCAGTTATCTTTAAATCTGAGAACAGCAAACAAACAAAATTTATAGTTATATTTGGCTAAAAATATATTTCCAATAATTTAAAAAGTCATTTTTATCCATCAAGAAACATTGTAAAGAAAAATCTTACCACCATAGCTAAGAGAGTCAGTGTCACTTTTACACTCTTGTTCTAACTTCCTAATCAAGTCCTGCAACTCATCTTTTCCCTCTGGTTCAGTGCTTGTGCCATTCATCATCTTCCCAATGACCTCAGCTTTTTGAAACAAGGATGATAATGTACCAGTGGTGTCACAAGTTTCATTACCAACAGTGTTGTTTGCTCTCAACTTACTACTCATTAGAAGTCTTTTCCTCTGCCAAGCAGGTATGGAAGATAGTGGTGTCATTTTAGCTGTTTTTTCTTCAGCTGTTCTGAACAGTTTTCCATGAGACAAGACCACAGGCTGATTTTCCTTATTTGATTCTAAATGTGAATTGTGAGTACCACAAGAGCTGGGTAAAGCTGACTGAGAGATATGAACAGGTGTGGACATGTGAACAGGTTCTAGTTTGTTTCTCTTGTGAACTCTCTTGTTTGGTGAAGGTTCATTTGAGTTCATTGCATGATGATGAGTGAACGACGGGGACATGGTTACATTGTTTGCAAATATTTCACTGAGTTCAATGTGAGTGTTCTCATCAAATGGCTTTAGATAGGATTCAGATGTGTCTCCACGTTTTCTTTGCTTCACCTGCTTTTGGTGAAAGGTTTCAGGTGTCTTTACTTGGGTTCTCAGTGAGGATGAGCTAAAGATAAGACATGGATTACACGCTCTAGTCCCCAGTGTCAAATTGGGTGTAGCATTACTTGTAGATATACAGCCAGCCCTTTCCTGACTTGATTTAGTTACATCATCTGTAGACACATCTCCTTCAACCGTCACACATTCTGTGCCATCTGTTGACTTTTCAGTTGACTCCAAAGTGAGTGACATGTCACAGGTTTGATATAATAACTGACCTGACTTAGTAGCACAGTCACTGTCATAAGTATTTTCCCTTTCATTTGTAGTACCTTCCCTTAATTTGATCTGTGAAGATAGAATGTTCTCTCCATGTTTACTACTGGTTATTTTGTCAGTGTTTACTATTGGTTCCTGAATCACCAAAGACATGTTGCCATCTTGTGGGGGAGGTAATAAACAATTGGATTCAGTACTTTGTCCACTTTCAGTTGGCTCTTCCATTTTGTCTGTCTCTAGAGTTCTTTCAGTTACCTGTACATCACAAAGTGTAGCAAGGCAAGTAGAATTTTCATATGACATATCCTCTGGCAGCTGTATCTGCACAACATTTTCACTGACTGTGTCTCCTTCTAGAGCAGAAGAGTTTTGATTATCTAGCGTGCTTGTGCCAAACTCAATTGTTGGATGACCTATTGGAGTAGAAGTTCCAACAATAGACAGCGTATTAATATGGTATAGAGCATTCTCTGAGCTATCCCCTATTTCATCAGGAAACTCTTTGATACTGAGTATAGGACTAAATGGTGAAGAACGAGGAATCTCCTGAAAGATAGCAGTAAAAAAGAAAGGTCTAGAACACATAAATTAAGAACAAGACAAACATAACTTGAATTACTTAAATTGTTGCATGCCTAAGTTGAAACATGTTTGTAGGTGTCAGTTATAATTCTATTTTTATCATCTACTGTAGAGCTGCATATCTTTACAGCTATTCCATAGCAGGAAGATCGTTATCAAATGAAACAAAACTTACCATATCATCTTCGGCTTCTGATAAATTTAGATTATCATAATATTTCAGTAATGTATTTAGCTTCATCTTTAATGTTCTGGAAAACACATTTTGATTGTTAATTCATTTAAAATAGTTTTAAAATATGTAGCATCTACAGTATTGCATAGTTGAAATGCTACAATAATAATACAGGATTTAAAACAATATTTAGCCTAAATATTTTCAATACCTATTCTCATTCTGTAACTGTTCAATTCTCTGTGCCATTTCTTTTTGTTGAGCTTCTATACTTTCTTTTGATAAAAATGTATTGGCCTGTAGGAGGATTTGATAAATTTTAGTCTCATTAAAAAAATGACTTCAGATTTCAAACTGTTTATATAAGTACAAAACAAAAATTACACCTGCAAGCTGTTCCTACAAAAAACAATGGATACTTTATTATTAATGTTAATTATTTCTGCTGTATAACTGTCAAAGATCAAATATTTTGAGACATACTGAGCTGCTTGAAGTTTGATGTGGGTCTGATGATGGGCTGTGTAAGTCTGGCTTAGTTTCATCTTCCACAAAATATCTATCTGACTGTGAGTCTGGGCCACTGGTGTCCACAGCCAGGCCTGAGTCAGTGGACGGAGAATTACAGGCCTCAGGGTCATTATGGAAGTATTTTGGTTGCCTGTTGAAAACAATTCACTTTACAATTTAGTATAAAAAATCTTAAAGATCATCAAAGAAATAATTTGTTTTTTAACAGGTACTGCTAATTAATATTGTCCTGTTGAGAATTTTCTCTTAAAAGAAATTGTTCCTCATTGCCACATAAAGCACTGACCAGTCAAAGTTGTCTTCGGCATTAGTTGAATCATCCACAGGAAGGTAGTTGACTTTTTGTTGATAACGATGTCTTCTGCTCAGTCTGTTCATTATGATGTGAAACAAGGCTTTTGTGTTGTCTATGAGGGAAACCTATAAAGAATACATTAAAATGTATACAAATATAACAGGTTTTATAAAAATCAACTATTATAAACTTCGAATGCTAGAATTATAACACTTACAGGAAAACAGTACTCCTTCATTGGGTGTTTCAGTTTGTGTGCATGTGAGGTTAAGCCATGCAGAAAACAAGTTTGACACATATCATATTTAAAACACTGTAGACATCTGTATCTAATGGGATACAAGGTATGTATATTATAAAGACAAGGACATTTGTATAGAGCATAGGGAGACAACCTTAGTTTATTTAAGGGCTGGATAAAATAACTTTTATACCTGCTAAAACAACATCTGAATGCAGTTTTAGTAAAACCTTTAGCTCATTTTTGTCAAATATTTTTATGGTGTAGGTTAAGAAAAGAAAATATTTAAGATATTATTTAACCTTGTATAGATCTTAAGTTTTTTTAATAGGGTAGAGAGTTGATATGAAGTAGAGTTGACAAAAGCTAACCTAATGAGAACATAAATTATCAAACTTTTATATTACCTACCTGAAACCAATGATTGGCATATTCTCACATACACAACATCGCACACTGTGCTGAACTAGAACACACAAAATATTACATTAACTTCATCTTTCATTTTACATAGCCTAATTTATATTTGTGAACATGATTTTAACATTTTGGATGTAGTTTTATATACAAAAATCTGGGTAATAGTAAAATAGTTTACAATAAAACAAGTTTCAGCTTTAAAAATGAACATTTAAAAAAAAATAGTATGCTTTCCTTTTAACAGGAAACTAGAAATGAGTTTAAATCTATTGTATTAATTTTAAGTGATAAAAACTGTACAAACTAGTTCAAAACAAAAGCCTGTAATTATGATATTCACCTGTTTCTGTAGCTTGAATTCGATGTAGTGTTGGCAACCAAACAAAAGTCTGTGGCTCATGCAACAACCAGGAATAAAAATCTTCTCTACTGATGGCATTACTCTCCGTCACGCTGACCTAAACAAACAAAAGTGTTTATTACACAGCCACTGCTATTGGTCTTTAGAAACGTATTAAAAGTAAAAGTTTCTAATTTTATTTTTACTTATCATTAAAAGTGATGATTACCTTTGAATATATAAAAGTATGCTAGGAAAACAGGTATAAAAACATTTGAAACATAAATACTTACAAACTTAAAGCAACTATCAACAGCAGCTAGAATACTTGTTCCAAAAGCAGAACTTTCATTCACAAGATCAGTTATCTAGGGAAAAAATGATAGAAATCAAACTCACAATGATAAGAACAATATTTCACCTTTAAGTACTGTTAAGTTAAATTGGTTGGAGTAAGTTGCTATAGAAGAGATAAATTATGCGTACACAAAAATTATTCATTTGAGACCACAGACTAACAATTGAAAACATTACACAAAATAGTCTCCTCAAATTAATGTTACCTGCATTAGATCTTCAATAAAATTTGTTAAATTTTCTCGCTTAATTTTCTGCTGCTCATCTCTAAGATACATGAAAAAACCTGGAGAAAAAAAAAATAAATAGTGAGAAGATGTTTATGCTAGAAGTGTCTGCTTTTTTTATATACTTTAGTTTGTGTAAAATTTAACTTTTGAACTACTAATTACTTACTTTTATACTTCAAATTAAGTTTAATTTTGCAGAGTGCCATCAAAGCATTTTTAACTGATCTACAACACAACTTCCCAGTGCGATTTCTAAAGGAAATAATAATAAAATTAATAATACTATTACTTAAAATATGCTAATCCATCATTCATATAAGACACACATTGATCATTCAAAGAAAATAATAAATTACACAACACAGTACATCTTACACATCATAAAGATTCATCATGAGGTTAAGAATAACATCTGCAGCTCTAGGAATCTCAGCTTCATGTTGATGACTTAGATATGATTGTTTTAAAATACTTTCTAGGATACCAAGAGTTTGGGAGCAGGACATGCTAGCTTCTTGGTCATCATTGATAGCGTGGTGGGCGTGGTCTGCAAACACCTTTTTCATTGCAGTGATACTGATCCACTGAACTGAAATAGTAAAAATGACATTTTTTTTTCTTAGATTAATTTTAGCTGGGTTCAGTGGATACCTTTTTAAATTTCACACGTCAATACAGAAAAATTAAAAGCCTCTATCAACACTTGATTTTAAAATATTTTTTAAACTTACTTCCAGTTTTGCATTGTAAATCTCTCATTTTCATGGCAGTTCTATAAGCAGCATATTTTACTGGGCTGTAATTTGTATCTAAAAATGTAAAAATATCACTCAAAACTTTATAAAATCTTATGCTTTCATTTAATGTGAGACAAGTAAAGAACATAAAAAGTTTCAATTTCATTTATCCAGGTTATTACAGATGATCTATACTGAACAATTAAATATATTTTATGCTATACTTTAGATTTTGTTTTCAAATTTTAATTTCTCAAGGAGAATAGCCATTACAAAACTATAATGAACTATTTCATCTTCTTGTGGTTTTTTAGAATTATAACACAATAATTTATACAGTTCATAAAATATGTATAGCAGATTTTATAACTTGGGTCAAAATGAGATATCTGTAGACAGGAAAAACGGGGGTAGTGTAAAAAAAAAATCCTTTCTTGAGCATTATTACCTAGCTCTTCCAAGATTTTTTTAAGGTATGGGTGCACCCAACTTGTCATCTCTTGTGAGTTGCTAAAACATTGAAATAAAACAGGCATTATAAAAGCTAAATCAGAGTAAGAAATATAGGAAATATGAAGTAATAATTTGTCCACTAAGTTTTACAGGCAAAAATTCCCACAAGCTGATAACGTAGGGCTTACTTATTTTATTTATTTGAATAAAAATTTCATCAAACTTACTTTACAAAGTAGATAACTCCTTTGTCATTCTGTTTAGCTTCCCATCCTTGGTAAGAATCATCTATTAACAATTAAAACATTATAAAAGCTATTAATACAATTTCTTTTAAAGCAAACTAACAGTACTAACACATTTAAATGTAGTAAATAAATTGATCTAGGAACTGCTAAAAATACACTTTTATGATTATTTCTATACATATAAATTATAGTCCCTTCGTATTAATTATAACATTTAAATACTGACCAAAATCTGCTCCAAAAAGAGTAGCCATTTCAGCTAGGACTGTAACATTAGTTGAGAGGGTATGTCTAAACTTGCCAAGGCTAAGTAATATTAAGAAGAATAGCTAGTAGTTCCTCCTGGTTTGAATCTGTTAAAAAAACAAAGCTATGAATTCAAGATCAAATACATTTTTAACAAAGGCTGTCAACAACAAGAACTGACAATAAGTACAAGTACAAGTTAACGCTGCTCTAATTTACACTCATCCCCAACTGTCCTGATTTTGTGCTAATATGAATGTGCTAATATTATAAGTTTCCAAATAGAAATGTATGTATTTTAACACCAATATAATATAGAGTCTAAGATATGAATTAACTAATAACTTGAATTAGCTTATTTAGGCCTATATTTTTTGCTTGTATTATTGCTGATTTTAGTAGGCTAAATACTAAATAGAGGGGGGGGGGGAAGAATGTTAAAAAACATCAAAAGAGCATGATTTCACTTATGGTTGTTATGGATTACCTCCATAGGCTAATGGACACCAGCGAGAAAAGTCTCAAAGGTATTTGAGAGGTGTATAAATTCATTAAAAAATCATGCACAGCGTATTTACAATTAATATGGTTATAAAATCCTGCCTGTCTGGTTTTTTTCGGACTTTACTAAAGATTGGATGTATTTGATGTTTTTAATATTTTCGGTAACTAAATAAAAATTTAAAAAAAAGCAAAAACAATTTGGTTTTCACGTGTAATGGCGACATAAACATGGCATCCTGCTATTGGATAGGCTGCCATAGATTTTATTGTACACATTGTAAGCTAAAAATAGAAAACTAGGTCATGGGGTTTTAAATTTGCATGTTATTTAAAAACTTGATCTGCAAAGTTTTGTAAACAAATAGTTATCGATCACTAAGTTACTGTACAGCCAATCAATATTTGTCTTACGAAAGTGAAACATCCGGTTATAACTTAGGCTTGATGAAAATAAATAGAAATGTAGCCTTAAACACAACAAATTATTTTCAAGTTCTCTGGATTTGCAAGTTTTATAGCATTTATTCTAAGAATATAAAATTTCTAAATTAATTTTAGGCTTAAGTTTTTATTTTTTATTTTTTTTTACGGTCTAAATCTAAAAAGCACATTTTTATTCCATGACAACAACACTATGGAAGGAATCTCGTCAACTCGCTTGTCTCCATTAATTAGTAATGATTAGGTCTATATCTATTAGGCCGGCGTAGAGTACAATAAGATAATTTATTAATAATTAATTAGAATATTAGATTCTACTAAACAATGAATTTTTTTTTTAAATTTGGTGTGTCTTACAAGAAGTAATAAGTAGTAGATCTAACTAACTTAACTAAAAGTTAGGATTCAAAGATTCTAATACTTAAGTAAGTAAGAATATAGATTATAGAATGAGTAAAATAGTAAATTAAGTATTGATTATAATTATATAATAATAAAACTATTTTGAATATAGATCTAGATTAGTATAGGTCACTATTGGACACTATTGGTAGATCTACTAGATCTAGTATTACTACTACTAGATTCTAGATCTAGTGACATTTCTAGCAGTAGCAGCTACAGCTAGATTCTAGAAATCTAGACTCTAAGTCTTTAATTATTAATATTAGCCTAACCAATATTAATATTAATTATATTAAATAATAATGATTAGGCCTAGTTATTAGATCTAGTAATACTAGTTAGATCATCTAGGCCTAACACTAATCAATAATGAATGGCTTAATGATGGGTAATGACTAATGACTCTCAATGACTAATGTGTAATTGAATGTAATTTTGTATCATTGTTTGTTGACTATCCGATCAGTATCATTGACTCTTGAGTTTGAGTATGAAATTTATTTTATTTTATGAGTGAATGAAAAATTGAAAATTAAAGTATTGAATGAAAGACTAAAGCTGAAGGGTAAAACAATAGCCGCTTATGACCTAGATCTAGGAATCTTCTAGGGCTAGATCTAGATCTAAAGACAAAAGTTATAGATTCTAGAAATCTAGATCTAGAATCTAGAATCTCGATCTAATCACTTTTGAAATACTCTATACTGCCGGGCAGTGTGAGTTTTTTTAAATCTTCATTTTTAAAGATCTGCCTGGTTTGGCCTGATCTAGTTGGGCTGAGAGCATAATTTATGCAGCCCGATAATGACACTTTTGAAAACAAAAGTCTAGCATTGTCTGTAGCATATTTGTAAATCATTGAAAGCCCATATTTTTCACAAACAAGAGTAAATTAGATAGATCTAGATCTCTATATATATATTTGGAATGAAGACGTCCAACTGCAATTTCCCACTATTTTATTGTGATGTCACTCTCCTATAGTGACCTAAAGTTATAGTTATGAAAATATAGCCAAGTATAGGAATAATTTATAGCCTATATCTATATTTTTACCAACGCATAGCTTGGTCTAATTCATTTTTAAGAAGATATACTTTTTTAAAAAGTGTCTTGGCTAATGAATCGCTAGCATCTTCGGTCCCTACAAGTGTTTTTTTTAAGTATTATTTTAAGTTTACCTTTTAGTTCTTTGAATCCCAATGATAGTTGAATAACATTTAATACATCACTTTAGGAAAACCATTTTTTAATCAGGAGAAAAGAAATATATCCATATAATAATATACAGATCTATGTAGTAGGTCTTTTCACAAACGTCTTTGTCAGGAGTTTTATAACATACCTGGCCATCATAGCCAATGGCGATTAAAAGTTGTTTTGCTAAACGAAAACATAAGGAAAACAATGGATTTATTTAGCATATTTTACCATTAAAAATAACTTGTTTTCTTTTCCTAAGAGCTTCGGATTTTTCTTTAGGTCTTTTTAAGGTAAGTAGAATATGTGTTAATGTATTGAAAGGTCTATTCGTAGTATTCTAGAAGTTAGAACTACAGCCAATTTATTTATTTCAACTGGACGGGTGTGGGGAAATTGCGAGACGCGAAAAGCGAAATGGCGAGGCGGGAAAATGCGAGAAGGGCGCGAAAACGGTCAGTCACGTGACTTTTTGTCTCGCATTTTACCACAAGCCGATAGTTACGCTGGGTGGTGTTGAAATGCGAAGATTTCTGCGAAAAATTTACCGCACCCGATTTTCAGTGGTATTTGGTCCAGACTTCAAAGACGTTTCGTTTACATTGTTAAAACTTCCGATTTTTCCGTCGCTAGACATACTGATGATTTGTCAACTCCCCCATTCTTTTGTGTCGACTTAGAATACCACCTTGTTCGAAACCGACGGAAATACCGCCGACGATAGATCAACTTCTGTCTTTTGTGTGGAACGCCGAGGCCGCCTGATTTACCGTCTTTGAAGATCGCCGTGCCCGAATCCGCTGCCGCCGCATACATATTTTCTATTGTTGCATAGAAATTTTGTATTATAGCCACCGCCTACGATTTTTTTCTAGCTTTTTTTTTACCATATAAATCTAAGCACAAGGAAATGCCTACATCATTTGGATACTACAAAATAAAGTGACGTCACCGATATTATCAGTTGCTAGTGCTATATCGTAAGCTATGGGCCTACTTCAAATATTTTTAAAATTAAGTTGAACTTATCTGAATTTTTTGGTTTTGGTGGTGGTGTTATTTGGGGTCTTCCATAAATGACGTCACACTCGTAGGGAGGGGGGGGTCTGTAATTTTATGACGATGTGTGATGAGGGGGGAGGAGGGGGGGGGGGGGTTAGATGTGAAGTCACACTATAAAAAGCAATGTTAGAAAAAGAATTTTAGACGTTTTTTCGCGTTTTAGAAAACTGTTTTAATAAAGTGTAATAGGAATTTATTAAAATACTCTATTTTGACCGAAATTAGACAAGATTTTGGGAAAATACCGATGTTTTAAAAAAAACTCAACTGCTGGTGACAACAATGAGCAAGACATTGCCAAAATTACAGAAATGATAAAAAATACAAATTATTAAAAAACGGAAAACAGATGTTGAGCGTGCGGATGATGACATTGATGATGATGAGAACATGGGTGCCAGTGTTGTTTGTGGGATGAACGAGGAGGTCAACTGTGATGAGAATGTGAAATGTTGTGAATATGGATTGGAAGAAGTAGCAAAAGAAAAATGTATAAATGGGAGTCTAATGAACTGGGTTGGGTGTACTATGTGTGAAAGATGGTGTCACGAGGTGTGTTTGATGACTGTTTCAGAAGATTTTGTTTGTAAATTTTGTTTGTAATTAAAATTACTTAAAAAAATAAATTGCACTTTTTAGAATTGTTTATACTTTTACACTTTTTGCAAGTACAAAAATCCATAAATAGATGTTGCAAAATATCTCTCCTGCTGACAAGATTATACCAATTCACAATGACACAGCTCACGTTTGTATAAACATGAGCGGGCTAGATTTTTAAATTAATGCCGACTGAGACGGGAATTTCCTCTCGCTAACAAGAGCGGGAGATGACAGTAGCACAGCAACGATGTTAGGATTTTTAAATAGATAGATCTAGATATAGATCTATCTAGATCCTCTCTATCTTCTTAGTATCTAGATAAAAAATAACAACATACAACACTCGTGTTATAGGGTATGGCTAAATGCTTGTTTACTTTAAAACAAAAAAAAAAATAATTTAAATAAATAAAGATGGAAAAAAAAAAGGAAAAAACTTTTTTCGCAAAAAGTGTCTCGCTATTTACCCTTAATTCCGCAGGTATGTCTCGCATTACCTTCTCGCATTTTCCCGCCTCGCCATTTCGCTTTCCGCGTCTCGCAATTTCCCCACACCCCAACTGGACTCTGTCAATCCCAGTCATCACTCTTCTTTCACTCAGTCTTCAGTCAATCTTCTCAGAGTTATCAGTCATCGGAGTCTCATCTCACCTCAATCAATTATGTGTATAGTCACAGTATAGTGTATAGGCCTACTAGATCTAGATCTATAATATATTTAAATAAATAGACTAAAGATTTAGATAGGCCTAACTAATAACTAATCAGCCTAGGCCTAACTATTAATTAACTAAGTATTTAATTTAATCACTAATCCAATTAAAATAATCTCAGCTTCTGCTCACAGTCCTTGGTTTTTACTCTTTATTGTATGACTAGGAGTTAAGGAGGCATAGGCCTACCATATATTAATTATTATAGTAAATAGGGCCTAGTAATAATTAATTATAGTATTATACTTTTTAGTACATTAGGCCTACTAGGCCTATATATTAATTAATTAATTAGCTAAGGGCTTAGACTAGGCATTTCGACTTCCGCTGTTTCGATTCGGTACGACCACATCCTGACTTTTTCATCGTACTTGTTGAAATTCGCCATTTTTTAACATGTTAATTCTCGCCATCGGAATCGAAGAATAAAATGTATTCGATGTGAATATTTGAGTTGAATTTCATCTTTTATACATACTAATAAATGAATTAGCTCCCGTTTTACATTGTCCGATACCGAAAGCGATCACCGATAATAGCAAATATTTGTCGAAATGCCGACGCTACCGAACTGGCGCATTGACAACTAAATTTCAGATATAAATATTCCTTTAAGTTGCATGAAAATAGGCTTAAATAGCATGCCAACCATTTGGATAAATAGAAATGTCGATTTGAAGGGTTTTTAAGCATGGGCCAATGAGGAGTAGCGCGATAAAACTCGTAGGGGTAGGAACGAGAAAGCGTGCGTAATTTCATAATGGCGGCCGGGTTACGAGATATTAATAGATATGCGCATACGATGTTTTTTAACAGCTGTTTGTTTTTAAATGGACTGTTACAATAAAATGGGCTTTAAAATAAATATACTGTAGATCTAAATTATTAGATTAAAAATGGAAAGAATGTAATTAGGCCTAATTGCTGCCTAAATAAATTATAAAATTTAAAATTAGCCAGATTTTTATTAACCTTCTTAATACCAGGTTAACTAGATCTAGTAAACTAGCATTAACGAATTGCAGATAAATAGATTATAAAGGCATTTTCAAGTAGAAAAAATTTATATTTATTGTAAACAGTTTTAAAAAAATTAGAATCTAGATCTAGATCTAAATGGAAATGAAAACACTAAAACAATAATGGGTCTAGAGATGTGTAATAATATATATATATATATATATATATATATATATATATATATATATATATATATATATATATATATATATATATATATCGGATATATATATATAAACTATTAGGCCTTTATGTAAATACTGACAGGCCTATCTGTAGTATCTAGATCTATAAAGTACTATAAAGGGCCTAAATTAAAAATAATAATGCCCAATTTTATAAGCTGCACTGCATTACAGTTTTAGTTATAGGCAACTATAATAGAAAGAAAACATGAACACTTTAATTAATGTCATTTAAGAATTTATCAAAGGATACGTCAACTTCACTAAACATTTTATAAATAAGAATACTGTGAAATGTCAATCTTTGAGTTTTAGCACACCTCAACACTTTTCATCAGAAACATTACAAGAACCAAAATTTTCTAAATTAATAATAACATTTTTACCATGTTATACACGGACACAAATCCAATGTTTATGGCAAATCGTTAAGTATCTTGATCATATTGTGCTGTATTTGACTTGTAAGTTCTAACTCTATACATTACCTGTACAATATGTATACTAGCACTCTTATTACTAACACCAGAATCAATATGTAAAGTTTAATCTTTATTTTTATAGTAGCAACAAAGAAGTGCAACATATTAGCCTGTAGTTAATCATCATAGTCTAATTGCGCTGTACCATATTCAAGTTCACTATTTATAGTTTTCCTCTAGCTATGTTTATTTTACTTGCATGATTGTATTGTTTACATGCTCTAGTCCTAATATATAAAGTTTCATGATGGTATATGGAATAGCAACCTAGCTGTGCAGTCTGGAAATCCTCTTATGGCAGTTACTATAGAACAGTGCCACACCCCTTAATTTAACTTCATTATTTCTAGTTATCTCTTTTCTAATTTTTATTTTATTTGTAGACTTCTATTGCCTATATCATTGAGTACAAATGTGCAAAGTTTTATCATTATATCTTTAATAGCAACATTGGTATGCAAGTTTAAAGCCAATCACACGTCTGGAATGCAGGTTACAATGAAACATAACAAGTTAAACACATAACTTTGAAAATTCATATAAAAAAAACTATTAGGCCTAGAATGATAAATTTGATATTTTTATCAATGGGGTATATTATAGGATTGATCTGGGTCCATTTTATCATTCTATGATAATTAGGAAAAATTTCCCAATAGGCCTACTAGACTCTCTTAGCTTAGACAGACTGTCTTAGTAATAGTAATGTCATAGGACAGATCTACTCTAGATCTAGAATCTAGATCCTAGATTAATCTAGATCAGGGGTCTCCAAACTACGGCCCGCTGAGATTTTTTTGTCCACGGAAAAAAATGTTAGTTGGAGGTGGCGGAAGACCTTTACTCAGAATACAAAACAATTTGGAAATGTAGCTTTGGGTGCAAAACTTTTGCATCAAAGTACCTTTCAAATTTTGGAGCAACATACTTGTGCGAACAAAAATTTTCAACAATTTGAGATCAAACATGGACCTTAAGTGTGTTGTCGGCCCCTGACAGTGTTTCTTTCAGACTTTTTTCTCAGAGGGGGGGGGGGGGGGGGGGGGGGCACTTGAAATTAGTATGTATTTGAGGGGTGGGTTGACTTGTTTTTTTTTTTTGGGGGGGGGGGTGGAAGTTTTGCCCCCACGAAGAGATGCCTGGAAGAAACTCTGGCCCCAAAGTGATATTTGATAGTTAAGCGGCCCTCTGGATGAAAAGTTTGGAGACTCTAGATCTAGATTCTAGAGTCACAAGAGTCTAGAATCCTCAATCTAGAATCTACATCTAAAAAATTTAATATATATTGTGACTAATGTAGTAGGGGTAGGCCCTCTAGAATCAGATCTAGTTGAATGTTAAATATTTTTAAAAATTAATGAGCATTGTCATTTAAACCTGTGATCACAAAAATTTGATTAAGTGTACTATGTAACCAGTGTAACTGTAAGCCTTATCACTTTTTTTTCTTTTTGCTATATGGTAATGTAAATGTAATTTAAATATTAATAGACTAGTCTTAATTAGGTCATTCTTGTGTTGAAAATGCCTATTAATAAATATGAATAAATATATACAGGAACAGAGGTGGAGCTGATGGCCCAAAAATAAAATGTGATAGGTCAGTGTAGCATGTCAGATGTCTCCTCACTGTACAAATATTTGTTTTACAATCTCTGCACTTTCAAATTTGTTTTAAAAATTTAGATTATTAAATTTGTATTTTTTAAACTGGAATTTTAGTTTTAAAAAGGTAAGACTAGTCAGATGATGAAATGTACAGAAAACATATTTTGTTGCCCATGTTAATAATGATTGGGTCTCTCTCAACAAACCAGGCTGATCCCATTTCATTAGTACACTGTAACCTGTATAACTAAAATATTGAAAGTCTTTGTAAAGTTTTAATACAGATATAGAATGTCTCTACATTTAACCAGGTACCTAACTCATGTTAGGGAAAATAAAGGCTTAGAACTGACCCTGCAGTGGTTACAGAAATAGGTGAACTCTACTTCATCTGCCCTAATGACGAGGTCAAAAAGGTTGACTTTTGGGATTTACATTACCTATAATGATTTATTGTATTTCAATTTCCAAAAATATCCTTAACACATCCTAAATAACTTGTAAAAATTCAGTTTTGAAAATTACTTTAAAAATACATGTTTACAAGTTTGATGGCTTACTTTCTGAACACCCTCAACTTATCATACTCATCACTAAAGTCTGTACCCTCCCTAAGAGTGTGATGTTGTTTATGGACGACCCCCAACTCCTCTCTTCCTTCTTTGTACATACTCCATTGGTCACAACATCTTTACATCATATCCTCACATCATATCATCACATCATATCATCACAGAAAAAAAAAATTAGTTCTGTTACAATGTGTTTTATTGAGTAAACTGTAAATAGATGTCTATAAATGATGTCACCCTTCTATAAACGATGTCTACCCTCAAGAGTGGAGGGGATCTAATTTTAGTGAAGGTGTGCTAATCTTGATGAGAACAGAAATTAAAAGCTGCAAAAGTCACTCAGGGACAATACAATAGAATTTTTTTTTTGGAAGGGGGGGGGGCGGTGAGTTTCTTGGTTGGTTGGAATGATTAATGGTGAGCCAACACACATGCAGAGCAAGGCATGTTAGCGGCCGTGGGATTGTAACCTGTAAGCAGTGTGGTATGAACAGGCTATAATCCTGAAGATTGCATGCTATCCATTTCCCCAAACCTAGACATCGGGCGTGACGATTTCACGCTCTACCGCTCAACCAAGTCGCCCCATACACTGTACAGCCCCCTCTGTTACAGTTCATTCTCCTTGATCTTTGTAGCGATTGCATAACTAAAGTTTCTCATTTGGCAATATGCCGGATCTTCTTATATGTAGAGGCACTGGTTATCTTACGTGCAGATCATGTTACAATCTAAAAGTTGACATTAAGATCAGCGTCACTTGGCGTGATGCAGACGACAGCACCAGGTATAGCGTGAGAGAGCCGTGGATCTATTTATGGCGACAAAATTCCGTAATAAATTTGATAGTATTTTGTCCGGGTCGTGCGTGGTTAGAACTTGAATGTTTGTTCATTGTGTGAAACTTTGGCTCGGGTGTAGAACATCTTTGTTAGACGTTTGTTGACGCGGTAGATCTACCGCGATAGTACTGTTGTCTTTATTAACAAGGCCATATAGTGATTATACAGCTGACGTGTCGTTCTATTGGATAGTTATTGTATGATTGATTGACTTGTGTCCGTAATGTAAGCCAACACACAGAAAGCCTTGTGTACAAGCGTGACGCGGCTTGAATACCCAGCCCGTAGAGGTGCTGCGTCATTACGGGTCTTTCACCTATTCAGTTACCGCCCTTTCTTGTACCGATCGCTAGGTCTGTCCAAATAAAATCTGATCTCACCATCGTGTCAGTGCTGCATCATGGTTTTAAACAATCGGGATTTTAAACAATCGGTGTTCGCTTCGGATATAATCTAAAATATTAGCTGGATGATTGAAATGTAGACCCATTCTAACCGATTGTAGCTTTAAGCTTTTAAAACTCCACTTTTTATCGCCACAGTGATGGCTTTAAGCTCCCGCTTACGTAGTCGCCATGTTAGCTTTAAGCTCCCGACTTTCTTCTCGCCACGATTGCTAGTTTTCAGCTCCCGACTTTCTTCGCGCCGTGCTAGTTTTAAGCTCCCGTTTCGTTGTCGCAAAGATAGCTTTAAGCTCCCGTTTCGTTGTCGCCAAGATAGCTTTAAGCTCCCCCCTTACGTAGTCGCCATGTGAGCTTTAAGCTCCCGACTATAAGGTGGCCGTGTCAGGTTAAATATACCACCTATGCTTACATAGAGGTTTGTGCAATCACTGCACCTGTTGCCCACGCGTGCAACCAAATCGCGTTGTTGTATGTCTTTTTACTTAATGCGTAGGCCTAGATCTATATCATATCCAAATCCTATCGGTCTGTCTTCCATTAAAGTACGGGCGAGAGGGGGGGTGTATGTTGGTATGATCAAATATGTTCAGTAAGATCTGCAACCTTTCAAATTTTAAGATCATGGATATCTACACCGCAAGTGTCATATTTGCATTGATTGGGGGAGGGGGAGGGGTATGTCCTAATACAGTGTGAAATTCATGGTATTTTATTTTTATTTCCGCGTGCGTTTAGTGACCGCCGATGTATTTGTGGCTGGTGGTTTAAATCCTGTGTCACCTCCGTGCCCTCATTTCTAAATACTGCAAGACGTGTATGACGCAGCTAATCTTTGGGTTGATGAACCGTGACCCGACAAATCTACCGGTACACATTCCGTCTGTGTCTGTTGTTTTTAAACGTTAGCTCTGTTGGTTTTGTTCATCACTGTATACACACGCTACTGTGTACCCTAGAGGTTTATTTTTTGTGTTAGCATTTAGTTGTTTTTTTTTTGTTTGTTTTCTGCAGTAATCAAAAGACCAGTTGAATTATTAATTCATTGAATAGATACTATTTATCTGTATAACATCTTTAATGATGGAATAACCTTTCTTATGTTTATCTTCATATCATTTGTGAATTAAATTAATTAGTCATTTATAAAATCTAATCACACATTAAATGTTCTCATCTTTAAAGATTTTAGCTGTATCAGTTTGAAACATTGTACTCTGGAAACAAGTTGGCTTTATGTGTGTATGTGTGTATATGAGTGTTTGGGTTTATAATAAAGTTAAGCTAATTGCCTACTGTTTATATTTTTTCACAGTGAATTAGGCTGCAGTAGAACAGCATGGCACAAGCAGTGTTGACAGTGTGTGAGTTGTCAACCTCTTGATGATTGTTGCCCTAGGAACACAGGCTGTACACACTTGTCCTCTCCCCCAGTCAGAGAGAAATGTCTTCCAAAGAGTCCTCCTGCTACCGGCCACGGGCCCAGATCACAGAGAAACCTGCAGATGGCAGCATGCACTTCACCATCATGAAGCACCCCAAGGAAGCGCTGGAAATCATGAGCATTCTCCAGCGCTCCAAGAAGCTTTGTGACATTACCCTGGTGGTGGGTGAGGAGAAGATTCTGGCCCATAAGATTGTCTTGGCGGCATCGAGCCCCTACTTCCGGGCCATGTTCACCAGTGGCATGAGAGAGGAGGAGATGTCTACCATCCCCCTACACGGGATCTCCCCATGTACCCTGGCTCAGCTGATTGAATTTGCTTACACCGCAGAGGTGGACATAAAAGAAGAAAACGTCTGCTACCTCTTGCCTGCAGCCACCATGTTCCAGATGAACCATGTAGTAGAAGCCTGCACGGTGTTCTTGGAACACCAGTTAGACCCCAGTAACTGCATTGGTATCGCAGACTTTGCCAGTGAGCACGGTTGTCTGGAGCTAGAGAATAAAGCCAGAAAGTACATCAGAAAACATTTTTGCGAGGTGATCCAATGCGACGAGTTCCTGGTCCTCAGCCCTTGCCAGATGATAAACTTGGTGAAACAGGACGAGCTCAATGTCCAGTGTGAGTCTGAGGTCTTCAAGGCTGTGGTCAGGTGGGTGGAGCACGACCCTGAGAAGAGACTAGAAATTCTGGGAGGGCTGATCTCTTCGGTCAGGTTAAACTTCCTTGCTCCCAAGTTCTTAGAACAGCAGCTTAATAACTGCCATATACTACAGAAAAATCCACAGTGCTTGCAGACTTTGTCAGAGAAGTTAAAAGGGCTTAAGCTCCACCTCAAATGTTCAGATCTTCCCAGAAGGCCGTGTGCCCCGTTAGTGATATTCTGTGCTGGTGGCTATCTCAGACAGTCCTTGAGTAATTTTGAGTGTTATAACCCAAAAAATAAACAGTGGCTACGTCTTCCTGATCTGCCTACACCTCGCAGTGGCCTGGGGGCTTGTATGGTACGTGGTGCCCTGTATGTCATTGGGGGGCGTAACAATTCACCTGATGGGAATATGGACTCGAGCAGTCTGGATATGTACGATCCTATGCGGAATGTTTGGATACCAAAGCATAATATGAACTTCCCACGTAACCGTGTGGGGGTTGGTGTGATTGACAATATGATTTATGCTGTAGGAGGTTCCCATGGGACTACCCATCATGCATCAGCAGAAAGGTACGGTTAATTGTAATTAAAAAAATGTTATTGAAGTTATCTAATACAGTCAATTGGTTCATTAATTTGCTATTGATAATTCTTTTAGTTGTTATTTTTAACCAGCTCCCTAGGAGTACAAAGAATTAAGATTTATAACTACAACAAAAAATGCATAAAAAACGTTTTAATAACAAGCTTTTATGTAATGATGCACTAAAAAGTAGAAAATAAATTATAGACTACTATTTAAATAACTATAAAGAAAAGCGTGGGTCACTTTAGTATCTATTGGATACCTTTACTAATGTTAAGGAAGACACCCACGCTTTTCTTTATAGTTATTTAAATAGTAGTCTATAATTTATTTTCTACTTTTTAGTGCATCATTACATAAAAGCTTGTTATTAAAACGTTTTTTATGCATTTTTTTTCAGTACTTTACATGTTTTATTTACAATAGAGTTACATGACTAAAAACCATTGCGCGCCTACTGAACATCACGTTCATTAGGCGCGCAATGGTTTTTGAACGCAGCCATTACGTGATGGCGCAGCTATTGAAGGTGATGACGCGTGTGGTGTGGTTGGCTAGACATGCCTACTAATTTGGTCCAAATTTTAATTAATTCATAAAAAATTAATTAGGCATCCAATTAAGTCAAATTTAGATTCAGATTGCATTGTCTTCATGTCTTGACCCACGTGCCAACTGTGAATCGTATTGGTCAAGTAGAACTGTCCGAATTTTCACTCCTGCGTTTCCGTCTAGACAGACAGACAGACTGTCGAGGAAGTGAGTTAAATAAAAGCTTGTAAAAATACTGTATATTTAAAAAGTTAACCAGTTGTGTTCTGGAAATGACAGAAAAAATAACAAATACAAACATTTCTTTTCAGATTTTACATGTATTTTTTCTTCTCGGGAATTGTTTTAACTTTAAAGCTATAAGTTTTATTTTCCAATGTAAGCTAATGGATCTCTAAAATCTATACACCCTCTATGCATTTGGAATAGGTACCATTGAAAAATTTAGCTCAGACTTTGAAGCAGCTTTGTCACACTGATTTACTCTAAGCCCATTCAATCAATACAACTGTCATCAACATTTATGACTCTAGTGAACAATAATTGTACAATACATGACAGTTAAGTGAACTAATATCTCCTTCTGTCTGTGAATGCAGGTATGATGCTGAACATGACAAATGGACTGACATAGCAAGTATGTCAACTAAGAGAATTGGGGTTGGTTGTGCTGTATTGAATCGCCTGCTGTATGCCGTGGGTGGATTTGATGGAGAAAACAGGTTGTGCAGTGTGGAGTGCTATGAACCAGAGCATGACCAGTGGACTGAGATAAAGCCAATGAACACCATGAGGAGCGGAGCAGGTACTGACGGCACTAGGCTGAGAATGTTGTTCAATTAGACATGTCAAGCAGCATGAGATTAGTGATGAAATATCTTTTATTGATTGAACTTTTTTTTTTATCTTGTATCATGTCAAAATACATGACTGAGAATAGTGTTTAGAATGTTATTGAAATATCTTTTATTGATTGAATTTGATTGTGTAGCCATAGCAAGCAATATTAGATTAATATGTTGACGGTTATTGAAATATCTTTTATTGATTGAACTTTTGTTTGATCTTGTACCGTGTCAAAATACATGAGACTGAGAATAGTGTTGAGAATGTTATTGAAATATCTTTTATTGATTACATTTATTTGATTGTGTAGCCATATTAAGCAACATTAGATTAATATGTTGACGGTTATTGAAATATCTTTTATTGATTACATTTATTTGATTGTGTAGCCATATCAAGCAGCATTAGATTAATATGTTACCGGTTATTGAAATATCTTTTAAAGTTTTATTGATTGAATTTGTGTTGTGTCTTGTAGCCATGTCAAGCAGAACAGTGTTAGATAGCTATTGAAATGTAATATCTTTTATTATTTGTTTGATATTATAGGTGTTATCGCAGTAGACAACTACATCTATGCTGTGGGTGGCTATGACAGCTCATGTCAACTCAAGTCTGTAGAACGGTACAGCATTGATAAAAAACAGTGGGAGTTTGTCTGTCCAATGAACAGCCCAAGAAGTGCATTAAGTGTGGCTGTCATTAACAATCAGTTGTTTGCTTTAGGTCAGTTTTTTTTGTGTCTTTATTTAATCAAACATACCATTTTAATTGATTGCAATTTATTTAAAAATACCGAAACGAAGTATACATTTATTAATGCATGTGAAATGGTATACAATATCTATAAGCTGTCGTTGGTGTAACAATAGGTCAATATCTACAAGCTGTCGTGGGTGTAACAATAGGTCAATATCTACAAGCTGTCGTGGGTGTAACAATAGGTCAATATCTACAAGCTGTCAGTGAGCATGACAACAGGTCCATTTTATGTTTCAGGTGGGTATGATGGCAACGACTTCCTTTCATCTGTGGAGTGCTACTGTTCTGAGGGCAACAAATGGTATGACATCACTAACATGACATGTGGCAGAAGTGGACATGGGGTAGCCGTTGGAGCAGAACCGCCCATCAAATGAGGAAACAGTTTGGCCGCTGTTTGAATCTATCTGGGGAGGGGAGGAGGGGGGTCACTTGTTAATGTTAACATCATTTTAAAATGCTCTTAAAGTTCCTTAGACAAAGTAGTTTCCTAGATAATTGATCTCTTCACTTAATTGAAGTAACAAACCATTCCTTTATGATCATTCAATGGCAGAATTTTATATGGATTTTGCCTTGGTGCTGGGTTAAATTTTTTACCTGAAATGAGAATGCTTTCACACATTTGTGGCTTCCTGTATTGTGTATAACTGTGGGTGTATCTTGATCAAGTAATGCTTTATTTCTAAGTGAGGACAGCCATTTAAAAAGAAATTGTTAGCTACAAAAGATCTACAAATACAATTGTTTATGTTATTAAATTTTAGCAGCTAAGCTAATTGTTGTTTTAAATGTGAATGACAGATGAGGATTTGCTGTATTAATGTATTTTTTCTTCTGTATTTGTCATGTTACTTGCGGAAAGTAACTCATGTTATAGCAATAAGGTGATGTTTTTCTTTTCCAGTGAAATACATTGTAAACTTATCAACTACTTATATGTCTCATTTAATTTAAGATATCTCTAAAAATCCATAGATCTGATCATAATCATACATTTGCAGCAAATTTTATTATTTATTTATATTTGTATATAATGTCCAAAAAAATTGTGTGAAAAAGTATTCAAGATTTATGTAACATGCTTTGCTTGTTTAAGTAATTGTTTTATTAGATTATATACTAAGTTGCCATTTTAAATATGTATTGTAATTTTAAAAATGTTTATCTTAAAATTCAAACAAAGTATTTTCTACCTCAGTTAACCATCAAGCATTAGTGTCTCTCATATTCCATCAGAGTTACAATTTTAGAAACAGTTAATGAAGAAATACTTCAAAACATTAAACATAGAATAAAAAAAACTTGTAGAACATGCAGATTTTTCAATGTAACCTCACATTTGATATGAGAGCTTTACATTTGTAATGTACTTGTGTTATATTTTATGAACAAACATTTGGGGACTCAGTCCAATTATTAGACTAATTACAGTGTACTTATGTGTGTTTATGAAAACATCATTTACCTTAAGCTATTGTACATACTTTGAAATCCATTTATTGTCACAAGTTTTGATAAACTACTTAGAGTAATTAACAAGGATCAACTAAAATGTTGAGAATATTTTAAGAGAAACACATAAGAATTAATTTTCTAGAATTTGATCTCTCATGCTCTTTTTATTTAACAGAAAATTTGTTTTGTAATTGAGATCTGTTAATTTTTGTCAAGTAGTTTAGAAGAAATGGTTTAGCTGCTTGCCGAAGTGTTTTGTCATGATTCTTGCCCTTGTTACTGTCAACCAAATGTAAATATCATGTTCACATATTGTGAGATAACTGGTGCAATCATCTCTAAGTCAGGGTTGTCTGAGTTCTTGTACATACATCACACTTTAAACAGATCTCATCTTGTGAAGGCATTCATTCTATCACTACTGGGTTGTTATGTCAGTGAATCTGCACTTACCCCATTCTAGTAAACTAAAACAATACAACAGCTGTGTAAAACAAATGAGAATGACACGCACATAATTTAATGTCTCTTGCTTTTGTGTAAGAAATGTTCCATGCAGGATGTCCTGTCCTCTTGGTCTGTATTCCATATACATTTGCTAGGCTTGTACATATTGCTCTTATGTTGTATGGTATGAGAGAACTCATGTTGATATGCTTTTGGTTTGTCTGAATGGTCTGCATTCAGGGTTCTCTTAAAAATATGCTGTATGTATTGTGAGTGATAGTGTTGACTTAATGGTCACGTTACATGGTATGTCTAAGCCAATAGTGAGAACCTTTTGTGTGTGATAGTGTTGACTTAATGGTCACGTACATGGTATGTCTAAGCCCATAGTGAGTTGATGTATTAATTATCTGCTGCATTCCTTGTTAGTGGCAGGCCATAGTCAGGTGTTTGTCAGTTTTCTCGCAGGGTTTGTGTTTGTTTAACCTGAGGTCAGCATCAATCAACTTTCTGCCATTCCATTCGTGCCAGCAGGTGGCCTGTGCTGGAGATGTTTCTCTTGTCCTGGACGTGTTGTCAAACATTGAGTACAGCTCACCCACTGCTGTGTTGCTCTATACACGTGAATCAGGGGTTCGTGACTATGTGTGTGAAAGTGAAATAAATATATTTTTTTGTTCTCTCATCGATGCTTTTTGTTGTTATTTATGTTTACAATTATTATTGTGTCTAATTATCGAAAACACGATGGGGGCCTAGTCTGACTGAGTACTCTCGGATAGAACGTGATCACAATACTAGTTTTTTTTAAAATAAACGTACCCGGATGTAAATGTTCATGTCATTAAAATAGCATGATGCGAGATGAGTAAGAGTTAATGGTTAGGTGACGCTTGTTTATTGCGGGATATAGGAAATGTCATTAGTAATAGAATGTTATCAAAGTTTATTCACCAACTTAGTATGGTAAAAAAAACGAATACTGAACACACCAGAAAATTTTCCGTTTGTGCATATGAAGAGAGAACTGTTTCAAGTTTCTACTGACTTGAACCCGAATTAGAACTCGCGCCTTTAGGGTTAGCAATCTAGCTCTCTACCGCTAGGCCACGCCGTCCCACGCGTGCTTGTAAAGTGTTCTTTATTAATACCCTTTTCGATGTAGATTTCATAGAACAAGTTGAAAGCTCTTTTTATAATGACTAGACCTATGATATTAAGTTTAGCCATTCAACAGATCAGGCATGATAGGAACAATGCTAAATCAGCAGTTCCCGATAAGGACTTGGGTTAGCCACAAAAAATGAGTGTAGCTAAAAATGAAGTCATGTAAGAATACGGATGCTTGTTGACCGTTTCAGTACGTTAAAACATGCTGTCATAATGAGCCTGACACAACTCTCGATTAATTATTGTAGCTTAACTCTGTGCTCATCTTTATAAGAACCAATCCATGGATTTAGCAAGGCAGAGAAAGATGTCCCACTCATATAAACCTATTTATACCTAGGTTATAAGGGATGAGGTTACTGTCCGTTCTAAAAATGCTTATACTAAGGATAAGGGAAAAAATATGCTCTTTTAAAATTGTGTGAGACCGCGGTACTGGTAGCTTCGCGGGGGTGGGTCTGCACCAGGTGACACCATTTTGAAAGTGACACCCAATAAAAAAAATCGCAACATTTTTCTGACCAATCCAATTAAATGATAAAAAAGTAAAGGGGGAGAGGGGTGACAATAAACCGAAAATTCAAAACTGTTGATCGGGGGTTGGTGGTGACACCCTCAATTACAACACCGGGTGACACACCACCTAGTGACGCCACTGCAAGATAAGATTCGGTTGGAGGGGGCACCAGATTCCAAAACCTCAATGACCTTGACTTGGGCGGATGCGGCATTAGTCATGTAGTCCATCGAGCATCCCTCCGTAGTTGCACCAAGTAAATCGCTTGGCCGTCCGTTAAAAAGGTGCTAAAACACAACAGCGGTTAACACGTCAGTTTTTGGGCCACAAATGTGACAACAATTGTCAAAACAAAGTCACGCACCTGGTTAGTTGTGTCTCCGAGGAAAACAAAAGCAATCAGTGTTGGTTGTCACGTGTGAACGTTGCAGCACCAAGCCATGTCACTTGGGAGATAATTAGCGGGCTATAAAAATGTGGGCGTACTAATCTACCAGTCAAATAAATGTGTAGATACGTCATTGGCCAGTACCAGATCACATTTTTATAGACTGGAATATTCTAGAAATTTTTAGAAGCTGGCGTAGGACCAGTTCTTGACAACAACTTTCTTTAATGTAAGTATAAAATTGGTGTACGCTAATTTTTATGTAAACTATTATTTTCTGAAAGTAGCATTTTTCTCAATTTTTGGTCAATACCACGAATTTGTATATTAATACAGAGCTAATAGACTTCTGCACAATATTAAAATTTACTAGAAAATCTAACACTAAATCTATGCTCTAAACATGTTACACTTGTATCACCAATCATGTGAACTAGAATATATTTCTTTAACATTGTAGATACTATTTAATTTTATATTAATTGTTTTTGTATTTCTTTCTGCAGAATTTTTTTAAGATGTTGGAAGCTATCAAGTGCAGATGGAGTTTCTACATATTCCTGGTGATTTCATTCGCTGTACTTCACGGAGAACCTTCACGGGACCCGCCAGCAAACGGCAGGAAGGAAGAGCTGAAAAAGTTATTGTTCGGGTGCGCAGACGACTTGAACTTTGGCCGAGACTTGAGCCGAGTGGCCAGCCGCTGTTTGGCCAAGCTGAGACAGGGGCTGGAGGAACAGGCAGGGCTCTATGAGGATTCGAATGAGCATTGGTCGATACGGGCATATAGGGCATGTAAGTAGCTGTGTTGGTCAGTAGACATTGGTCGATACGGGCATATAGGGCATGTAAGTAGCCGTGGTATTAGAATTAGCATTGGTCAGTACGGGCATATAGGGCATGTAAGTAGGTGTGTTAGTCAATGGGGATTGGTCAATACGGACATATATGGCATGTAAGTAGCCGTGGTATTAGAATTAGCATTGACCAGTACGGGCATATAGGGCATGTAAGTAGCTGTGTTGGTCAGTGGACATTGGTCAATACGGGCATATAGGGCATCTAAGTCGTCGTGTTAGTGGAAAAAGTCATGAGTGTCACAAGTAGGTTAGGTTAGAGTTGTGTCTAAATGTGTCAAAGGTTAATCAGCGCATGGAGTGCGACTAACAATTACTTGACCCTCTTTAAAAAAAAATATTTTAAACCAACGAATTTCCCGAAAACATTTTTTTATTAAAATGTATTTTTTGTTCCCGAACAACAAATTCACTAATAATTACAATCGAAAAATCTAAATTGCCATAGAGCCAATGGGGGGGGGGGGGGCAAACTTGTGTTTAGAATGTTTAGATTAAGTAGCCTATTTTGCTCAAGGTTTCAATTTTTCACATATTTCATCTTGTTTTGCTTCACATATTTTGTCTTATTTTATTTCACATATTTCATCTTTGTTTGGACGCGAGTTTCAACATGAAATATTTAGAAAGTCACGCCTTCCCCCCCCCCCCCCCCCCCCCCGCTAATTTAAATTTACGAATACAAAATTCATATTATAATATCAAACTTGTAACATATTTTCCAGATCTCCATGACAACGATAGAATGTATTTTAGGAGCCTATCGTATTTTTCGGAGAGAAGTAAACAGAGGAAGTGTCACGTGACTCAGGTAGAACTGCTCGTGCCTGTTGTCCAATCCCCGAAGGTTAAAGAAAATTGGATCTCCATTCAAGTTGACGGAAGTAAGTTATCCTTATCTATATTTAGCGTTTATATCTAAAAAGCGCTACACGACATCATCTATTTAACGTGGACGGGTGAACAACAGAGGCGTAGCGACCCCTCCCGGCGCCCGGGGACAAACTTTCGATTTGCGCCCCCCCCTCGAACTTTTCATTTGCACCCCCCCCCCCTCTCAAACTTTCGATTTGCACCCCCCCCCCTCGAACTTTTCATTTGCACCCCCCCTCAAACTTTCAATTTGGCGCCCCCCTAAGGTCGGCGCCCGGGGACATATGTCCCCCCTCCCCACCCACCCCCCCCCCCCCTCGTTACGCCTCTGGTGAACAATTAAAAAGCTGTATCTTTCATTCGTCTAATGGAAGCTAAAACGATAATCTTTGAAAGATTATTTAAAAAAAAAAAACAAAAAAAAAAACTTGTAGTCTAGTCTTCTCTTCAAGGCAAAAATGGATTATTTGTGCCTATAGATCTACATAAATTATTAATTATGGTTAAAGTGACGATTCTCACATTACTAATCGCGGAATTTATTTACAAAATATTTTTTTTGTCACGGAATATATTTGCAAAATAAATTTTTATCACAGAATATATTTACAAAATAAATTTTTATCACGGAATATATTTACAAATAAATTTAAAAATAAAGTCAACCCGAATGATTTAACAACATGACTGCCCTTGTTTCTTCGTAGAAACTTTAAACAGTTCTAGAGGTACAGTCCAAATGAAAGGAGCCGCCTTCTTTAATCTGACTAACCTGCAGCAGACGGTACAACTCCGTGGTTTCAATGTGACCGTCGAGTCTTCAGCCTCAGTCATCCCACGCCCTCGACAGGCCCTCCTAATCACGTACTGTAACATAGATGTCACAGTCTTGACAAAACTCAACTACCACACCCAACTCCAAACTTCTAAACCAAAACGTAAACGTATTCGTCTGAGCAACTGTCGAGCTAATTTTACGACATCTGGCGCTTGTACGCGGGATTTAGTACGACAAAATATCCGGCTAAAACCGAAATCCGCCAGCAAAAATAATCAGGAGCAACTGTCTAAGCAGAATCATAAAAAACACAAGTTAAAACTAATGGTGTTACGTCTTTTAAATAAAAAATTCCCCAAAAGATCAGCTAAAGGTGAGGAGAATGTGTGTACAAACAAACTTGTTGATGACGGGGGTTTTGTTCCAAAACTCTGCGCATGTCAAAGAACTCGTCAGGTGGTGAATATCAAACTAGATTTCGGTCAGGACATCTTGTTGTCACCAGCTCGAGCAGACATTGGAGGGTGTTCGGGGACTTGCGTACACGTCAGTGACTACAATCAAGTCACGGAAAATAAAACAGCTCACGCCGTTTTGCTCAACAAGTACACGTCGAAAAATCTTCACCATCACGTGACTTGCTCGCCCAATAAAATGTCGAGTTTAGTTATCATGTACCGGACAGAGCACGTGGTTTACATAGATGCCATCCCTAATGCTATAGTTAAAACGTGTAGATGCGTGTAGCAGAGGGAAATCTAGCGCTTTATTTTAAATTAAAATAATTCGTTAAAATTCTAAAGTTTTGATCTTTCACACCTGTCTGCCAATGAGATTTGTAAGGATTTGGATATGAAATGAGATGCTGTAAGGATATGGATATGAAATGGGATGCTGTAAGGATATGGATATGAAATGAGATGCTGTAAGGATGTGGATATGAAGTGAGAAGCTGTAAGGATATGAAATGAGATGATGTAAGGATATGGATATAAAAAGGGGAGCTGTAAGGATATGGATATGAAATGGGAAGCTGTAAGGATATGGATATGAAATGGGGAGCTGTAAGGATATGGATATGAAGTGAGAAGCTGTAAGGATATGAAATGAGATGCTGTAAGGATAAGGATATGAAATGGGATGCTGTAAGGATATGGATATGAAATGAGCTCTCCTCCCTCGCTAAGCCTGTTGATAAGTTTGCGGATTTTAAATCAACCTTTTAGTACTGGTAAAACTATTCTATTGAGGGCTTATGTCAAACTCTCTACTTCTCTACTCAGGAACGGAACGATTGGAACAAAAAAAAATGACCATAATGAACACAGAGGCTTGTGACTTTAAAAACATAGGAGAGGACCCAAGATTGACTCAGATTATCTCAGGAGTTAGCCTGACGATAAGTCAGAAGTCAAACCTTCATTCTAAAGTCAAATCTTAGCGGCCCTAGGTCCCATAACCCTGATTCAACTGCGCTGTTAGTGAAGTGATTAATTATGGCTACATTAATTAACACTCCCAATCATCACAAGTACTTTAAAAAATGTGTCACCTCATTTACGTTTTTATGTATAGGTGTGTAGTCACTGTGTCAACCGTTTATGTACTTATGATTATGTGATCATTTATATATTTATTCTTCAAGTATGAGTGTGGAAGATTTATAAACATTCGTGTGTTTAAATATGTGTATGCGCGCGTGAGTGCTTGCTTGACAAGTGTAAAGTTGTATTTTTTACTTTATTTTTAGAAATGCTAAAATATACCAGCCGCAGCAACGACACTAGCGACGTCATTTCCTTTAGTCACGTGCTCACCTTTGACCTCCCTGGATTACACGCGGACAACATCCATGACGTCAACATCACCATGAGCTCCCCTTCATTTGAGCTCCGGCTTATACAATCTCTAGAGCAGAAACATTGTCGGCTGGTCAAGAATGAAGCGGAAAAAACAGCTAGCTGCCCCGCGGATATACCCGAACCTGAACCAGACGAGGTTCCGAAGAAGGACACAAAGGACGAAGTTATCCCCCTTAGCGATGATGCAAGAGAAAGGGTTCGTCTAATATCTCAACTCATCAAGGCGGCGGCCGAGAAATCGCTGAAACGCCGCAAAGACCACGACGATTTCAAATACCGGGATGATAAAAACACGCAGCCCACGCTAAAAATAAACGAACCAAACAACGCATGCAGCGTAACGCCAGGATCGGAAATTCCCCAACATTGCCTGTGTAAAAGAGAGAGGCTGTACGTCAAAATGCCAAACGACGTAATCGCACCAAAAGCTATTGACGTCGGCTACTGTAAGGGCGCGTGTGACCACGTGACCAAGTTTTACCAGATGGACGGGAACATTACGGGTCACGCTGTTCTGTTGAACAAGCAGAAGAAGCTGACCAAATGCGCGCCGCACAGGATGGCAGATATGAAGCTTCAGGTGCTCAACACGAGCCGAATGAGCGCCCTTGATGATGTCATTCTCAAGGACGTCACAGTCAAAACGTGTCGTTGTACTTAAACACTGGATCGTAAGGGACGTCATGCTTCATAATCCTGGGACGTCTCTTTTTAATGATATGGGACGTCTCTTTAAACGTCTTATTTCATAATCTTGGAAGTTCTAATTTTATTGGCGGAGGACGTCACATTTATAGGACACAGGACGTCTTATTTAATGAACCAATTATTCTGGCTAAAGCTCTCTGGACAAAAATCTCTTGACATAAACCCGCTGAGCACATACCCAAAACTTGGACTAAAACCCTTTGCATATGAACCCCCATTTGGGGTTAGTACAAGGAAAGTTTTGATGAAAAACTTCTACGAAAACAAAATGTTCGTTATTTGAATGTTTATGTTATTTAATTCTATATTTAATTATTATTTATTGTTTATTTTATTTTACATAAATATATATTATTTGGATAAATTTACGTACATTATTTACTCATTTACATTAAACTAAATTGAAAAATGTCGAGAAAACTATTTCTGCTTTAAAGAACGCAGATTTCTGCCGCGTAATGAATTATTGTGTGCCCTATTTGCTGCTCTTGTTTGATACAACATGTGTTCATGGAGCAAGATACGACAACACCTGGTAGATAGATCAAGAATGTAGATTTTTTTAAAACTCTGTGTCACGTGTTAACAGGGGTTACGCTATGTCATGAATAGGGAACGGTGAAGTACTAGATTAAAGCAATACGCGATTTGACTAGACTTAACGATACACTTTGTACCAATGCACACAAATCAGAATTGCTACAGAAAAATGTATTGTCCACAAATAAAATCAGATCATTATTAACAAATCCCATTTTTTTTAAAAACTGATAGATCTAGATCTAGTAGCACCTAAATTATATTTTGGAAACCAGTTTTAAATATCTTCTCGTCAATGTTTATACTTTCTTATATAACATCGAACTGGGGGTCAGGGGGTGTGGTCCGCACCGGGTGACACCATTTAGGGTGACACACAATTAAAAAATCGTAAAGTTTACTGTTAAAACAAAGTTTTATCCAGTTAAAATAATACTATAAATGGCGAGAGCAGTGACACAACACAGTAAGTGCTATGTTGTCGGAGGCGAGTTAGATGATGAGTGTTGCCGCATAGGGTGGCACTGGTGAACCGGGTGACACCAAAGTAACGCCAATGTGTCCAGGAGTTTTGTTTTTCCCCAAGTGGGTTTATGTACAGGGGTTTTGTCCGAGTGCCGTCTCATTTAATTATCATGTGACGTCCCAATCAACGACCGATCAACTAATTAGTTGACCTTATTGTATTGTCCATTCTGTAGACATACTATATATATATATATATATATATATATATATATATATATATATATATATATATATATATATATATATATATATATATATATATATATATATATATATATATATATATATATATATATATATATATATATGGTATAAAGCGATAACAAATATAAGACGTTTGAAGGTAATCACAAGTAAACAAGAAATCCCTATCTATTTGCAATGTATTTTTAATAGCATCAAAAAAGCTGTTTATATCATTATTGATAGCATAACAAAATCAATTTTAAAGTTTACACATACTCACGTACACATACACACACACACACCCACACATGAGCATATACATTCGTTGTTTTTGGTAGATATCGTTCAACTCATATTTTAATGACACTCTCTTATTCCTATAGAAACATGTCTATTTTTATAGTCAGGTTGTTATTGTTTGGTATATTTACATCCTTTTTTTATTAAACCTACATAAAGGCAGCAGTTATTCTGTGGGAAGTCTTACTGTAACTAAAGTTGAAAAACTTTAACAAGTCTTTACAGCAGTAAATAATTAGATCTATAGGCATACATACTGTTTTTTTTTTTCAAATAATTTGACCAAATTGTCAAAATCATTGCTTAAAATAACTACATAATTTAAGTTCTCAAAGCCATCTATCTTTACAAAAATCAAACACCAGTAATGTTTATGACGTTTGGGGGAAAAAACCCGATTATGAAGTTAAAACCTTAAATTGCTTTTTTTATACTTCAAATTATTTTTCTTTATTAAATTAGGAAAAATTACCGATATTTAGAGTTTATTTTGTTGATTTTTTTATTATAATGTATCTGAATAGATTTCAAATAAAGTATCAGAAATAAAATAACCGAACACTGAAAAAAAATGTCTTACTAAGTCATTGTGGTTTGTTTTTTCCTGTCACTCTTTAGTTCGACTGCATTAACGTTAGCAATATCAATGCCCTCTGCAATAGTATAGGCATCTCTTTTGGGGGGGGGGGGGGGGGGGGAAGAGTCTACTGCCCCTGAACGAAATGGATTTTATATAGAAAATATATTCTTTTAACAGTGTCCGCCCCCCCCCCCCAGGAATTTTAGTCCGCCCCCCCCCCCCCCCCCGTAAATTTCAAGTGTCCCCCCGAAAAAAAGTCTGGAAGAAACACTGTTAATTGGTAGCTAGAGATATCTTGTCTTTATTCCAGGTCTTCTGTTTTATGTAGTACCACATTATTTGAAGTCAATATATCGACATTCAAATTTAGAATAATAGTCACAGTATTTAGAAGTCGCCTGTAAATGACGTCACTTTTTTGGGTCCATTATTTTACCCTCTACTACAGAGGCGTAGCGACCCTTCCCGGCGCCCGGGGACAAACTTAGATTTCGATTTGCACCCCCCCCCCCTCACTTTCGATTTGCACCCCCCTCAAACTTTCATTTTTATTTTTCCAACCCATTTTGGCGCCCCCTAAGGTCGGCGCCCGGGGACATATGTCCCCCCCCCCTCGCCCCCCCCCCCCCTCGCTACGCTACTGCTCTACCATATTGTCACACGTCGTCACCAAAAGTCAAACACGTCCCCCTTTTTTGTACGAAAATTGCAGAAAATAAATACTTTTAAAATTTCAAAAGTGAGACACATCCCATTCTTGCGACACCCCTGCCCTCCTCACCACATAAGTCATACTATACCCTCCTGCCCCACCCACTCCCCCCACCTTGACCCCATAAATATGACGACATTTCTGGGCAAGCAACAATCATACGTCCTAAAGCATCAGATTAACCAAATCCCATCTTGCTAAAGCCCATAGGACTGAATCCAGCTTTGTCCAGTAACTGACATAAGGCTATGAAAGGCGGATGGGCACACTCATAAGTCACAGATAAACGTCTGTTTTACAAAAACTCTTCTTTATCTTTCCATCGTACTTTGGTACTTTACTTCCTTGTATGGAGTATCGGGCGATTTAAAAAACAAACCGTTGAGACATTTTCACATATTGAAAGCTTTGGTGACATAATTATTATTTTTTAGCTTATTTGTTTTTTGTTTAACTATTAGACGTACACTACAGCATAGTAAACATTTTCCGGGAATTCCCCAACAGTTTGTCCAGATCTTCAGTATTCGTGTAGAGAGCGGCGCTCGATACTTTTTGTTCCTGTGGGATTCGACTACCGGAAGGAAGCTGTTTAGGCGACACAATATGTCTATTTTCGTACAAGTTTTGTGATGCGCTCTCTGGATGTTTCAACGCCGCGGTTGTGTTTAAGTAGTGAGTCGGCGTTGAGAGCGGTTCGGTGGAAGGTACCGGTGGCGGCTGCACAGATGGCGCCGGCTTTCCAATTCCTGTTGAAGTTTTAGTTTTACCTTTCATCTTGAAACTAGATTGAAGCTCTCTCGTAAGACCAATTACAGTAGTAGAAGAGGAATTATGGGAAAGTTCATAGCTGGAGTTGTAGTCGACAACAGGGCGATCGTAAGTTGATGGAGGGTCTGGGTCAATAGCTCTGAATGTGTCCTGTGAAGAAAATAAAAGTTCGGATAATAATTTCAGCCTGAAGAGTATCGCTCAGTCAAACACGACCAAACATTCACCAAGGGACATAATCATTATCAGAATCTGTAATGTGTTCGTGTAATTATCCCAATCTGGAGTAAGCATGGCTGCTATCTCGAAAAGTCCCGAGTTCGAACCATAAGGGCAGATGAGGCTCGTTAGCTGGGGACAGCAACCATTCTAGGCGAGACAACTCCGAAATCAAGCAGGTGTGGAACTCTTCAGGCGATAGGATGACCAAACTCTGCCTTCCTTTACGGCAACACAACTAATACCAAGTTGTTGAAGTAATACATTTTCCCATGGGTTTATCAGCTTAGTGGGGGGGTGGGGGGGGGGGGGGGGGGGGTGGTGCATGGGCAACATCTGGCTCTTCTCAGCTTACTGCCCAGGGCTTGCACCCTGATTTACAATGCGCGATCATCTACTAAAGTCTCTATGGAGCCATTTCTTTGTTTCTTTTTTATAGTTATCTCAATTACCTAGGGTTGCCAGGTGTCCAGTTTTGAACTGGACAGTCCAGTATTTGAGCAGACTGTCCAGGATAAAATAAATATAAATACTGGACAAGTATATGAATAATACTCTGTTACCCCCCTTCTTCTGCTTTGCGGCATACCTGAGAAGGGAAGGATGGAAAGGTGTCCAGTATTTTCGGAAAAGGTATCTGGTAACCCTACAATTACCTGAAACAAGACTCCAACGAGGGGTAAATTGCCTAGTTTGATCTCAAAAGTCAAAACAAAGTTGTAGAAAAAAAAATCAGCAATATTAAATATTTAACTCATGACCTACGTTGACCCACTGGCGAGTAGCGTGACTTTCAGACCTCCTGAATTTATCTGAAGAAGCGGAAGAACTGTTCTCAGCTATCTGGTGGTCTGTATGAGTTGTCCCCCTTCTCCTGAAATCAACAGGCTTTGCCATTGTGATTTATTTTCAGTGGAGGCTAGTAAATGTTAAATGTAGTTTTAGATTTTAGATGATAGGGGGCGTTATGATCCCCCCCCCCCCCCATTCATAAGGACCCCAAAATGAAAGTTGGCCCACGTAAAGTTACAGTTATATGGCGCTGGTGTGATACACATGATTGCAATTTATCCACCCCTCCCCCAATCTCCGAAGACACTTCCTACCTAATCCACAACACAACAAGCTATAGCAAGTCCTGGTCAAAATACCAACGGAACACACACACTAAAGATGGTTTAATAAAATTGTGTTCACTAGGTTACTTCCACAAGTACACAGGACATTTGAACTCCATAGGCTTAGAGCACACAACTCAAACCACAACACACCGCTGTCACACATACACATACAAGCAGGGTGAACTCCATAGGCTTCTGAGCACACAACTCAAACCACAACACACCGCTGTCACACATACACATACAAGCAGGGTGAACTCCATAGGCTTCTGAGCACACAACTCAAACCACAACACACCGCTGTCACACATACACATACAAGCAGGGTGAACCGTTACCAGCAGCAGCAGTGCCATATCCGACAGCATAAGACGGCTGCACCCAGGAAAAGCAAACAGCCGACGATTAAAGGAGCAGCAACAAACGTCAGCCACCATTCCATGTCGATATCTGTAGACATTTGGGTACAAACACTGGAGGACATAGCAACATGGTTTACTAACTGCTCTATACCGCTGTCTACTCTCTTTAGCGAACACTTTAGATAAAAATAGCAAGTCTCTTTACCGAACACTTATATAAAATAGCATGTCTCTACCGAACACTTAGATAAAATAGCACGTCTTTTTACCGAACACTAGTCTCACTATCGAACACTTAAATTATAAAATAGCCCATAGCCCATATCTTTACCTTATACTTTTTACAGAACTTTTTACTCATCCAGTGTTAATTTCTTTACCGAACCTCTCACACGCATAGCGTTACTCTACTAACCCAACAAAATAAGCACCCCATTTTCTTTTGTGCTGAAAAATAGTTTCTTCCAAGCTATTCTTCTCACAAATATACTTTGCTTTCTGTACCTAAAAAAAAAAAGTCCGGAGTACTGTAAGTCACACTACCAACTGAAATCTACTTCCGGTCAACGTATTCTATAGATCACTGTCCGATTGTCTAACTAAAGGGTCTGTCTCGGGGTGTCACATAAGCCAGTGAAGCCTTAGCCCCCAGTTTAGCTATATAACTATGGGACTTGTCACTCACGGGCATGGGCGTGTCTGGCTGGAAGTGTATTGATCATCCTCTCCCCACTCAACATCCACGTACTGTTGTTATTTAAATGGATTGTGATCTTGACCCTGTTGGATAATGTGATGTTCATTAAACAATTGCTATGACAGGATATAATGTAAACAACAGGTCGGTTTAGGTATTAAATGTAGATTATCTTTCTTTTATATGCCTATACAGTGGCACTGTGGAACATTATGAATACTGCAGGTGCTTGTATGGATTAAAGTCTCATGCTGTCGCGCGCGCACGTCATACTTACTTGGAAGGTGTATCAGGCCTCTGATTGCCGAACGCGCTTGTAAGGCGAATGATGCCTAAAATTGTCTAAAACACCATACGCAACACTTACCTGTAAGGTGTAAGAGGCCTAAAATTGTTTAAAACACCATACATAACACTTACCTGTAAGGTGCATGCCTAAAATTGCCTAAAACACCATACTTACTTGTACGGTGTATTAGGCCTCAAATTGCCGAGTACACAACTGGACAGACGTAAGGAACATTCTGGATCGTCATGCAGGGCGTAAATATAGTTTGTACTGAAGCCATCCCGCTCCTGGGAGATGACCAGACGAAATTTGTCGATTTCTTTCAAAATTTCTGAGGGACGAAAACAAATTGTTGTTGTTTATATAACCATGGCGGATGTAATAAGAGTGTCTAGTTTTCTAGGGCAAGTCATGGTAGCTGTTCTAACTTAAACCACTTAGTGTTACTGTAATGGTGGATCTCAACATTGTTTTTAAAGAGCGAAATAGAATTTAATTTTTTTCCTTTTATTACAGAACCATTTTTTTTAAAAGTGGATTTTTATTTGCTAAAGATGTTCTCAATCTTATGCCCAATGGAAAGGGGGGGGGGGGGGGATAAACTTGCGACTAGGTTTCGATTTTAGCAAGTTCTAAAAGGCAGTAACTTTTTTTTTTAACGCAGGGCTATTCAATCGTGCCTCGTAGTCTAATACATATCCAATTGATGTTTCATGATACATAACCCAATGATGTCTAAGAATAAATATGCTAAAGATGTTGATGCACACCCCAATGATGTCTAAGAATAAATATGCTAAAGATGTTGATGCACACCCCAATGATGTTTAAAGTTACAAAGTTAAGGAAGAATAAGTCACCACTGTTGCTACAGCTGTGTGTTTACCTTGTGGTGTTGTCCAGGTGATGGTCACAGATGTGTCCGTCTGGTTGACGTCCTTCAGCTGAAGCTTGCCGTGGACACTTGGCGCTGGTGTGGAACACAAATAGGGTTAAATAGATTGCATGCTCTGGTCAATTACTCTAAATCATTACCCTTGTTTCCTAGCTTAGCCTCACTCTCAGCATTTACGGAGCCTTCATGTTTAGCCTAACTCTCAACATTTACGGAGCACTCAAGTATAGCCTAACTCTCAACATTTACGGAGCACTCAAGTTTAGCCTAACTCTCAACATTTACGGAGCACTCAAATTTAGCCTAACTCTCAACATTTACGGAGCACTCAAATTTAGCCTAACTCTCAACATTTACGGAGCACTCAAATTTAGCCTAACTCTCAACATTTACGGAGACCTCAAATTTAGCCTAACTCTCAACATTTACGGAGCACTCATGTTTAGCCTAACTCTCAACATTTACGGAGTCTTCAAGTTTAGCATGTCTCTTAGCTTTAGGCCGACGATACCATTCAAAATATTCTGCGAGTGGGTGTCAGAAGAGTTTGTGTGCTGGTGAAAACATCTTGTCTGGAGATGTACGTATGTAGGTACATAAAAAGGTGTGTACCTTATTAAATCAATACAATGATATCCTTCAATAAAAACTACATGTTCTACTCACCTGTCAAACAGGTGAACAAACAAATCAACTTGAGAACGGCCCCCCACCAACAGCCCAGGTGTAAGAAAGGTGCCATGGTTTAATATCTGATGACTGTACTACAGTAGAAGCCGACGTCCTCCTTGTCTAAAGGCCCGCGGTTACACTCAACAGACGCATAAAGAAAGGGATTGAATGAAGTCTTCAACTCTTGAAGTTTAAACCGGAACCTGACGAAGGATACACTTGACGTGCTCAGTTGCAACACGCGCGTGTTGTGTTCTCATAACGATACGACGGGTCCGAGGTGACTAGTTATTGTTGACCTTAGGGGAGGGGGGGGGGGGCGGCTTTTAGTTACAGAGGAGCGTCCGGTGAGTCTGGGGTCAAGTGTGCAACTTAGGTCGTTAAAATTATATTAATTTTGACCAACTTTTAATTTAAAATCATGAAATCTTTTTTTTTTCGGAGGTGGGGGTGGGGGTAGAGGCGCACTTGCAACCCCCCGCGGTCAAAGCAAGTACACCGTCCCCCAACAAAATAGAAAAATATTGAGGCCTATATGCAGAAAATATAGAGGCCTATATGCATGCAGAAAATTTATACTTTAACCAGTGCCCCACAAACAAAAGGGATGGTGTCACCACAAACACAGTGGATGGTGTCACCACAAACACAGTGGATGGTGTCACCACAAACACAGTGGATAGTGTCACCACATATCCAGTTAGATCCGCCCCATTGTGGCAACATACGCCACAGGATCCACCCCTTCATCATTGCCATGCTTCTACACCTAGTTTGAAAATTCCTCCCTTCGAACCTGGTTAATTCAATTGGGGCAGATAAAGTAAAGTGCATCTGTGTTTTTTTCGGTTTGGTGTCACCCCTTACCCTAACGAATTATTACTTTAACTGGGTAGAACATTGCTTTAAACTGTAAAGTTTACGATTTTCAAAACTTACTGTCACCCCACTTAATGGTATCACCCAGTGCAGATTACCCCTCACCCCAATCAAGTTTTAAAACGTTTAAAGTTTTAAAATAAAGCAAAAATAATTTTTCTTTCAGACATGTCTTTAGTCAAGGGACACAACTTCTCATTCCTTGGGACCGCACTACCCGCCGGGTCGCTTACCTTTGATGATCTAGTGAAAATTTTGTTACTCGGAGAATAACAATAAAAATTCTATCGTTATAATTACCTTATATGCTATAACTTACCATTTCTGAAACCAGACAACACTTGCCATCCCCTCCCTCAATATCTAAGAACAACCCATGTTTAGGGTAACTCACTCTCTTGTTAGTTACTGAATATAGTAATATAATATTGTAACTACCCGTTAAAGATTAAAGTAATATCGGATTAGATTAAAAATGAGATATTCTGGCGTTGCCATCAGAGACAAAATTCTTAAAATTTCTTAAAAAGCTTGAACTGTTCTAGAAATGGGTCAAATTTCCATTACAAGATTTGTCAGATAGGACATTGTGATCTAAGTGTAAAAAACAAACACAGGATGTAGTCTAGTTGAAGATACTCATAATCAGTGCTTTTTTTTGTAAAGAAATAGGTGCCGGTACTCAGTGATGGATTGCCTTTTAACTACCAGTTTGCACTGCAAAGATACTAAATTAACAAATGAATGATATAATAAATTAATAAGCATTAAAACACAAGAAAAATAGTAATCTCCCCCCCCCCCCCCATCAAAAAAGGTGTGGGTACATGGCACCAGTCTGTACCGTAACAAAAAAAAAAGGGACTGCTAATATTTAACTAATGGCAGTTTTTTGATAAAAACATGAGAACTGACAGTTTGTTGTACGAAGTTGTCACATGAGGGAGGCACAAAAATCCACCCTTCCCCCAGTCATGACTGTTTTCCTCCCTTAAGATGAATAAATTTAACATAAATTAAAGTGCAGGTCAGGATAATAATTTAAAATAAAAAATTTAAAAAACAAAAACCAACAAAAAGGCTAAAACAATTGAATTAGTCAAGTAAAGATTAATTTTAATAAACTTCACAACAAAGATATGAGCATTAAATTTACAATTGGCATCAAAGATATATTACAGCCAAGAAGTAGTGATATGTACACGCCTGACAATATCAAACATTAGGCCCCACCAGTCCTCATTGTGCTACAAAGTTTGTATCCCATTATAGTATTACCCACAAGTATTTAGCTCCTGCTTACATCAGCCCAATATTTCAAGCTAGTGCTGCCAAAATAAAGTGACAGATTTCTTCACCACTGGGGGTGTTTGGCGGACACCTGATTGGATACAGACTTTGTCCACAACCATTACATCAACTCCTATGATAACAGGAATTTTAGAATGTCACAATTGTTTGTTGGTTAGCTACAACTTCAATTTTTTTTTTTGTTAAATTAAAACAAAAAGAAGTTCTACAACCAGAATCCAATTTTATCAGTATTGAGTTACATTTGTGTAATGACTCCATTGCTGGGAATATGACCAGGCTGGATTTGTGTGTAAAATAACTGATGATTATACCAGACATCTGGAACCAGGGAAGACACTAACAAGCTAAAAATAACATTTGGTCCAATATTTTGTGTAATGATTGCTAAAGCTAACAGTACCATAAAACTAGAAGACTAATTAGACATGGATTCTTGCATTACACATTGCCTCAACATGTATTCCAAAGAAGATAAAGTGTGCGCTGGTAAAGATGAAATTATAACTTGAGGTTCTGAAAGTCTGATAATTACAATAATTAAATGATGTAATGGAATTAATACACAGGAGCCTCCAGCATACAAATATTGGTAAAAAAAAAATGGTCCTTCAACACTTTCTTAACAGGATCATTCATTCAACATGCACACATTCAAAGAAAAATAAAAACTCAGGGCATACATAAACTGGATGAATCTTCAGAATGATAGCACCTTATTCCATCCTGGGGATAAATATTACCGGGGTCTGCAAACGGAACTTTGTTGGTCATGCGTTCACGCTCTGCCCTCTCATAGGCCAAGTCTTGTGCTATCCTGGCATCAAACTCTTCCGATATTTTTGGTGCAGGCTTGTCCGATGTAGCTGGTGCTTCTTCTTCCATTTTTTCCTCCTCCTCCTGGGTTCCTTTGGTATCATGCCATGGGATTGTGAACCTTGTTACTCTCACCTCAGATGACAGTATATTTCTCTGCAGCTAAAAACAAACAAGCAGCATTTTAAAAAGAATACCAAGATAGGGAAGCAAGAGAGAACTTTGTGGGAGGCCAGGACAAGAGAGAACTTTGTGGCCAGGACAAGATAAACTAAATCCCTAAAGTTATTTTGATTTGGTGTCACCTTTTCCCCTAATGAATTATTACTTTAACTGGGTAAAACATTGCTTTAATAAGATTTACACAAATGATTATAACATGTTCTTTTATAGTAAAACTCTACCCCTTAATTTGAAACTGGAACAAGTCCGATATGTATGATGCAGAATCAATATCTTTGTGTGGCTAGTATTGTATAGCTCTGCAAATTTAGAGTTTACTAACAAGAACATTTTTAACGCCAATTATGTTTTGCCTACTTTATGGTACTGTATCTCAGCTGGAGGGTTTTCCTTTAGCTCTGGATCATCATATTCATTGTTAACATAATACCCCACCCTGATGAACTCCTTCCCCCTATATGAGCAGGTCAGCAACACAACAGTCACCCCCATGACATCATCCACTGGAATCTTCTTCACATCTGGAGGGTCGGCCTTTTAGTTGAGAAGTAAGTTGATAACAAAAGTTAGGTCACAAGAAACAACGATTTGCTAAAAACTAAAGAGACTTTACAAAGTGTTACAGATTAGGATACCACCATGTTTTACAGCTAGGAGTAAACTTGTTTTTAATTGTGATACCCTTTTTAAATACATTAAAAAAAAAACAACCACAAATTTAAGATTAACATTTTTTGTTTGTTTCAATTCACCTACAATATAGCTAATGTAGAAATGATGAAGTCCCTAAGTACCTCAAGTATTTGATATTAAAATATTGCAGCCTACCTCAAAAACAAACATGTGCTTTCCACCTGGTACTGGCCCCACCAAAATTGTGTCCAAAACCTGATCGTGTTCCATGCTTTCAGCAGAGCCCACATAAATTATCCTCCATTCTAAATCTAATGGGGAAAATAATATTTCTTGTGTTACAATACATCATTTGATAAAAAAAAATTAAACTTAGATGTTACTTTGGTGTAGGATAACCAGCATGAATTTTCCTGCTTGATCAAGGTAGCCAGTAATTTTTTTTAAAAAATATTTACAGGTACTTATCATGCTTCTCTTAATCTGACTATTAAAAGATAGATATTTGCATACTAATAAAATAGAAAAATAGGCTAGATATGACAGCAGTTAAGGTATGTCTAGTAAATGCTTGAAATGTTCATCAAACAAAAACACAAGGAACAAAAACTGGAGTGCAGGTAGACTAAAGCCAGTAGTTAGTTTAGTACCCCACAGAATTATAGCCTGTTCAAAATTATTGTCTAGGGGAAAATACTATGGCATTTGAACCAAATAATTTTCTATTGACCAAGTATCAGTGTTAACTAAGAAAAACAAAGTAAGTGCAATAAATGATTTCACGCTAGTGTTGTAGGTATAGCGTTGGATATTGCACGAGCACATGTCAAAAAGGGACATAAGAAGTGAAAATGTTCTGGAGTGTTGAGATGAAAATAAAAATGATTTCTAGAATGCAAACATTTTTAAGGTTAAATGGTCTCAATTAAAAAAAAAACAAAAAAAAAAAAAAACTGCACACCCAGAAATTAAAAAATCGAATCAGGAAGTGAAAAAAAAAACTGTTTGAGTTCAGAATTCCGGAATATCAAAAAAAAAAAAAAATAAATTAAAAAAATAAATAAATAAATCTGGTGATAATAGTTGCCAGTTTCCTTAATATATAGCCTATTCCTAATTCCTTAGTTTTAATGTTCAGAATTCCATGCTCAACCACCATCTGTCCCAACCTTTTTACATACTGTCAGTTATTAGGTTTGTTTGTCAAACCAGTTTATATTCAATATTTGCTGTAGGCAGCTACTTGTAAATAATATGACGTCTATCCAGAGATATAGGGCCCTATAGTCTAGGTCTATTGAGGTAAAATGAGGAACAGAAACCAAAGCAATGAACAAGCAGGCATAGCTTAAGGCTTAAGTTAAGTACTCAAAAAATAACATTCCAGCTTTTCAAGCACCAGTCCGCCATATAGATCTAATGAATTACAGGGGTTTTTAAAAATTAATTACTAATTAGGCCTATTCAGTCCCTTAATTTTAATTTGAGCATGTAAATTGGTGTTTTAATAACTTCTAAGATTGTAATCTCATTAAAAAAGGCCTATTACGTAGAAAGATAAAGGCCTACTTTGCAGAGTATGTTAAATTAAATAATGCTATAATAAAACTTGTGGGGGTAAGATGTCATTAGGCCTATTTATTATATAGATCTATTTCTATACTTCTACTTTTAAGTAGGCCTAAGTAATTTAGTAAAGTAAGTAAGAAAAGATTGCAGTCTGTCTGTTCCAGTCCCCTGCCTTTTGTTTGTTGCTGAACATTATTGTTAGTAAACCAGGAACCTACTTCAATTCTCTATTTTAAGATTCATAAGTTTACCTTAATATTATTTTAAGCTGTTTGCTGTAAAGTAATTAAAAAAAACAACTAGAAAAATCTAGATCTAGATAGATCTATCAGCTTAAAGTACAAGGAGATTTCTTGCTTTGAAATCTGCATCCCACCCCCCCCCCCTCCATCAGAACTTCCTGACTTAATACTAGGATTAGAAGTCCAGTAAAATATTCGCCTGGACTTTTCTACTTCTTCCAGATATAACATCTAGATCAATCTAGTCTAGATCTATTTAATTTAAGATTGTAGATCACTTGCTTCAAAACAAAACAGTTCTAGATCTAGATTCTCACACTCAGTCAATAGGCCAGGCCGGTAAACCTCCATTTTAGCGTATTTTATTCTCCGTTGCTTGTTTACCTCCAGTTGAGCGTATTTTATTATTATAACAACCAAAACATTAGGAAAACACGATTTATTATTTGTATTGTATTTTTGTTTTTACAAATGAATAAAATGAATGTTTAAAAAACACGACTTGTTTATTTGTATTGTATTTTTGTTTTAACAAATGAATAAAAAACAACAAAGAGACTGACTGAAGTGCTTTGTTTGTTGGTTACAAAAATAGAGATACACACTTTGTACAATTAAGTGTTCCAATTTCAACTAAACTGAATAAAAGTATTAAAAGGCACAATGATGCTGCCGAAAGTGGACCGAGGGGGGGGGGGGGGGGGGGGGGTGGAATTTGGTGAGGGATGGCTTGGAGTGTTAGAGAAAGTGTGACAACTCACGTTGTCATTTTAAAAAAAATAATGTTAGGCCTAGAGGTCGTCCATAAATGACGTCACACTCGTAGGGGGAGGGGGGGGGGTCCGTAATTTTGTGACGGTGTGTGGTGAGAAGGGGGGTTCAGATGGTGCTACGTCATTTTGGGGGGGGGGGGGGGGTCTTGCTTTTTTTGACGACACGCTTTTTTTTTACGATTTTTTACCCCCCCCCCTCCCCTCCGTTATACGTCGTCACAAAAAGTCAGACCCCCCCCCCTAAAATGACGTCACACCTCAGCCTACAACCCCCCCCCCCCTCAAAATTTCTGTTGAATTTTTCTTAAAACATCGATAATTTTTCCAAAATCTTGTCAGAACTCTGTCAACATAGAGTATTTTGATCAATTCATATTACAATTTATTAAAACCGTTTTCTAAAACGTGAAATAACGGCTAAAACTTGTTTTTCTAACATTGCTTTTCTATAATGCAAAAAAGGGACGTCACACCATCTGAAACCCCACCCCCTCCCCCTCATCACACACCGTCACAAAATTGCTGACCCCCCTCTCCCTTACGAGTGTGACGTCATTTATGGACGACCCCACATCAATTTTTTTTAAAGTCAGAAATTTACTCATACAAAAAAGGGAAGGATGGTAGATTTACTATGAATTTAAATAACATACAACTCTATAGTAAAATATTTTTTTCAGTTTTAGCAAAACTGTCAAATTAAAAAACACAGAGTTTGTACATTTATTGCATAAATACAAAATTATAAAACAGAATGATTAACAGTGTATCAGTTTCACCATGAGACAAAAATGCCTTTTTTTAAAAATACAATACAAATAAACAAGTCGTGCTTTTTAAATATTCATTTTTATTCATTTGCTAAAACAAAAATACAATACAAAAAATAAATCGTGTTTTCCTAATGTTTTGGTGTGTTTCGGTTGTTATAATAAAATACGCTCAACTGGAGGTAAACAAGCAACGGAGAATAAAATACGCTGAAATGGAGTTTTACCGGCCAGGCCTACTCCATTGTGATTGAACTTGACCTCATGAACTGGTCTTGATACTTTACTTAGCCACAGTTTACTTACCTTCTGGTAGGTCTTCCGTACATTCAAATGTTATCTCGAACTGAAAAGGCTTTAAGAAAGATGTAGGATTATTGAGGACAGTTACATCGCAAATATTAACCAATGCCATTTGTATTTTGTTAATCAGTGGAGGTTTAGTTTCTGTTTCCACTTCTTTCACAAACGCGCCAATAATCCAAACTGTCCAGGATTACTACAATGTTGTAAGTAGTTTAAAATAGGGTTCAAAAAGTAATTTAAATAAAAATAATAATAAATTAATAACAACCGAAAGGTATTAATAAGTAAATTAAGAGCAGTTAGGATCAAGTTTACTATCTCTTGAAATTAAAAACAATAAATTACGATAGAATACAACAACTGAGCCTAATGAAAAATTGTAAAATATGTCCTCTTTGGCAATATAATTTAGATTAGATATAGACCGAAATGGAGTAAACAAATGGGCCTTGGATTCGGTCTACTTTGTAGGCTAGCTCGATACAATAATTAATAAATGTACTGTACGCGTGCATCTTATTTTATTTTGTCATTTGATTACATTATCTGGTTATAAATTAGATCGGACAGGTCCTTAAATAAATTTGCCACTGCGCTTTGATAACGATTTCTGCGTTTCAACTTAAAAGGAAAATTCGTCACTTTGATGGTTCAATATTGCCACATTGAAAAATTGTTAGCCATTGATGTAACTTCGAAAGAGTTCAATTTTTCATATAGGCCTAACACAGGCCTAGAAAAAAAAAAAAACACGCTACCACATGATAGTACCGGTTCATTTTAAATAGAAACATTTTCCCCTCAGAACACAGTTATACTTACAAGCAGAGTTTCTTCCAGGCATCTCTTCGGGGTGGGAGCCCCCCCCCCCCCCCCGAAAAAAGTCTACCGTCCCCCGAACGAAATGAAATTTATACAGAAAATATATATTTTTAACAGTGTCTGCCCCCCCCCCCCCGAAGAAAGTCTACCGCCCCCCCCCCCCCCCCCGAAAATTTCATGTGCCCCCCCTCCCGGAGAAAAAAGTCTGGAAGAAACACTGCTTACAAGTTACTTGTTGCAATTTTTTTCTCTTGACGTAGTAGGTGTAAACGCGGTGTGAGAGTTGGGTTAAATGTATGTATCGTTATAATTTATACCAATAGCAGTGTCGTTTACGCCCTTGCAATGTTTAATAACAGTATAATATCATGGATCTTTGCCTTTAGATCTTTGCCTATAGATCTTTGCCTATTCTGAGGAGTCATCTCCATTAATGACTTACACGCAGAGCGAAGGGGGCCTAAACTTATCCTATAAGATTAACGACCGAAATTCCGACGATAATAAATCCCTATTGTACATTATAAATGTATATTTTATTACCATCGCGTTGAACAGGAGATGTTATTTAATTAGTATAATAGACGGAAGTATAGAGACGTTTTTTATATTTTTATGGACGTCTATATCGAGCTGCACGAGTGTGTGTGTGTGTGTGTGTGAGGAGGGGGGGGATCTTCCAAAGTGTACACATGTAGATAGTCTAAAATCAATATTTTTTGTGGATGTCATAAATGGATGACCACTTAGTTTATTGGATTTTCGTGTCACACAAAGCAGTTTTGTCCGATCTACATAGCTGCAATTTAATGTTATTAAAAGACAAAACAGACAGCAAAGCTAATTTTTCATTAATCAGTATTACACTTTTAAATTTTTCCTATTATCTTTATTTAAAATTTTTAATGTCTGCTAAAATAAAAAAATAAAAAGCTACATATATTCTAATTTTGCACCATGCACCTTTCATCGTCTATTATTCTTATCTGAATTTTATGTATGCCAATCTTTTAGGTGTTTTTTAATGATACCCTCATTGGAAAAGTAAAGCTTTTGCATGTTTTGTCCAATTATTAACACGCGGACATGAATGTCCAGATAAGTGATATTTTCACCGAATTCCTAACTTTACGATGGAGGAATATTTCATAATCATAATATGCTGTATTAGTTTTCAACTTAATTTGGCTGATTTTTCAGCTTTTTAAAAAATATGCCTATCTCAAGGTGAATTAAACATAACACCCACACATGTAGTATGTTGTCAGGGTTTGCCTAGGAGTCATCCATAAATGCCGTCACGCTTTTGTTTTGACGATTAGTACCTCCCCACCGTCACACATCGTCGCAAAAAGTCAGACTCTCCTAAAATGACGTCACATCTCAGCCTACGACCCCCACCCCTCATAGCTGCAGTTTTATTTTTACTCAGCTCAGTCAACAAAGAGTCTTGTTGTTATCAGTTTATGTGTGAAAGCCTTTAGCGTAGTTAAACATACATCAAGGCTTCTAGGGAGCCACCGGTTACACTACCACAGTGGGGCCGGGTACGGCCCCTGGTTTAGTTAAATCATCGAATGTCGTGTGCCACCGTGTCGATATTGTAGGGTGCTCTTTAAAACAAATGTAGGCGCCATAGTGCTCACTGGGGAGTCCAGCAGTGCTGCAGGTCTTCTAAAACAGTTTTCTAAAACACGAAATAAAGGCTAAAATTCAGTTTCTAACATTACTTTATTTTTTTAAAATGTTAAATACAGTTTGACCCCTCACCTTTCCGTCTGAGCTTCCCCTCATCACACATCGTCACAAAATTTCGAATCCTTCTTCGACCTAGGAGTGGGACGACCCCTAAGGGCAACCAATAATAATGTTTAAAAAGGTAAAAAAAACACAGCAAAACTATCTTTACTTCTTTTAGTAGAGCATTAGGTGTTGGCATTTACCTAAATTGTATAGTATAGATTTAACAGTTGGGATAAAAGAAAAAATATTATATTTTAAGTTGTTTTTAATACACATTTTTCTGGCATCGGCTTGTGAATCACTCTGAGAACTCTTCAAATTATCAGATAGATTTAGATCTAGTCATACTTCTAGTTTAATAATAATATCTAGTTTAGATCTACTAATTTTACTATTCTATAATCTATCTATTGCGTCTAGTAAAGTCTAGTTCTCTTGAAGTACTAGAACTAGACCGATTCTAGATTTATATCTATACTACAATCTACAGCTGCAGGGACTTTTAACTTAAAACTTCATGCCTTTTATTTTTTTTTATTTGGCCCAATTATTTCAATACGAATTCCAGCTCCTAAGTCCTAAGCCAAGCTTGAAGCTAGTTAAATATAAAAAAAATTATCAGATCTAGATCTATCTTCATTCTTCTTCATTACTAAATTCTACTACTAGTCTACTACTAGATTTAGATCTAGTACTAGACTGCATAGAATAATTCTAACGTAACGACATAAATATGATTCCAAGAACGAGTATTGATGAGGCGAATAAACATCTAAAGCAGCTACATCACCGTGTTTTTGATCTAGAAAAAACCGTCCACGAACAAAACGACACGTTGCAGTCCAAGGACAGGGCTTTCCAAAATAAAATATCTGAGTTGACTATAACAAAAGATAAAGAAATAGAAATTTTAGTAAATAAACTTTTAGCATCTGAACGTACTGTTTCTATTCTTCAAGAGGAGTTGGAGCGAAAGAATCATCAAATATCAGCACTTCAACATAGCCATTCAAAGCTTCGAAGACTACTCAATTTTAAAGATGATATTCAAGATTTACTTAAAACGATGGAGGATGCTGAAGAAAATTTGGCTCTTGATGAAGGCGACACAGATGGACTACTATCATTTTATCAACGTAGTAATGATGTTTCTAGTAACTTAAGTGGAAAAAAATTACGTAAAAAGAGATTTATTAGAAATGAAAACCATTCAGCAGCTGTTGAAAATTTTGAGCAAAGTGACATAGAAGATGCCCCTGTTTTGGGTGGCAAGGAGTTTTATTTGTAACTAAAATCTTTTTAAAAATTTAACAATCTTTCTTGGACAGCTGAATCTAGATCTACAGTATTTTTTTTTAAGTATGCTGTGTCATGGTTTATTAATAATATCATCATGTTGCGATTGATGTTTTGCAAACTGTAAAAATTTAACATTAGTTTTTCTAAAGCAATGTAGTCGGTAGTTTTAATTACTAATTAGTTTTTACACTCTAACATGTAAGTTATTTTAAGCATGAACCACCATATTGTCAGAATATTATGCAGTGGGTTGTAACCCACTAGTTTCCTATGTGCATACACCAAACCCTTCTTAATTGTTCTTTCTATTGTCCGCACTGACTAAATCTGATTGTGAATCACATTAATTAGGTCTTGTCCTCCGCCGAATCACTGAGACCGACTCACTGTACCCCTGAGGTTCAATCAAACCTGTTTTGAGAATCACTTGTTATATATTGTGTAGGTCTAGTATTTAAAAAAAAATGAGCAGGCAACAAATTAAAATGCCTTCAGTGTTAAAAATATGTTAGTAGCTATCTTTGAAAAATTAAAAAGCATTAAAATCCAACAAACTTAAAACTAATGTGAGTTGCTGACTGATAGAAATATATTTAATGTATTGGTTGCATTAAAATTAATTTAAGATAATTGCAAAAAATAGTAAAGTTTATTAAGAGATTTACATTAAAATTTATACATATAATCATTAGCCTAATTTATAAAGGCCTAAAGAAAAAGCTTCTCACAATGTAATTTTATTGAATATTTCACTTTTTGGCTCTAAAAGCAATATGGTAAAAGATTAATTGTATGCACATCTGAAAATGTGTTATTTATTTTGAAAGGAAGATTGATTATTTGCAAAGCACACATTTGTACTAAAAGAAATGATTTTTTCATTACTAAATGTCAGCTTTCATTTGTAATGTTATTTATTTCTATTTCTGATTGTAAAAATTGTTGTGATAAAACATGGATGTGCAATGTATTTGAATGTGATACTTCCACTTCTAGTCATTTAAAATTTTTTTTTACTATAAATATAATTTATTTGTGTTCAATTTTTAATCAGAATTTTTAAACATTCATATTGTCTTGACCCACTGAAAATTCCAACACAATTTATTCAATCACATTTTTTTATAGGCTTAAATATTTATTGCCCTTAATGTATTAATATTTATGATATTCAATAATTGAATTACTCCAAATACAGCAGTATTGCTCTTAGGGTTAAAAATAGGGCTATGGTTATGAATAGGTTAGGGATAATTACAATAATATAACACTGAATGCATCTAGCTGACGTTTCAGTTTGTACCAATTTTTGCTTATTGCTATTTTTATGGCAGTAATAAATAGTATCAATGTCTTTCCACTAGATGATTTTTATTAAGTACATTGTAGAAAATGTTATAATTATACTAATAGTTAAACAAATGTGTATTTTAAAAGCTTTATTGATTTATTGAATTACTGCCATAGCTACCCTTTCTGAAGCACTAAAATGATCTCCCTACCTCCACAACTAACGTTATTTATCACAAAACTATTTCATACTTTTTGTCCAAAATATAGGGTAAATCCTCTACTAATAATAACATAGTTCCCATTACCTGAGTGCGTGAGGACGCTACTATTAATTTTATTTTCATCATTTTTGCTATATTATTATACTTGGATACTGTTTTTTTACTTATGATAGTAATAATAATATGGTATTCATTTGGGACAGGTTGTGTTATAAGTATTTATCTTTCAAGGTGCCATTTGTATTTGACTGTTTGATTTACACTCCGATCTCTGTGTTCCTTATTTATTCCTCCAGGGTCATTCCATTTTTTCCTTAAGTTTTCACATGGTAAAATTTTTTTTAAAGTAGGTAATTTTTCTTTTTCAATATTTTAAAACTATCCAACATTAACAATTGTGAAGAATTGCTGCTTTTAATAATTTAATAACACAAAATACATTCTTTAAAATTAAAAATATGCAGTATTATCATAAGTTGATGTGATGCAGTGTTCAATGTTTTTAAAAATCTATATTTCTTTATCTTTGTATGTTTATTATTTTAATTATTTAATGATATTAATTCTAGTTATTACTGAAATATGTAGTAGAATTATAATTAAAATAATAATTAGTAAAATGCTGTTTTTGCTTTTAAAATCTGTGCAATTTTTACATCTTTAATTATATGTTAATATTGTGTTTATTTAAAGCGCAATATTTGCTCATGCTCATCCAATGAATTTTTACTTTTCCAGTATAATTGTTACTCAGATTTTTAACTCAACTAGGGTACATTCATTACTGTTGAACTATTTTACTATTTTATTGTTTCTTTTGAAATATTAAAAAAAAATTGCAATCAAATTTGTCTTTTTCTCATTAAGTCATTTAGTTTTTATAAATTTAACTTTAAGTTTAACACATACATTATGAATTTATATTATATTTATACCCCACTCCTTGGCATTCCTCCCTCCAAATCCTTGTTGTTAATCTGGAGTGCACTAGCAAAAAATGTTAGAGACAAGCAACTGGTTCTACTAGTTTTTTAAAGGGGTTGTCCATAAATGATGTCAAACTTGTATCGTGATATGGGTGACTTATAGGTCCAACTAGAAAAGTCCAGTGTAGCCTAGAGGTAGAGCTCTAGACTGCTAATTCAAAAGTCTCGTGTTCGAATCCAGGTTTGAGTTGGTAGAACCCAGCTCTGATGGGTACCTAACTCATGTTAAGGAAAGTAAAGGCGGCTGGGCTGACCGCACCGTCCCTTCAAGGCCACAGAGACAGGTGAACTCTACTTTACTTGCCGGTGAGGTTTGAAAAAGATACCTGACATTTTCGAGAACAGTTAGCCCAGAAGTCGGGGAATAATACAACTGTGAGTAGAGTTAACCAAATGCGTTATGTATTGTTACCGTTAGGTCAAATGTGTATGTAAAATGGTGTGAATTATTGTGAATGGTTTTTTATTTGGTTTGGTAGCTGGTAGAAGGTTATCAACGGTGTAGAAGGAGAAAAAAAAAGCATGGTCTAGTCGCTGTTGAAATGATTTAATTCAATGCCCACAGGTGCTAGCCAGTATAAACGATTATAGACGAGAAGAAAAGTTTTCTAACGATGTCCTGTCTGTGTTTGCCTGCTGATGTCCCTGTGGCCAGATACTTTCATGTTGTGGTCACCATGGAGCTGTCTGGATGCCGTTAGCATTATGTTGTAGCCAGAGAGCACAAATAGTAGACTCAATATTGTTGTGATGTACAAAGTCTGAGAGAAGTGCTGGCGTCATAAAACATTGTTCAGATAATGCGACATCACACTTTTGGACTTTTTCATTGAAAAAAAAAGGAATGCAAAAAACTGAATTCAGTTAATTTAAATCACTTTTACTTATTTTTAGAACTGTTTTTGTAATAAAATTTATTAAAAAATAAAAAGTTTTAAGGGGAATTGGGGTTGTAGACTGGAGTGTAACATCAACAGTGACTCTTTCAGGCGGTGCCATATAGGTGTGATTACGCATATACTGCCTATAGGAACATTAATCATTAAGTCAATTTAAGAGGGTCATAATTAAAGATGAGGACAGATCTTCAAAAATGATATGATCTGTTACGAATATAAGTACTACTGTTACCAGCTACCCTTTCTGAAGCACTAAAATGATCTCCCTACCTCAACTAAGATTAAGAACGTTATTCATCACCAACCTATTTCATACTTTTTGTCCAAAATATAGGGTGAATCCTCCACTAATAGTAACCACGCTACTATTAATTTACTGTTCATAATGTTTGCTATAGTATTTGTCCAAAAGGGTGAATCCTCCACTAATAGTAACCACGCTACTATTAATTTACTGTTCATAATGTTTGCTACAGTATACTCGGATACTATTTTTTTAGTCCTTAAAAAAGCTAAAAATCTTCCGAGGGGACACCCGGGTTCGAACCGGGGACCTCTCGATCTGCAGTCGAATGCTCTACCACTGAGCTATATCCCCTCATGCGTGCCGGGCAAAATTATTTTATATAAATCTTTAACTTTAATAACTTTGTTACAATTTAATATTGTGGCTATATAATAATTAAAAAAAAGATAACCCTACTAACGCAACAGTTAGTGGATACTTTATCATGGTAGACACTAGAATCTAGTTATAAATAAATACCAAAATTCACTTTGACGGCTTTACGGTTTTCATTTAGACCTTGTTAGTGTTACCTAGACTACACTTCAATTACATTTCCGGTTATTTCAAATATGGACTCATCAACAACGTTTCTCTTTGCTTGATCTAAAGTTTAGATCTAAATCTAGGATGCTATGATTCTGTGACAAAGTCAGCAAATAGTGTCGGACACATTTTTAAATCTGTATTTTTTTCAAGTCGATATTGGTAAGAATTTATTAATAATAAATAAATAAACTAATCTAAAATCTAATTTTTTTATCAAGTTATTTAAATAAATATTAAATATTAAAATTAAATAAAATATTTTCATTTGTCAGTTGAGTATGCCTGTGAACTACTGTGAAGAACTGAAGTTATAACATTAAACTATTAAACTTACTCTTATTTTAGCCATTTGACTGGCGACTAATCTGAATATGCATTTCATAGGACTTTGGCCATAGTATATAATAACTATATATTTATTAGTTTTGATTCAATGATAATTAATTGGTATTGGTACTATTGATAGGCATTTTGATTTTGATGAAAATAAATAATTTTAATAGGCCTATTAAAATATTAAAATAATATTAGTAAGCCTAGGTCTATTCGTTACTTTTGAATAGTAACTATAGACTATTAATTATATAGATAGAGTATAGAGTTGTAATTAAGTATGAGCCTATAGTAAAGGCAGGACTATTTACTAATCATTATTTAAATAATAAATAATGGTTTGAGTTTGCAATGAAAACGTATCCAAATACAGTTAGACATAATTAGTAGTTACTAATACATTACTAGTATGTATAGTATTTTATTATGTATGTTTAACGCCTAGTCTATTTTATTTTGGTCCAAACCAAAGCCAAAAGTCGCTGTTACCAGAACATTTTTCCAAAAAAGACAGAGTCAGCCTAGGCCTAACTTTTAAAAAACCTAAACATTTGGCATGTGACCTAAGTAAACAGCTGATTTCATCTTAATTGCTTTTAAGGCTACGTAAAAATGTGCTTTTTAAAATCCTACCCAAAAAGAATAAGAAAACTGTTATTCTCCATCTGTTGACACAGATTTCAGCCTTCTTTTCTTTTTGGATTTGCTTCCATAGTCATTGTCCAAACAAGAACAAACTACAAGGCAGCAGTTGTTTGATTTTGGAGTTGTCTCTCCTATAAGAGTTGCTGTTCCCAACTATTGAGCCTCATTTGCTCGGGATTCGAACTCGAGGCTTTTTGGTTTATCAACCATGAGTTTTAGTGGCTAGACCTCCTAACCAGATCTAATATTTACTACTTCATTATAAAAAATAATAAAAGTTATTTTCCCTGATGAAAGCTTTTCTATTTTTAAGGATAGTATGACATGGCAAAAAAATTCACAAAAAGCCAGTTAATTGGATTTTTGCTTTGTTTTAAGCAATATGATTATAATAAAATAGCATTTGAGTGGTGATCATTTGGACAGTTTACATTACATAACACCCATATAGAATGAAGGCTTTCAAACATCTGTTTTATTATGCTACTTTTTTAAAGAGGAGTTTGATTTTGGAACGCAAAGAATAAGAGAGCTATTTTAACTAAAGTACTGCTGTAAGGCACATAAATGTATGCAAAAGTTCATGCAACTGTTCTTAATTAACAGACTTAAATCTCAAGTTTGGATTACATATAGAGACATAAAATACTTTAACATACTGAAAATAATCTTACATAAAGTAGTGTCTAATGAGATGATGCTATTATGTATTTCTGTGCTATCGTTTTGTTTTGTTTTTCAGTTTGTTAAATTAAAATGTCTGATGTTGAGGCAACTGTTGAGGCAGAAGGATCTCCTGTTCAAAATGACAACAAGGAAGCAATTCAGAAGGAGGAAAAAGAGCAGGTATTTAAAATAATACACAGGTCCTATATCTAGTTAATGAATTAAACATAAATTGATGGCTTGTAAAGAGCTTTGTTGATCTGTGTTTGACTAAGCTTTGAACTTAAATAATTAAATCTACAACTATCATAAGTGTAATAGATTTACTAATGTTCATGTTGACATTCTGTTCTGATTGGTTAAATAACTGACATAATTATTCAGGATAGCAGTCAAGTTGGAAAAAATACAAACATAAATTCAGATACCGGGCGTGAACCAAAAAAAGCTAATAAAGGAAAAAGTAAGTAAAGTATGCATATCTGCTAATTTTAATGTTTTGTAATAATGTTCAAATATGTAGATTTATAATAATGTGCATACATTTACTTTACAGATAAAGTGACCAAACCGTCTAAAGAAGAAATTGCACCAGTTCAAGAAGTTGTCGTGGAAACTAATCCTGATGGTAAGTAATATAAAATGCTCAGGTTCTCAAAAAATGTTTGCTTTAACTTAAACATAGTGCGATGTACACATTTGGAAAAATAATACTCAACTACTTGAAATTTGTTAAAATCCATACATTGATTTTGGAGATTAACAAGCAGGCTAGACCTATTATGCCATTGAAGAATAGCCTTTTTGCTTATGGATAGAATTCAATTTAAAAGTTCAGAATACTAAACTGGATATTATTTTTAAATGGATTGTGGAAGTTTTAGATAGCAGTATTTTATCTCCATTACTTAAGCAAGCAACCCAAACCAAGCTTATGAACCCTAGATCAAAAATATTTTTACTGTTATACTTTACTTGTAAAATTGTTTAAAATGTTTCAGCGCTCCCAGAAAATGTGTTCCCATTCTTCATGACATCAAAAACACAGGAGATATATAACTGTAAATGTGACGAGGATGTTACGATTGAAAACCCATTCAAATTTATTCCAAAAGCTGACATTCTGGAGGATATGAAAATGCGAGCTGCTGTTTGTGATTTTCATGTTCACAAACAACAGATTATTGTAAGCTTTACATATATGATTTTCAGAATGTTAAAGTATCAAAATATTGGTTTAGTTTGGCTTGTCAATTTAAATGTTAAATAAATAAAAGTTTTACTAGTTTCCCATTTGTATTCTTTTTTAAGGAATTATTATTTAACTGCAAGATTTTTTATCTTTTATAGGATTACCCTGGTGAGGACATTCTGATCATGTATGATTATGAATTTAAACATGGCCAAAATTTTGTCATTGCTTTAACTGAAGAGGCCAAAGAAATTTTACTAAAGGTGAGTATTTCCTTACTGCATAATAACAATATTAAATACCATGGTAAATTATTTTGTTGAGTATATTTCTCATACAAATATTTAGTTATTCTAAGATAACTGTGTGGATTTGATTCATAAAAAAAACATAATACAAACATAATACAAGTGAAAATTATTTCAAATTGTAAAGCCACCGGAAGAAGAGAAATTAGAAGGTGATGCAGAGGCAATGGAGCCAGAGGATGACACTGTGTACCTGTATGTACCTCCAGAGCCAAAAGATTGGATATCGCTTGGTAGTGAAAAAGAGATTGAAGAAGGGAATGTTTATGAAAAGAGGAGAAAGGTGAGTGTATATTTATTGTAACTAATTCATCCATTTCATCCCTAGCAGTCTTTGAATTGGAATATTTTTAGCTACCAGTATTTTGTGATGAAGTAAATTTTACCTTTTATGTATGTATCAGCTAAGAGTCTCAGTCAAACGGATTAGGAGAGAATTTGGAGCTCCAGTTGTTCTGGAAGATAGGACTCACGCAAAAGATGCCAATGTTGACTGTGTAGCAACTGAGGATGATACTTATAATATAACACGCCTTGAGTTGGACAAAAGTACACAGGTATGAAAGGAAAGGAGTTGGTTGTTTAATCTTTGGAGTCATAAGGTATACATGTTTCATGTACTAAGTACAAAAGTCGGTATTTTAAAAAGTTTGATTACACTTGTTTTAGGCAGTTTCTGAGCAAGTCACTCAGGGAACACAAACTAACTGGAAATACCCTAGAAATGCAAATACTCAAACTTATCCTAGAGAGTATAGTGAAGAAGAGCGATTGGCTATTTTTAGCTCAGATGAATGTCATAACTTCATAAAACAAGCAGCATACAAGTAAGATGTTTTTCTAAGGCAAAACAAATATATAGGTTTAGTAAAAATATTAACAACATTTAAGTAAGATGTATTAATCTGGAAAAAATGCAAATGTTGACATATTCTGTTCAGCATTTTTGTTCTGACCTTCAAAAAATTTTTTTTTTAAATTCTAATTTCAGCTTCCATGTAGCTCTTCAGCAGAATGAAATAATGAATGTGTTTTACAATGACTGGTCAAATCTTGGAGAAGATGAAGATGCTTTTGGAAGTAAGGCTGACAACCATCTGAAGGTACTTGAACTTTTTGGATGCATGAAACCATAAACACATTACATTAAGTCATTTACTTTTTTTTTTAACTAGGTTTCATCCCCATAAATAATGTCCAAGTCTATGCAATGGGGGGGGGGGGGGGGGGGGGGGTAATTGGGTTGGACCTTGTGGAAGATATATGTCAAGGTAGAGTGTGTTGGGTGAATATCATATCACACTTAAGCAATTAAAAACTACCATTTTAAAGTGAAATGTAGCAGTTATTTTACATTTCTAAAATACTTTTTGTAAATTGTAATTGAATTCATCTCTGTACCAAATGTTAACCTGGATTGACTAAATATTAAATAGTGATAAGTGATGTTTTGATGCATGGGGGCATTCAGAAGGGCATAATCAATTTAATATGGGGGGATGGGGATGAGACCTTCTTTCACAATGTTGAATGAAGAAAAAAAAATCTTAGAATTTTTTAATCCTCTGATCAGAGCTTTTATTTATTATTTATAAAATGTGTGAAATTATACTTTTGGTAGTAAACATAAAACACTGAAACAAAGAAATAGCTGCTAAAATTAGATTGTCTTGCAGTTAGCTTCTAAAGTACATTATGAATTAGTTTCAGTTCACTTATCCATATTTAAGTTCATGATTAATACTGTGCTGTTGTACTGCAGCATGTGATCAGGCTCCTTGCCCTCACTATTTTACTATCAAACCAACATGCACTACATAAATAAAAAGATTTTAAAATATTCCTAATTTGTTTTAGGAGTATCAGTCCTTCACAGACCTTCAGTTCAGCAAGGACAAGGTTATCACTTGCATCCAGTGGCACCCTGTAATCAAAGGGGTTGTGGCCACGGCTGTGGCACATAAACTCTCCTTTGATGAGAGAGTGGATAATGCTGCTAAAGTCATTATGGCGCCATCTTTAATACTTATTTGGAGTTTTGCAGACCCAATTCATCCACAGGTAGGGATTCACTTTATAAGAGAAAATGTAGTATAATATTTTAAATGTAATAAAATAAAAGTTTTGGTAGTTTAGACAAATTATTCCTTATCCAGGATATTTCCTAGATATTCTCTCTTAAAACATAGAAATGAAGTCTGTAAGAAATGCAGAATGTAGATTTATGATTTAATGTTTACCAGAAATAAACATTACAAGAAGTATAACAATTTGAATTCATGTATCTAGACAAACTTTTTTCTTTGACTTCATTTAACAGCTTATCCTAGAGGCCCCAGAGGATATCTACAGCTTTGCCTTTAACCCTACCAATCCCAACTACATTGTTGGTGGCAGTTACAACGGCCAGATTGTCATGTGGGACATCACATCACAGGCAGAAAGACTCAAGCAACATCGTGGTAGCAACAGGAACAAAAAGAGAACTGTTCTGGTGAACAAAATAACTTCACATTTTTAGCGCAATTTCCATTCTGGAGAATTGCGTTTATTAACCCGTCATTTCTGGATGTATGAATGAATGGATGGATGGATGGATGTGTGTCCGCAGCTTTAAGTCGTATCTCCTCCTCAACGAAGCAATATCGATGACTAGTTCCAAAAGCAATTATGTTAAGCAAGTTACGAGGATGAGCATAGGCCATAAAAATTCCGGGTTTCTTTCATGTATTTCCCGGAAAAGCCAAAAAACCTCAAAAAAATGCAGTTTTTTGCCCATATCTCGGCAACCAGACCACTTAGCGACTTGAAACATGTACCAATCGATTCCTGCCATAATTTAGAACAATATTGCCGAAGAAAGTTTTCAAAAATATCCTCTCGTTCGGGCACAAATTTTAAAATTACATAAACACCTACAAACCAATCGTTCTTCTAGCTTGAAAGCACCCCAGCATTATACGTAGGAGCTATTTTTAGATAACATAAGGAAATTGCGCATAAATGTCACTAGACTTTTTTAATTAACTTGTTTTTTAGTTATCTCAAGAAAATTTTAAGCTAACTGAAACATTTTACTGCCATTTCATAACCTATTCTCTACCTTTAGTATTCACTAAAATAATAAACTACGTTTAAATCTATATACAATTTTAATTTGATTTCAGCCTGGTTTTGAAGACCCTAATGCACTGAAAACACCAATCGTGCGTTACTGTGCAGTATCCAGTATTGAGCACAGTCATAGATGTCCAGTCACAGATATTCTTTGGCTGCCTGACCACATGCAGGTACCAAGTGAATTGTTTACACACTGCTTGTCTTGTATAACATCCCTCTGATATGATGAAATTCAATTCCTTATCAATAAATTTTTTCAGTTTAGTTTTCTATACCTTAACACTGTGATTCCACAATTTAAAAAATCTTTAACCTCCATTTGTTCTATGATCAGGTGACTAAGATGGGTGTCCCTCAAGAAAACTCCTCCTTGGTGAGCACCCAGCTGATCAGCTGTGCTACAGACAAGTAGGTCCTCTAAAAGAATGGTTTTGTTAAATTTATTTCATTATAAGTAAGTAGTGATCTATTGGGTAGATGAAGTAGAGTTCAAATGTTTCTTGACCTCAGCATATGAAAGGATAATGTGGTCAGTTTCCTTTATTTTCCCATATGTAAGTCAGGTACCCATTAGAGCTGGGTGAACTCAGGGACATCCCATAGTCACATGTCCAAACTGAGATCCAAACTTAAAACCTTTGGGCTAGCAGCATAATGCTCTACCATTTGATCATGCCGTCTGTTATGCTTAGCTTTCCATTTCATAGTGGAACAAGGTATAACACAATTTAAAACACAGTTCAAATGTAATAATCCAATATAATTTTCAACTACAACAGAGAAACAGTGAACATTGACGAAAACACTGACTACATGCTACCCTAAGTTGACCATACCACACACTGCTTACACACTCGAGTTCACACACTTGTTAGGGGAGGCCACTCTCACACCCAATCTCTCTGTGCCTACACGCTTTCGCTATGAACATCTAGGCCACGTCACACCTCCCCCCTAAAAAAAAGAGGTTTCTCATTTTTCTTTAAATTAAATAGCATTTCTAAGGTCTATCCTGCACAACTACTTAACATGTACAGTAAAAATTTTAACAAAATATTTATCTGACCTTTTACATGCTTTAAATCTCCCTATAAATAAATGATGGCGAGTAAAAAATTATATATCTACAGTAAAATGTTCGACGTACGCATGAATTAACTACTTATAGCTTTATACGTCTAGTGTATAAGTCAACAAGGTTTTTTTTTAAAAAAACATTTGTCATCAATAAAGCATTTGAATTGAATTACAATACATCAGAACAATGTTACTTCCCTTTCGTTTTATGAAGTGAGATATGTTGAAATAAATCTAGTCAATGATGACAATGAAAACTAGAAGCTATTCATATAATACAAGTTCGTACAACACTCTAATTTTGGTACAGTCTTTGGCTCTGGATGTCGATCTGGATCTCGCTCTGGCTTTGGCTCTGGCTCTCGCTCTGGCTCTGGGTTTTGGCTCTGGCTTTGGCTCTGGCTCTGGTTTTGGCTCTGGTTTTAGCTCCGGCTCTGGCTTTGGCTCTGGCTCTGGTTTCGGCTCTGGCTCTGGTTTTGGCTCTGGCTCTGGTTGTGGCTCTGGCTCTGGTTTTGGCTCTGGCACGGGCTCTGGCACGGGCTCTGGCACGGGCTCTGGCACGGGCTCTGGCTCTGACTTTGGCTCTGGCACTGGCTCTGGCACTGGCTCTGGCACTGGCTCTGGCACTGGCTCTGGCTCTGACGTTGGCTCTGGCTCTTCTGCTCAGCTCTGGCGTCCAAACATTTTTGTTTCGATCCTGCTATCTTGACATCACAGTCTTTAACTATAATTAAAGTCTCATTAGTATCTTTAAAAAGACTATGAACTTGATACTGGATTAAAGTTACCTTCTGCTCAGCTGCCCTTGACCTAGTTCTCCACTCTGTTGACTTGTTGCCTAGATTGCGTCTCTGGTTGATTAGGTCTTCTGTAAGTGGGACAGTAGCTAGAGCTTTCATGTTGGTGGCGATGCAATGATTTGCTTCTGATGTGATCAAGGACTGAGATGCTAATATTGTAGCTCTAAAATTTGATAACTTACTTGCTATGCTAATGTAGTCCACTTTGTAGCTAGCAAGTTCTCTCAACTTCTCTCCTAGCTTTATCACTGTATTTTTAATGTCATTATTTATGGCCATGATGTCTGCAGCACTGTTCACAAGTTTTGTGGCTGTTGATACGAAGTCTTTTCACGTCGGCGATGACTGCTGCCGTTAATACTAGATGTTTTCTAGTCGGCTGTAACGATGCCGTTGATACGAGATAGTTTCTAGTCGGCTGTAACGCTGCCGTTAATACTAGATAGTTTCTAGTCGGCTGTAACGATGCCGTTAATACTAGAAATTTTCCCGTCGGTTGTGACACTGCCGTTGATACTAGAAATTTTCCAGTCGGTTGTGACGCTGCCGTTGATACTAGACACTTCCCAGTCGGCTGTAACGATGCCGTTAATACTAGATGTTTTCTAGTCGGCTGTAACGATGCCGTTAATACTAGCAAGTTTCTAGTCGGTTGTGACGCTGCTGTTGATACTCGATATTTTCATGTCGGCTCTAACGCTGCTGTTGATACTGGATATTTTCCTTTTTGTCTAGGGGTAAAAACTTCTCAAAAATCTTGTTGTGTTCATTATGATCTAGGTACATTTTTCAGTTAATCTATTGGTTTACAATGACGAAAACTTTAAACATCATTTAATGATTAGTGACTTCATTTTTGTTAATGTTCAAATTTGTGCCTTATTTTTACCTGAGAAGAAACAAAATGTCTTTACTTTGCTGTTAGAAAGTAGGAGTATCACAATTTTAAAAAAATCATAAATTATCCATATTTTAAAAAAAAAAATTATAGTAAATCTTTTTGGAAATAATGGTTTCCACAAAATTTGATTGTAAGAATAAAAATGAACTTTTTATCAATACTTTAATGTTAATATTTTTTTTTACTTTATTGTGTGGTACAAAGCATTCTTTTATTTTGGGATGCTAAACCATCAAAACTGCATCAATTACAAGATGAAGGCACCAAGCAACCAATGGGAGTCCCTGACACATTCAGATATCTGGATCTGACTTGGAAGCCTCTTCTTAAAGTTGGTACCTGGGTTTCAACTCCATCTATTTCATCTTGCTAATGTTTTTCAAAAACTTTTAGAAAAATTAGTTTTCCCATACTACAATAAAGTTTAACCTGAAAGTATGTATTATTTAAGTAGGTTGCTATTACAATCTAATTTAAATTGATTGCTATTAAAATCCTTTTTCACTAGGTGGCGCTGTCTAAATCTGAACCAGGGGGAGATCATGCTCCAACCAAATTTTCAATTCAAGAGAGACAAGGAGACAGGTCAACTTGTAAGCAAATATATATAGTCTTCATTTTTATATATTCCACCTGGTTGTACTTTCTGTTTTTATTTCACTCTTCCTTTATTTCAATAACTTCATTTAAATTTACTGTTTGTATATTATTATGATTTATGTACTTAAACACATTTTTAATAAATGAATTAAATCAACTTTTGATTGACTTTGACAGTGGGTACAGGAACAGAATTTAAGGAAGTTGACCTGACCAAATCAATGCAGGGAGGTTTCAGCAAGCCCAGTTCTGGTAAAGAGAGAACTCTCCAGGGAGTAAAGACACATATATTTGTTGGAACAGAGGTAGTTAAATTTAGAAACGTAATGTGGAAAAATTTAATGTGTGCTGCTTTATCTTTTTATTGAACAACAATAATATTTCAGTTTTCCTGCAATTAATCATTAAGTTTCTTGCAGTTGATTAACAATAGGCTAGAGATGTCTTGGTTGTGGATTTAAGTCTGTCAATGGCAATATCAAGTTTGACTGATTTTAATGACAGGATGTAAATACAAATTGTATGGTATAACTTTGGCTTATTTCAATGCTCCAATACATTCTGCCTCAAATAATATTAAAGTTTAATTTAATCCCAAATTAAACAGAATAATTCTTTTTAGGATGGTGAAGTGGTTTATGTTGACTGGATGCCACAGAAGGATCAAGATTCTGGAAAAATCCAAAGTATGTTGATTTCAATTCTACATGTTCTTAAGGATATTTCAGAGATAGTCTCCCTTTGTTTATCTTCCACAGCTCCATTTCAGTTAAAATATTGTATGTCATTTTTATTGATAAATTGTGTACCAGTTACATGATCTGTTTACCATGTCTTTTTATTAATAAGAAATGAATTAAAATGATTACTCTGCTATCATTCTAAAGATATTTTTATCACCTTAGCACCAAAACCTGCCTTCTACCATTCTGTACATGATGGGCCAGTGGTTTCAATGGAGAGATCTCCTTTCTACAAAGACATTCTTCTCAGTGTGGGTGGATGGACACTAGCTGTTTGGAAGGAGGGAGTTACTGTAAGTTTGTATTAGTTGTACATGCCTCTTCTGTTTGTCAACAGCAATAATAATAACAATGGCAGTGACTGAACTAGTCATCCAAACTCCTGTGGTTTACAAGTCATACATAGAAATCTTCTTCTTCTTCTTCGTTCTTAATTTTTAGTGTTGGAAGAGATCGAGCCTTATCTACCAGAGAGTTTGAACTCAAGACTTTTTTCGAATCTATCATTCATGAGCTTTTGCCTACTCGACCATGCCTCCATCACAATTAAGGATACGTGTCAACTGGTTATGTGCCATTGAGGCCATTGACTCCGATTTCAGCCTGCTTTCTTTTTGGATTTGCTTCCATAGCCTTTGTCCAACCAAGAACAAAGTACAAGGCAGCAGTTGTTTGATTTTGGAGTTGTCTCTCCTCTCTATGCAGAAATGAAAAAAAATATTTTTCTTGCATGATATCTTATCATAGATATCAAGCAAAATACAAAAAAAAAAGCTTTAAAATTTTTTAAAACCTTTTGAAAATCTATGTATTTAATATATTATAATAATGATTAAAACATTATTTCCTTTCATTTAAAAAAAAAAAAAAAAAATATATATATCCTACATTTTAATTTTTTTTAAGACTGGTCCAATTTTACATCCATCTGCGTGTCCAGTTCGGTTGTCTTGTGGCATCTGGTCACCTACTCGTCCCGGAGTATTTTTTATCTCTAAAGTTGACGGCTTCATCGATGTCTGGGACATTTTAGACAAGACCCATGAGCCAACCCTGACACAGAGTGTTTCTCCAACATCCATTACGGTCATCTATCCATACCAGGTTACTTGTAAGTATTGACATTTGTCTATCCATACCAGGTTACTTGTAAGTATTGACAGTCATTTATCCATACCAGGTTACTTGTAAGTATTGACAGTCATCTATCCATACCAGGTTACTTGTAAGTATTGACAGTCATCTATCCATACCAGGTTACTTGTAAGTATTGACAGTCATCTATCCATACCAGGTTACTTGTAAGTATTGACAGTTGTCTATCCATACCAGGTTACTTGTAAGTATTGACAGTTGTCTATCCATACCAGGTTACTTGTAAGTATTGACAGTTGTCTATCCATACCAAGTTACTTGTAGGTATTTTTTAAGTTGAAGAAGCTAAATATTTGTGATAATTATAATATTGGCCACCAACTCAAAAAATTAATTATTTCTCCAGTAAAACAGCAACTGATTGCTGTTGGTGATACCTCAGGAACTCTTCATATTTTGGAGATTCCATGGAGCTTGAGGCACCCAACACCCAATGAGGTAATAGATTGTTTAACTTGAGCTTTAGGCTGGTTCTTCAAAAGGCTAAATGGCTCAGTCATTGTTAAAATTATTCTATTGTTATTTTATTTCTTTTTTGTCAGTTGTGAAATATCTATGATCTTATTAAGAAGAGTTTTACAGTATTTCTCCTGGATTAAACTTATAAAAATGGTGTAGTTTATGTCCTAAACAATAACATTTGCATTTTTTTCTAGATACTAACTTTGTAAACAAATTTCTAGGTGAACAGTGTAGGTAACTACCTTGAGAGGGAAGTAAAGAGGAGGGCCTTTGTTGAGGAGAGGTGGAACTTTAGAGAAAGAGAGAAGAGAGATGCTGAAGCTGAGTTCAAGAGAAAAGCTGGAGGGGTGAGTCAGTTACTCTAAATAACCATTGGATTTTTAATGTTTAGTAGGTCACTAGTGCATAGACAAAGACATCGGATACTAGTAAGAGGCAGTGGAGAGTGGATAGCTTTTCAGGCAATGACAAAGATCAGTTAATTTTTAATCAAAATATGTTTGTTGTTAATTAACTAAGTTTTAAATTTTTAAAAATCATTAAAAAATCAAATTGTAATATATATATATGATGATAGATATTAACCTTAGGGTGAATTGCTCTTACATGCTGGATCTGATTGTATTATTTGTTTAATGCTGAACCAAAGAGGTCTGTTTGTGTTTAATGTTGTTTATTGTCAAATATTTACTCAGCTTGCAGCAGCAATGGCCCCTCTAACAGAGGAAGAGTTGGAGCTGAAGCTCAAGCAAGAATACGAGCAATACCTTGTAGAAGAGGCATCCTTTTTAAGACAACTTGGCATTCTACAGGACGATGACCCTACTGGTTGAAGATGACTTGGGACATTTTAAAAAAAACTGTTTTTAGTATAGTATTATCAATTTATTTAATAATTACTTCATTTCTAAATGCAAGCAAAAGTGCAGCTTTATAATGTTGACTTTGACACCTAATAATATGGTTGTTTTAAAAAGTATGTTGAATGTATGTGATAAGTAAATAAACATTTAAAAATTTAACTCTAGTTGAACCAGGACATGTTTATTATTACAGATTTGTTCATGTTAAGGACACACTTAACTTTACTTTCATAAAAAAACATGCAACTCATCATTCACAATTTTTCATTTTTCACTGTATTTACGATTAAGTTTATCATATTTATTATAAAAGTATCAAAACAATATTGTGATTACATTTTAAGTTATTTAGCAATTCATAATTGTGATTGGAATGTAAATAATATATTTTATTATTTATCTCTCATTGTTTTTATTGGCTTGAAGAATTAAAATTAAAAATTTCTATATACTTTCTGTCTTTGAATAATTTCCTACACATATTATTATTAATAACGTAAATATATAAAAATCTTAGCTATGATAACCTGCAGAAGACAAACACTAATACCAACAGATTTCTTTATGAACAATGAAAACAATAACATAATAAGTGTTTTTAATTTTATTTCAATGATCTGAATAATTATTTCACATTATTAATACATTTACAGGAAACAAAAAACAAAATGTCTGAGATAGGCAACATGAGTCATTTGTTAATTTTCTGCTACAGGTTTTAAATATGTGCAAGTGTACAAATATGTTTTAAATACAAGAAAACAAGCTTGAAGACATGAAATTCAGGTTTAATGACATAGCTGTTTATTTCAAGGACAGACACCATCTATATTTGAACTTATCTCCCTTTTGTTGTATAATACTGAGGTTGCTTCAAATACCAAACTGTTATTGTTTACAAAATTTAGGTGGGAATTCTCCTCTTCACTGAGTTTTTAATTCAACTGAAACAATCTAATAAGTTCTGTAGCTTTTACATGGCTAATGTGCTGGACACTGACTAAAGCTGTGCCCTGTGGAACTATTTTTTGTATCACTACTCTGTGAACTATTTGTTGTTTTTACCAGCTGGGGTGTATCTCTTAGAACTGTCACTGTCATGACAGTAGTAATGATTCAAGCTAGTTGAAAGTTGTTTACTCTGTGTAAATACATTTATTACAAGCCATTTTTGACTAGTTCATAAACATTTATGAAAGATTAAACAATTTAAGTCTGATATTTGTCAGATGAAAGACCAACAATTTACATATCTACTTTGAGACATACACATAAATCACTTGCAATGTGCCTATGCTTTCTATGTTAAAATATTGGCAAATATTTTTTACGCTGCTCTAAACTACAAGAAATTAGTTGTGTAGGCCGCATCATTCAACAATAAATACTGATTAGGGGAGGGGGGTGTGTAATACATACCCTATCACTTTATAGAAAGGTCAAAGCAAAACCCAAACAACTATACACCAACACTCATAAAGCTAATCATAAGATTTAGGGAAGGGAGGGATACAATAATTTAAAGCAGGAACATTGCTCAGAAAAGTCTCTAAACATTCAAAATTTCTTATTTTTAACATTAAAAACAAAATCATACTGTACAGGACAATAAATTAAAAAATTTTTTTTTTTAAGAAGGTACATTATTGGTGTTCTGAGATTCTGCAGATCATAGCCCAGAATCCTTGTGTAATGCAGCAGTTAATTTAAGTAATCTGCACATGATGCATTTTTCCCATTGTGCATGTGCTACATTGTCTAATTAAATTATCTAAGTAATGGGATACAGTATTTTACACCCAATAGTTGATTCAGCTTTACACATGTACAGTGCTACAACAATTGCATGGTAAATAGAACAGAAAAATTAAATGATAAAGCTTTAAACAGCAGTTTGTTTGAATGGCTTGTATTGAGTTGTTGGTTGATTCCCCTTGGCTGTAGAGGGCTGGGTATTGTCAGGTGTGAGGGGTGGGCAGCTTCTCCCTGCCTGGGGCCCCGAAGTGGCAGCCATTTTCGGATTGTCTTCACACTTTAAAGCTGGGTCTGTTGTGGTGGGCTTTCTGATGGCTGGTGTGATGGTTGGTGTATTGGTGGATGTTATGGCCGGTGTGATGGTTGGTGTTATGGTGGGTGTTATGCTGGGTGGCATTCTGCAGGTTGGTGTTTTAGTGGAGGGTGTATTGTTGGTTGTTGTGGTAGGTGGTGTAGAGTTTACTGGAGTTTTAATAAATAATGTTGTAGTGGGGGATGTACTGATGGTTGGTGTTTTAGTGGGAAGTGAATTATCAGTTACTGATAAGATGGATGGTGCATAATTGACTGGGGTTTTAGTAATTAATGTTGTGGTGGATGTTGTACTTTTAGTTGGTGTTTTACTGGTTGTTGTTGCGGTTTGTGGTGAACTGGAGTTTGGTGCTTTAGCAGGCTGTGTGTTTGTCTCCAAAGTGCGTATGCAGCTCTGGTTCAATGTCTCACACTTCATTACTCCCCGGTAGCTGACAAGTTTAGTATTTTTCTTGGCATTTATGCTGGAATCTGATTTGTCTTGGTTTGAAACTGAGACTGTAATATATTTTTGAGTTGCAGTGTCAGCTTGCATACTGTGACCAGTGTTGTTAGTTGTGCATGTAGGTTCCTGTGTTGATATTTGGCTGCCATCTTCTGCTGTGGAGTTTAAGTTTAGTTCAGGGATATTGTTCAGCTTGACAGCCATGTGTGTATCACTAAGGCAAAGAGACTCCCCAAGGCTACTGACTATGCTGTCACTACTCAAGGAGCTGTAGTCGCTATAGTGATGTCTGAGGGTGTGCCATTTGGGACTGGCAGAGTCACAGGTAGAATAACCCTCGTCAAAGAGGAGACTGGTGTTGGGGGTGGAGGCAAGCTGTTGGCTGATATCTGAGGGTGGGGCAGGAAGTTTCTCTTCAGGTGGGATGTGATCAGATGAAAGATTCTTCCTGTCTTTTATATTTAGCTCATCTTTAGGTTTTAGATTCATATTTAAATATACAGGTTCTAAAGAGGGATCATTTAGAAGTTTGTGAGGTTGCTGCGCTTCAGAATGTTTTATTTTGTTATCCACATCACGTTTCTCATCAAAGCTCACTTCAACATTGTGTTGCACTGACGTAGATTCCATGTTATTTCTTTCTTGAACCGTCACTTGGCCATCTTTTATTTTTTCATTCGTTGCATGTGTTTTAGATTCTAGTACCACAAGGCTTTCTTTAGAAAAACTCTCTGAAAACTGTGATGAGGATCTGTTTTCTTCTAGGATCACATCTTGCCTCACGTATGTGGCTCTGCTAGCTAAGGTTTCATTATGCTGGGCATGAACACGTGATATTTTCATGGTGGTGTTGCATCTATTTATAGCTGACCTTTGACATTTATTGTCAACAATAATTGTGTGACTTGTATCATGACGCTTGTTTCTCGATGATTTATCCGGCAAGATCCCTGAAATATTTTCTGTAGACTGTACTCTTGATTGGTTATTTGTTTCGGCAGTAACCGGCCTTGAAGTTCTAGTTTTGTCTACTGTAAGATCATGTGCTTTATTTAGATCTAAACGTTCGCTTGAATTTGCAACAGACGTCAGCGATTGAAAGCTTGAGGACAGCCCATGTTTTCTGGGGTTCTGGTCAGAGCTGTCCAGACCTGTGGCGACCTCAGGACCCAGGGTTCCAGAAGTTGACAAAGCCTGCAGGTTTTTTAAAGACAGGCTGCTGTACTGTAGGGTGACAGCATGGAGAGGGCCCGGGTTGTTCAGGGCTGTTATGTCAACCTCGTGCAGAGGGTTGATGATTCTGTTCCCAGGGTTCAACTTGGTTATCACAGTTTCTCCCAGAATACTGGGCCTTCTAAGAATAGCAGACGAGAAAGGATCTTCCAGAACATCGGCTGCGTAGTCATTCGTAACCTTGAACTTGTTATTTTTGTTCAGTGAATTGGTTAAAAAACCTGAAGAGATGACAGTTCCGCATGTGAACGATTGGCTTCTGCCGGCTTTCTTTGAAATTCTCTCAGATTCCTGCACTGTTATCTGGCTGTCGTTTTCTTTATTGTGTTCGAGGCTGACATCACTCATGTTAACCAAACTGCCTTCAGCGTTATTTTGTCCAGAAAAAATATTTCTGCCAATGTCTGTCTGAGCCGCACTTTTGTGATGCAGACCAATGGATTGAATTAAGTTATCCCACGACATACTTTTGTGCTGCTTCGTAGACTGGTATGAGACATTGTATCCTTGACCTTCAGAACACCTATTTGAATATTCATTAATTTGCATTGACCTTGACCTAAGCGATGTTTTAAGATGCGAGTCTGAACCAGGATTAAAATATTGCCTTATGTTGTCATGTTGGTTTGAAGGACTACTCTCTGGTATAGAATACGGAAAGTAGTAGAAACTTTCATGCACTGACTGGGTTCTTCCCCTTGCGAATCTTTGATCCGTTTGAGAAATAACAACATGGCGTCTTTGTTCCAGCTGTTCTGGAATATTATGTAACGAATCGGTTCTAGATTTTTGGCGAGGGTCTGTTTTGTGAACAAGGCGATTCTGTGGAGAGGAATAACATTTTCTGCCCATCCCTTTTGAAGGGTGCTGTGTTTTCACGAAGTTTACGTCTGCTCCAGAATATGCCAGATTAGATGCAAAAGTTTGGTTGCTAATTTTAGAATCGTCTGGCTGCAGATTAGCGGGTCCTGGGTGTGGGCTGTGAAGGTCAGCGTTGTTCCAAGCCTGGCTGTGTTGAGCTGGTTTGGCTTGGACTCCAAATGGCGGGGTTTTGTTGGATCGAACACACCACGCCTGCTCCTCGGATATACTGGCCAGAGAATTGGCCGAGTGAAAGGCTGACGAGGAGGACAGGTTTTGTTTAAGGATCTGCAACAGTAAGAGTAAATACAGTGAGCCAAAATTAGAGATAAATAATTAAAAACTAATTTTAAATGTATCTAAATTATACATTCAGATGCTATACTGCCGTTCCAGTTAGATTAGATTAGAACAATATGGCTAACAAAAAAAAAAACAACAACCAGAAATTCATTTTTACGCCCATACATGAGATTCCGTTTACACCAAGAGGTGTGTGTGTGTGTGGGGTATAATTTTAACTTTTAAATTAATCCCAATCTCTGCGTGCTAATTATGCCAGGCTTGTACTGATCAAGAGAAGAAAATATTTACAGGACTTAAAAATGCTAATTATCATCCAACCGTTAAGTCACATTTACACATTTACTCCCGCGGAAAATGTAAAACTTATTTGTAAAACAAATTAATTGGATACGGTTAACTAAAGGATTTAGGGTGGTGTTGACTTAATACTGTTCCACATTAATACGGCACCTAATCTTTTCCTGGTAGAATAAAACCGCATTAATTATGTCGCCTTATGCTCAGGGTTCACAACTCCAGGCTAGATGGTATTATCTGGCTTATGTTACAGACGTGGAGCAGCCAACACATCACAGTCAGCCAACACATCACACAGTCAGCCAATACATCACACAGTCAGCCAACATATCACAGTCAGCCAACACATCACACAGTCAGCCAACATATCACAGTCAGCTAACACATCACAGTCAGCCATCACATCACAGTTAGCCAATACATCACACAGTCAGCCAATACATCACACAGTCAGCCAACACATCACACAGTCAGCCAACACATCACACAGTCAGCCAACACATCACACAGTCAGCCAACACATCACACAGTCAGCCAACACATCACAGTCAGCCAATACATCACACAGTCAGCCAACACATCACACAGTCAGCCAACACATCACACAGCCAACACATCACAGTCAGCCAACACATCACACAGTCAGCCAACACATCACACAGTCAGCCAACACATCACACAGTCAGCCAACACATCACAGTCAGCCAATACATCACACAGTCAGCCAACACATCACACAGTCAGCCAACACATCACAGTCAGCCAACACATCACACAGTCAGCCAACACATCACACAGTCAGCCAACACATCACACAGTCAGCCAACACATCACAGTCAGCCAATACATCACACAGTCAGCCAATACATCACAGTCAACCAATACATCACAGTCAGCCAATACATCACACAGTCAACCAACACATCACACAGTCAGCCAACACATCACACAGTCAGCCAACACAGCACACAATCAGCCAACACATCACACAGTCAGCCAACACATCACACAGTCAGCCAACACATCACACAGTCAGCCAACACATCACAGTCAACCAACACATCACACAGTCAGCCAACACATCACACAGTCAGCCAACACATCACAGTCAGCCAACACATCACACAGTCAGCTAACACATCACACAGTCAGCCAACACATCACACAGCCAACACATCACACAGCCAACACATCACAGTCAGCCAACACATCACACAGTCAGCCAACACATCACACAGTCAGCTATCACATCACACAGTCAGCCAACACATCACACAGCCAACACATCACAGTCAGCCAACACATCACACAGTCAGCCAACACATCACAGTCAGCCAACACATCACAGTCAGCTAACACATCACACAGTCAGCCAACACATCACACAGTCAGCCAACACAGCACACAATCAGCCAGTCAACACATCCCACGGTCAGCCAACACATCACAGTCAGCCAACACATCACAGTCAACCAACACTTAAAATGAAACTCTATAAATCAATTTAAAAAAATAAAGATAATTTTGACCAAACCGGTATGAACACGCGTAGGTAGGTAAAATAATAACCTATAAGTTGGTCTATAAAAACTTGAAATACATCTCATTGATAAATCGTGGTAAGAGAAATGAAAAATCAAGGGAGACAAACTATACCAAGTTCCTTAAAAGAACACAATTAGTAAAATTCACGTAGAACAAATAAAAAATGTTCCTCGTTGTTTTTTTATTTTAAAAATTTAAAATGTAAAATGTTTCAATTAATGTTTGTTTAACTTTTTTACATTTTGGTTAATAAAGAGTTAAACTATTTTAATATACTTGAAAACAAGAACTTTGGCTTTATGCCAGGTTTTGTACAATAAAAGCAGTCTGAGTTTATTTAGAATGGTAGTAATTCTTTGTTTACGGACTGCAGATGAAACCAGAGTAGTTAAAATCCGACTTGTCCTGAATGTAAATAAAGGCGTCAGTTGTAAACAGCCACTGGTGTGTACTTTGAATGATTTAGCGGAGGCATCTGATCAATGTGTCCCTATTGCTTTAGTTCCATTAGAAGGTTTCTGGTAACCTGTAGTTTATTCTAGGATCAGGTGCATATTTTATTCCATGACATTTGCACAGATTCCATCCTCTGTTCTCAAGGTGTTCCTTTATGTATCCTCGTACTGTAGGAATGAATGAACCACCCACATGTTCCTCTTACTTTCATGTAAGTCTGTTGTGTGAGTGCTGGATTACTGTGCTCAAAAGTCTAAAGCTATTTAGTAGATGCTTGCTTTTTCAATGACTTTCCTTCTTTCTGACATTGTTGTTTAATATACACTTAATAAAACTTATTAAAATTAAAAAAAAAAAAAAAAAAGTTAAAATCCAAATAGATGACGTCCTCAGAAATGGTGTAACGCTTCACACCTCCATCCCCTCCTCACGCGAGTCCGCCTTGGTTGGACAATGAGCCCGCCCCCTGAAGGACATGACTGGTCAGTTTATCAAACTTCACTTCCTAACATATTAACTGTCCCATCTTTGGCGCTCAATGTTGAGGACGACGGTAATGTTGACCACACGATTTCGTGGTTATCATAATATTTGACAACACCATGTCATGTTTATTATCATGATATTTGACTACACAATCTCATGTATATTATCATATTTGACCACTCAATCTCAAGTATATTAACATGATATTTGACCACACAATCTCGTGCATATTAACATGATATTTGACAACACAATCTCATGTATATTATCATGATATTTGACCACACAATGTCATGTATATTATCATGATATTTGACCACACAATCTCATGTATATTATGATATTTGACTACACAATCTCATGTATATAATCATGATATTTGACTACACAATCTCATGTATATTATCATGATATTTGACCACACAATCTCATGTATATTATCATGATATTTGACTACACAATCTCATGTATATTAACATGATATTTGACTACACAATCTCATGTATATTAACATGATATTTGACAACACAATCTCATGTATATTATCATGATATTTGACCACACAATCTCATGTATATTATCATGATATTTGACTACACAATCTAATGTATATTATCATGATATTTGACCACACAATCTCATGTATATTATCATGATATTTGACCACACAATCTCATGTATATTATCATGATATTTGACTGCACAACCTCATGTTTATTAACATATTTGACTACACAATCTCGTGCATATTAACACGATATTTGACAACACAATCTCATGTTTATAACCATATTTTCCAGACTTTTGACATGTTAAATGCTGATTGCGGTGCACAGCTTAATGGAAGATGCTCACAGTGACCATGCTAATAAAAGTTACATTAACTCATCGTTTCAAAATATGCCTGAGGTAAACGGTTTGGTTGAGAATCGTGATAACTTATGTGTTAATCCATGTATGGGGGGGGGGGGGTGGGGGGGTGGGGGGGGGGGCAAAAAAATTAAATACGTCCAGAAAAAAAATTATATGAATAGGCCTACATATACAATTGCGTATACACATACTTACAAAAGTATATGGAATATATATATATATATATATATATATATATATATATATATATATATATATATATATATATATATATATATATATATATATATATATATATATATATATATATATATATATATATATATATAATTTTATGGGGGGGGGGGGTGGTGACACCATTAAGTGCCGCACCGGTTGACACCCGACCTCGCTACGCCACTGGATCCAGGAAAGATGTATTGGAATCAAATAAAAGTATCATATCCCTAAGGTTGAAGATGAGAGAAACGTAACTTTGAACTAAAAAGAACCAGTCGCGTAATTTCTTAACATTTATTTTACTCGTACACTTACATACATTACGCGTTGAAACCATTTTTTCTCCTCCCCTCAGTGTTAAGCGATTTACCTACCCACCAATCCGGTGTAAAACCTTCAGATTTACGTTGGTGAAAAAGCGCCCCCACCCCACCCATCTAGGAAAAATTGGTGAGTAGTTTTTACAAGTCACTCTCTTATGGGTGTTTATGTAACCTTACACAATCAAGGTAGAAAACAGTTAAATCAGTATGTAAAACATTGTAAGCGTGTAATTACCTAACTTTGTAATTAATTCAATTCTGCAGCTTAAAATTAGTTTGTAATTTTTTTTTTTTGCCTCCTATGTCGCCACTTATAGATCGGCGCCCGGGGCAGCCTCCCCCTAGGTACGCCATCAAGAGACAGCTGAGTCAAAAATACAGTAAACAAAGAGAAGCTGGTAAGAGATGGATTGGACTAAAAATCTAATTAACGGCCGCGTCGTCTTAAAAATGGTAGGAAATAAATCCCAGTAGGTTAGAGAACGTAATCATCTCAATTGGATATTTGACGAGGTATTCAGTAATGACACCGCAACTAACAATAACATTGCCATTTTTTCTTTCTTGCACACATCTCGCCACACCCCTCGCCACACCACTCGTCAAATGTTGAACCGGGCTTAACAATTTCTTTAACTATAGTTAATTATTAAACCAACTTTGTAGGCCTAGTCGATCTAAAATTTAACAAAATAATTTGATATCCCCCCTCCTCCAACTGGTTCGCAATTATGTTTAACAATAGGCCTATTTCAAACTATTATCAGTTATTATTCAAATTGCATATTACAAAAGATATACCGTAAAACCTTAGTTTTTTTTTGTTTACTTAGCCGGCTGTAAGATATCTATTGAGACGGTCGACACAACCATCAGTTAAAAATTATGTCTAAAGAAAAGATTGTGTTGGTTCGTTGGGGCCAAATCGTATAATAAATATAAAATTTAGCAATGCTTTTAACGGGTTTGGGGTCAAAGTTCGGCGGGGGTGGGGTAGGGGGCACAGAAGAAAACAGCAGGTACGGTAAACCTGAGACAGCAGGACAAAAATTTCTACCGACGCCTCTGACGTTTCGAGTTTTGGACACATTTTATGTGGACACGTCACCGCCACGTCTGCGCGAAAAATTCTTCGCATTTTAAATCAGCGGATCGGTAGGTTGCTTCACACTCCATGCTTGGCTAGTGCACCCCCCCGGCCCCTCCGCCTTAACCACTCCAGCACATTAAGAAGAAACACTAAAGTACATGTCCGAATTTTTTTTTACAAGTTTTGTAAGCATTGGAGAGAGAAAAAATTGGATCAATACTAAGGTAGATACTAGGGAGAGAGAAATGGGAAAGTCAAGCCAAGCAGTCAAGATAACGACCTAAATTTAGCAGTAAAAATAATGTAAGTTTAAAAAGCTGGTAGAACAAGCCCAGGGGCCAGAGTTTCTTTCAGGCATCTCTTCGGGGTGTCCGCCCCCCCCCCCCCCCGAAAATTTAGTCCCCCCCCCCCTCCCCCCCGAAAATAGAAAATATCAAGTGTTTGGTCCAAACTATAGATAAATAGAAAGAAAAAAAACAGTGTAGGGGTATACTAAAATATAATGATAACGGCTGAAAATGTAATCCTAACAACCTCAGCCAAGACTCTGTGATCATCACCCACAAAAGACTTGGGGGGGGGGGGGGATTTATTTTTTAAGATTGTTATATGAATATACGGGATGGATAGTAGTTATCATTGCAAAAATTATAGCCTATAATAATCAGTGTTTCTTCCAGACTTTTTTCTCCGGGGGGGGGGCACTTGAAATTTTCGGGGGGGGGGGGGGGCGGTAGACTTTCTTCGGGGGGGGGGGGGGGCGGACACTGTTAAAAGTATATATTTTCTATATAAATAATATAAATTTCATTTCGTTCGGGGGCGGGGGGGGGGGGGGGCTTTGCTCCCCCGAAGAGATGCCTGGAAGAAACTGATTATAATTAACTTTATTTTTTCTACATTCACTCCCACCCTAATATATATATATATATATATATATATATATATATATATATATATATATATATATATATATATATATATATATATATATATATATATATATATATATATGGGGGTGGCTTCTTTAAAATTCCATTGATAGCATAGTGATACATTTATAAATGAACAGGTTTTACTGTATTAGTCTATTCGATTATCTAAAAGGGAGTTCAATTGTTTAAATATTTCCCCGTCATTAGGGCTAACACCCCCAACCATGTTATCTAGAAAGTTTCTCTAACTACCGAAACATGTACGCATTCTATAAAGTTTTTCTAGCTACCGAGACATTCATGTTGTTCTATAAAGTTTTTCTAGCTACCGAGACATTCATGTTATGCTATAGTTTAACGACCGAGACATTTTACGTCATTCTATAAATTCATTCATGTCATTATATAAAATGTTTCTAACTACCGAGACTTTCACGTCATTGATCAGCACTATGGTAGTGTAACCATGATCAGCTGTATGGTAGTGTAGACATGACCAGCACTATGGTAGTGTAGACATGACCAGCACTATGGTAGTGTAGACATGACCAACACTATGGTAGTGTAGACCTTCTATCAGCAGGTCATGATCAGCACTATGGTAGTGTAGACCTTGTATCAGTAGGAACCGATCGATGTGTCTATAGAGACTTTGTTGTAACATTCCTGGTCTGTGAGAAACGTGTTTACCAGGAAGAGTCACAGCGTTGGAAAGGGGGAGGGCTAGGTCGAATATTTGGGCGCAGTGGTGAATGAAGTGATTGGGGGAGGGTCTGTGGCGGCTACAGCATATTGCTTTAAGGAAATAGATAAATAGATATTATATATATATATATATATATATATAGATAGATATATAGATATTATATATATATAATATATATATATATATATATATATATATATATATATATATATATATATATATATATATATATATATATATATATATATATATATATATATATATATATATATATATATATATATATATATATATATATATATATATATATATATATATATATATATATATATATATATATACCGTGTTTACACTTGAGACATATATACTATACAAGTCTAGAAAAACTCGCAGCAAGTTTTTATACATGTTCCGCGTGGAAAATTTTTTCAAATAACATTAACTTGCTAATAGTTCCCCCCCCCCTCCCCCTAGACATGTATGAATTACATATCGCAAGGGTGAACGCGGTGTAATAATATTGTGAGATTCATTGATGTGTTTACCGAGTAGGCCAGGATTGTTCACGACACCCCCCCCCCCCACCTTTCCACGCCAACCAAATGGGAACGTGCCTACCTCAAAGAGATTTGAACCGTGTTCTCTCTCGCTCTAAATCAGACGGGTTACACTACTTTGAAGTGGCCTAAAAGACCTAGTGTGAAATATTTGACAACACTAAAAGGTAGTCTATTGGCGGCATGTTTAATAAGAACGGAATGTCCGACCAACAACGATACAATCTGCCATGTAGGTAGTATTATCGATTATATTTTTCTTTAAAATAATATAATGTGTAAAAATATGTGGGGTTACGTTAACAAATAAGGAGGGGTAGGGTGGGGGGTAAAGGGACAACAAACTATTAAAGTCGCGTGACGTCATATGGTGGTGGGAGAGAAATTGGTTTCAAACATTTCTTCATGCAGGAATGTAATTTTTTTTTATAGTTAAGTAAATCAACAGACGCCGTAAAAAAAAGTTATAAATAGAAATAAAATTAGCGTCAGCACAGAGCCGCGTTGAATATTGACTGAGTTAACATTAGCATATTCCTACACGTTACATCTCATCCCTTCAACTGTACCCTGGGTTCACGCGGTTACATGGGTTGGTTCGACTTCCTCATCAGTTGAGTTGTATCCAACTCGGCATGTATTCCAGGTACTAGACTGTGTGACGTCACACTGTGACTCGCTTAGCTGGACGGTGACCCAAGAGATGAATGACCCCACACTCCGAACTAGGCTAAATACCTGCGTCACCGTCATGCTGGCCGTGGGGCATGGCTGGAATATCCTCCTTACCTTGTCTTATCCTGAACCCCGGGCAGTTGCTTTACCGTACGTCGGTTTAACCCCCCCCCCCCCCGCACATTTCTTTCCTTAAATACGATAATGTGGGCTAACTTAGCCACGGTCTGATGGTAAATTAGGTCACGAGTAGTCCCACAAGTTGGTTGAGAAAATAACGTGCGAGGGAACAATTCTAGTTAGCACCGTGTAATATGATGCCTAAGGAGGATACATAATTATAATAGGGGATAACATACTTGTATATATATATATATATATATATATATATATATATATATATATATATATATATATACATATATATATATATATATATATATAATATATATATATATATATATATATATATATATATATATACACACACACATATATATATATATATATATATATATATATATATATATATATATATATATATATATATATATATATATATATATATATATATATATATATATTCATAGTTTAAATAATTTTAAAGCTAACCACTGAGTTACAATATAATTTTTTAAACATGCATGCATCACGAAATGATTTGGTTTAAGTGCAGGTACATTTTAAGTCCAGGTACTTTTAACGATTTCTTTGACACGAATCTTCAAGTGAGACAAATTCTTTAAGCATGTATCGTGCCTTGAAGCAAATCAAGCTAACATGCATATACAAATGGAACTTATCGTGTTACAAGTCTGGAGATACCTTAGCAGTGGAACTAATCAAGTCTCTGGAGATACCTTAGCAGTGGAACTAATCAAGTCTCTGGAGATACCTAAGCAGTGGAACTTATCAAATCACTAATCTAGAGACACCCACCTGTTGACCTTTGTCCGTTGGTAGTTTTGGTTTCTTGACCCGGTGATGGCCGGAGAAGAGGCGCGTCTGGTCACGTGGTGCCATCGTCTCCGCCATCAGCTGCTGCTGGTGCTGACGTAACGCCCGCAGCTCTTTGACCCCCTCCTCCCCCGCCTCCAGCCGGGCGCGGGTCCGGGCGGTGTCCGTCCGGCGGAGGATGGGGACCCGGTGGTGGCCCGGTAGTTCACTCAGAGACCTGCATCGCCGCATCGTCGCCGGTTCCCGACTCAGTTCCCCAGTCTGGGGGAAATGTCCCCGTTCTTCTCTCGTCATATTTCCCTCTGCTAAAGCTCGAAGACTTCTTGTACTAAACACTCAGGACATTTGTTTGAACAACCAAGTCCCATCACGCTGATCCACTCGCCGATTATCCCATTAGAATTAGCAGTTAAAATCCGTGCACTTTTCTGATTAGAACTAAACGATAATCCCGTTAACACATGTGAGGCTATTTTTATGAACTAGGATTATTCCATGAATGTGAACCACAAAGTCCAATAACTCTGGAATTCTAAATATTCAATAATCATTCTATTAGTCCTAGTGTGATCAACAAAGTCCTATAACTCTGTTCTTCTGGGCACTAAAGTTCGACAACTTTGTGCTGGTAAGCTACAAACCAAGAACAACAAAAGTTCGACTACTCCTGTCAAAACTGGGCCATCTTCACTAAGCGAGGCGTGAACTAGCGAACACAGCTCGCCCTCACGTTCTAACGATGACACAATTCCAGCGTAATCTCCCCTTCAAATGGAGTGGATCCCCACGCCTAATCCCATCCGAATCCTGCTTTGTTTGGCGTATCCCTGGCGATAAGCTGACAATGGCCACTCAATTTGTTTCAAGTAGGGACCTGCTGAACACATGACGAGCGTACGCGCCATTGTGTACGACGACAATGCTGAAAAAAATATAAAAAAAATGTAATGAAAAAACTTTCAACTTGCTTAGTAGTAGTGGGCTATATAAGGAAATATCGAATCTAGAAACATGCAATATATTAATAATGACTTTAAAAATAGAAATGTAATTAGTTATGAAGACATATTAATAAACGCATAAATAAATTGCCTAACATGTATTGAAAATTAGGAATGAAAAAAGAAAAGAAACAAGTACATTGCGATGATAAATTGCTTGACGAACAATGTAGGCTGTGATCAGATCAAACAAGGCGATCTGTGATACTGTCACACAGGTAAATAGATCAGTTGTGTGTCTGTGTCTGTGTGTGTCCGTGTAGCAATGTATAGCAGTAGGTAAATCGGCCCGGTGCTAGCGAAATATGTGTGTGTGTGTGATGACGACGTATGACTGGTAGGTGTATCGGCCTATGGTGCTAGGAAGTATATTTGTGTGTGTATGTGTATGTATGTGTGTGTGTGTTCGTGTGTATACGTGTGTGCCCCTATAAAGACGTATGACAGGTAGGTGTATCGGTCTATGGTGCTAGCGCTACCAACACGTCCTACCTTCGTTAAATTGTTTAAATATTTGCTTCCATTTTTTTACGCTTTGTTCTCTAGTTCTGGCCTGTGTGATTTTCACCCCAGAACTTTTCAGTAGTGACAGCAAAGATAACCCGCCCTAGGTAGGCAGCCTGATTACATTTTAATAATACAGGACCATATATATATATATATATATATATATATATATATATATATATATATATATATATATATATATATATATATATATATATATATATAGGCCTATATATATCCTATTTTTTTCTGTCAAGTTAGTTTCGCCGTTTGCATCAGGCAATGTCTTGCAAGCGTGGATGATAAGAATATATACAGCCTGCACAAATTGAACGGAGCAGCAAAAAGTAGACAATACACTGAATGGTCCTTGCAGTGAAAAACACT